ATTGCCGTCAGGCTTTGGGTACACAAGCTTGAGGGACAGCTGCTACTAGTTGGGCTGCAGTGGTAACTAACTACCTGGTTCTTCCTCAGGCAACCGAGGATCAGGAACTCGGAGAAGAAAATTTGATCTAGGTAGAGGCGGCTAAATCCTTGCCACTGGCCATAAGCTGAGTGATGATTTGTTGAGGCAAAGGTAAATCTCTTTCGAGGTTCAAGGTTCACAGTACAGTGTTATGTTTCAAAAGATCACTCTCGCACTTTAGCCACAACAAGTACAACATGCATTTTGACTGACTGCCAATATAAAAAAAAGAAAAATGGAACATGAGATAACTGATACCAAACTATTGGTGACGGATAGTCTATACCAAAATTATCAATATCTCCGGCTTAGAATTTCCTCGTTCCCGATTTCTCGCGCTCTCAAAAGTGCGTTGGTTGCTCAGCAGAATCGAAAGAAAAAAAAAAGAATGGAGCCTTGAAAAAAACTCAGGCGAGAGACTTTACCGCGATAGGTTTAGTGGAGGGGATCCCCTACCGCCCACTGCCCCGCCCCGCAGAAAAAGTTCACAGGTCCCTCCAAAATTTATTATTCTTTTAACGCAGCGTCGCTCACAAAATCAGAGTGGGAGAATTTCCTTTCTTGAAACCCCACGTTCTTCTTCTTCTCCTCTTCATCCTTCTTCCCTTTCCACCACAAACCTTTCAGACAAGACAAAATGGCGGACGAAGTGTATGACGGTGCCATTGGCATTGATCTGGGTATGTCTATTACTTCTCTTCCGATGCAGCTGGTGTTGTTGTCGAGGTGTTTTATTCTTGTGCGCCATCGGGCGACTCGCTTCATGATGCCCTCACCAGAGGACACTCGAGGACAGAATGATCAACTCCAAAGACAATACACTCAGTGTATCGGACAACTCATCGAAAGCAATCGCTAACACCGTCCTCCCACAGGTACTACCTACTCCTGTGTTGCTACCTACGAGGGTACCAATGTCGAGATCATCGCCAACGAGCAGGGTTCTTTCACCACCCCTTCTTTCGTTTCCTTCACTGATAAGGAGCGTCTGATCGGTGAGGCCGCCAAGAACAACGCTGCCATGAACCCCCGCAACACTGTCTTCGATGCCAAGTGAGTTTTGTCCTCACCTCCAACGCACAAGTTCGCAGTTTCTGACTGATATTCTCAGGCGTCTGATTGGTCGTCGTTTCGATGACCCTACCGTCAAGAAGGACATCGAGTCTTGGCCCTTCAAGATTGTCGATGACAACGGCAGCCCCAAGATCGAGGTCGAGTACCTCGGCGAGAACAAGCAGTTCTCTGCCCAGGAGATCTCCTCCATGGTCCTCACCAAGGTACGCACAAATTTTTGGGCGGACAATTTCCCCGCCCCCGCACTAGCGCAATTTTTACTGACCCCTCCAAATAGATGAAGGAGATTGCCGAGACCAAGCTCGGCAAGAAGGTCGAGAAGGCCGTCATCACTGTCCCTGCCTACTTCAACGACAACCAGCGTCAGGCCACCAAGGACGCCGGTTCCATTGCCGGTCTCAACGTCCTCCGTATCATCAACGAGCCTACTGCCGCCGCCATTGCCTACGGTCTTGGTGCCGGTAAGTCTGAGAAGGAGCGCAACGTTCTCATCTACGATCTCGGTGGTGGTACTTTCGATGTCTCCCTTCTCAACATCCAGGGTGGTGTCTTCACCGTCAAGGCTACCGCTGGTGACACCCACTTGGGTGGACAGGATTTCGACACCAACCTCCTCGACCACTGCAAGAAGGAGTTCGGCCGAAAGACGAAGAAGGACCTCTCTGGCGATGCCCGTGCCCTCCGACGTCTCCGAACTGCTTGTGAGCGTGCCAAGCGTACTCTCTCCAGCGGTGCCCAGGCCACCATTGAGATTGACTCTCTCTTCGACGGTGAGGACTTCACCATGTCCATCACCCGCGCCCGTTTCGAGGACCTTAACGCCAAGGCTTTCTCTGGCACCATTGAGCCCGTTGCTCAGGTTCTCAAGGATGCCCAGATTGAGAAGAAGGCCGTTGACGAGATCGTCCTCGTCGGTGGTTCCACCCGTATCCCCAAGATCCAGAAGCTTCTCTCCGAGTTCTTCGACGGTAAGAAGCTCGAGAAGAGCATCAACCCCGATGAGGCCGTCGCATACGGCGCTGCCGTCCAGGCCGGAATTTTGTCTGGAAAGGCTACCTCCGCTGAGACCTCCGACCTCCTCCTCCTCGATGTCGTTCCCCTGTCCCTGGGTGTTGCCATGGAGGGTAACATCTTCGCCCCCGTTGTTCCCCGTGGTACTACTTGCCCTACCCTGAAGAAGCGGTATGTTCATTTCCTAGTTCTCAAGTTTTGTTTTTTCATTTCTGGTGATGTTTCTGCGGTGTTTTGGCATTTTGGCCAAATCCCAGCCTCGTGCCAGTTGCCCCATATTCCACATGCTCTTTGTGTGGAGCCCCACATGTGACCCACAACTCTCAGCCTTGTCCCAAAATCTGAGGCCTAAAGCTCTTCAGCATTTAGGATAACCTCATCCAACATTCGTCAAATCTTATAAGCATTTATAAAACTTTAGATGATTTATGAACATAAACTAACAATGAATTCATTAGAACATTCACTACAGTTGCCGATAACCAGCAGGTAAACATCCACTTACTCCACTCTACAAAACATCTTACTAACCTGTAATAGACTGTTCAGTTCCCCGTCTACCAAGGCGAGCGCGTGAACTGCGAGGACAACACCTCCCTCGGAGAGTTCACTCTTGCCCCTATTCCTCCCATGCGTGCTGGTGAAGCCGTCCTCGAGTGTGTCTTCGAAGTCGACGTCAACGGTATCCTTAAGGTCACTGCTACCGAGAAGACCTCGGGTCGCAGCGCCAACATCACCATCTCCAACTCTGTCGGCAAGCTCACCACCGACGAGATCGAGAAGATGGTCAACGACGCTGAGCAGTTCAAGAGCAACGACGACGCTTTCCAGAAGAAGTTCGAGGCCAAGCAGCAACTCGAGTCCTACATCGGCCGTGTTGAGGAGATCGTCTCTGACCCCACTCTGTCCCTTAAGCTTAAGCGTGGCCAGAAGGAGAAGATCGAGAGCACTATCAGCGACGCCATGGCTGCTCTTGAGCTCAACGAGTCTTCCGCTGAGGACCTCAAGAAGCAGGAGCTTGCCCTCAAGCGCCTTGTCACCAAGGCTATGTCTTCCCGATAAATGCATAATGCTGTTAGGAATTGCAGCAGTGTAGATATCTTGGAGTACTGATGCTGGAGCAAAGAACCGAGCACCTTCGACGCCTCGCGAGGGGCGATGGGGTTTACGACTGGCCGCGGTAGATTTTCCTTTGTCATTTACGGTAATTGGACGAGGAGAAGCCAAGGCATATGAAAAGTTCTGCATGTTTCATGGGTATGCCGCGCTAGGACATGGGCGGCTATGACTACTAAAATGAGAGCTGATGGAAAAATGGTCCAAGGATGGTTGTGGGCTTGTTGGGCCAGAGCCTGCAAGAGCGGATGATGGCCTGTGAATTTAAGCATAGACAGGGTAGAATGCAGATAACGGAATGATGCCTTTTTACCTACTTAATTATTTGTCCTCGAGTTGCTTTGTGATGTTCTATGATGATCACTTGACTGCTCATGATGAGTTCTGGTATGTGTCTGCTGCCAACTCTATGTTTGGCATTTGTATGCATGTTAGCTCACCATTACTCCTGAGAACGATCAAAGACAAAACGTATTGTATTTCAAAGAAGACAAATGCTTGTCTCGGTTGCTTCTTAGAGTTTTGGATGCTTGCTACTGGCGTTTGAGTTAGAGCATCGATGGAGTCAGGGAGCAAGCAGTATGCAGCTTGGAGACTGATAGCACAAAAGCAATAAGCTCAACAATTGAGCAGAGGTGAGCAAAGACTATTAAGATGCAGGTACAGTCTCCTGGTGTGAGGAGCTGGTGCCTGTTTGCTCTTTAACTTACACAAGGATGATCCACGATATGCGCAGTAATGTATGATGAATTTGTACGCAACTCGCGTGTTTTTTCTTTCAATAATAATAGATACATTTGGGAACCGATGACACCACTCTTATATGTGGTTGATCCAAATGATTTAGTCGGTTGTCCCATGATGAGTTTCCAGCCAGTCTATTCAAGATATTGCAAGTTCATGAGTACATTCTACAATTTGACAATAACCCACTAATCTTGCAATACCTTAGTATAATCTTATGATGACCTTAGGATATCTTATGATATACTTGTCATATAACTTCACCTTTACTGTGTTTATGATTTGCATCGGTAGATACCTGACTTGCACCAACTTATTACAACTAGCAAAGATCTATCCTGATGATATTGTATACTCCGAGACCCGTACGAACCAGGTAAGCTAACCTATTTAATTTAATATTATCTCATGCATGAATAATTAAACTTGTTTGTTGCGCAATGAAGTGGAAGCACAATCACGCGCTGCGTTTGGTAATTAGAAGAATGCGAAAAGATATCCCTTAGCTTCATTAAAAGTTTTATAACATATGTCGAAGTTTAGGCCTAAACTCATATTGATGAAATCAACGGATGATTGGCAGCGATCCCTGACCATAGCTGCGTTAGTGTCCGAGTTCAACATAACAGCACGTAACTCACCAATCACCAAGGACGACCTTAATGTATACCTGGATTTTGAGCAATTCCAAAGCCTTGGTGAGATAAATTACACTTCTTTCCGAGTCAACTGGTCTTCCCACGTATGTTGCTTTTGGTGAATATGAAACGGTGTAAACCACCAACCAGGATAGGAGCCAAAAGACCACAAAACCAGTCATGTCTTAAGGCACCCATGCCTACGTACCAATCATTTCTCATCCCATCAAGTTAAGTACATCGTTGCCTTGCCAAATTCACAGACGTTGCTTTCCCAAGTACATCTAAAATCGATCCCAAAATCCACCTTGCCATGAAAGATTCCGATCCTGACTTTCAAATCGAGTAGTGCACTGAAAGGGCGATGATGATTGCGGGATAGACAACAGCCTCAACGAGAAGTTGCTGCTTGAGAGTACCGCGCTGGTCCTTGGTCAGGCACTGCATTTCTCCGTGGGTGTACCACGATATAGTCGAGTTGAGCTTGCCGTAGAGCACGATAGGGCCGACGAAAGGGAAGAAGAGAGTGAGGATCATGACCCACATGAACATTCGCTTTCCTCGTTGGGCGACCATGCCAGCATGCTGGCGATGGATACGAATATCCTCGCGGGCCTCTTCGATAAGGCGAGCCTCCCTCTGAGTGAAGGGGCTATCGGCAAGGGGATCGAACTCAGATTGGCAGCGACCAACGCGTCGGCCATTGATGCTGGTGGAGAATCCGGGAGTATGAGCTCCAGTGCGAGCAGTGGAAATGCTTGGCTGGAAGTTTCGATACCACACACGGTGAGTGCTTGACTTTGGGTCGGTATGAGGGGGAGTATCGAGGATAGCAGAGGACGAGACTAGCATATCAGTGACTCTGTCATTTGCTATGACCTCGTTAGCTATATCTGCACACGAAAGCGTTGCAACTTACAATCGCGGGGACGATGCGCCTGAGGCAGTCGATGAAGGTGAAGAATACGGGCAGGTCGCGTGACATCGCCACTCGTGGACGAAGGCCAAAAGCTTCTCTTTGGAGGACAAGGAGTTTTTGGGAGAGGAGGCGAGTTTTCAGTGCTGATCGTGTTCGATCTTCCCCTGGCCCCAAAGTTGCCTGCACTCTGGCTGTGATCCTCTTCACCTCTCTGTCGTTTGAACTGCTGCAACATCGCAGCCTCGGGAAGACTGACAAGAGGAAACGGAAGACGAGGAATCTTGGACAGAAAGTCATCATGAGGAACATGGGCAGGTTTGTCCGAGTTGGACTCCTGGAATCGTCTTTTGTACAGTGGCTTGTCAAAAATAGTCAGGGGGGTTTTGGGAGGATCACGACCAAGATTCTTTCGAATTCTATTCCAACTGAAGCCGAAGTACCTTTCGCCATCCGGCGAAATTGTTTCATCGGCTTGGGCGTTTCCATGAGGAGCTGCGTCCGAGTCGAGGCTCTGATAGCTGCCTCTCTTGGGAGGCAGGTCTGAGAGGAGGATGTTCTCATGGCCGGGGGTCTGCTCAGATGGCTCCCTGCGAAATAGATTGGAGAAACGAGCGGTAGATTCAGGTAATCGTGAGTTTGCCTTGGAAAGGTTGCGAGTTGTGTTTGAGGCATAAGTTCCAGGACCTACACCATACTGCGGGACAGATACGGGGAGTTTCGTTCCTCTGTCGGTGCGAAGACGGTATGAGCCGTACTTATTGTTACCAGGAGGATGTCGAATGATTCTGTCTCTTGAGCCGTAAGAGCGAGGATGAAGTTCACGCTCCGTCACGTCGGACACATCAGCGACACTGCTTCCAGTTCCCTTTGCAATGCTGTCGTGATAGTCTTGCTGCATCGAGTCGAAGGCATGCTCCGTCGTGACAGTTTGCCAATCACCATCCTCACCAGTGAGAGGTCGATTCTTGACAAGAGAAGCAATTTCACCTTGAAGTCGTTTATCAGGGACTGGGACACGGCGGATCGCTTTTTCCTCCCGATGAACAGGAACTTTGACCTCTTCATCGACATTCTAAGCCGAACGAATAGCCGCAGCATTGTAAAAGGATGCAACAGGAGCAACCCTCTGTGAAGCGGTGGGAAAGCTTCCATCAGCAGATCGCGGGAGAGTTTCCTTTGAGGAGACGGCTAAGCCGGCTTGGTGCAGCGCATTACTGACTTCTCGCTCGGCCGATGAACGTAGAAAGCCCGAGTATGCATCTGTGTCATACTTGAAAGGGTCTTCATCGCTGTCGGATGAGGCACGAGAGTACATCCCGAGTGCATTCTGTGCCTGATTGTTCTGTGAATAGTTCTCGGGATCGCAAGGGACGCAAATGTCTGGGTCTTGGTTGCGAGGTGATTCGCTGTAGAAGCTGGACGCGGAGTGAAACGAGTGCAAACGGGGAGCTGATCTCGGCACATTTCGCACGGACGGTTGGAGAGACGGGTCACGAGGTGCGACGAGCTCAAAGTTGTGCCTTTGCGGTACCCAGAGATTCTGATTAGGCTGAGACTGGTTTTGCTGTTTGTTCCCAAAATTGAAGTTGCCTCGACGTTTCAGTGGTCGAGTTGAAGATTCGGCATGACTTTCAAACGCATCCTCTCCAGCGACCGTCTCCCATTCGGAAGCAGTATGATCATCGCTTGAAGGCCCATTGATCTTTGGCACAGTGAGGCCAGTGTCCGCATTGTTGAGTCGTGATGGACGCTCAGCGACAAATCTGGTTGGGTCTGGGCTCATGCAGCGAGACATGACAGGACCGGGAGATGAGAAGCCGCGTAGCTGAACACCATCCCCAACCTCAATTCCAGATTTCGCAAAAGGATCCGAATGACATGAGATGGAAGAGGAGGTGGTGTTACGCCCATGACGCGTACCTCGGGCCGAATTGTCGCTCTCAGTGTATGGAAGCGACTGTTGACATTAGTATTCGAGTGTTTGTGAGTGAAAGAGTGTGTTACTTACATTTTCGGATAGCAGTTTCATGTTGAAGCTTGAAGGGGCTTCAAGCATCTAGAAAGTAATAAAGCTTTGAACGAATGAGGGTGCGATGAAATGAAGTGACGTGAGGCGCAGAAAAGAGAGGAGCCTGAGAGATCTTCAACGTGATGTTAATTCAAAGTAAATCGCGGTATTCTTAAACAGATCAACAAGTACCTTCAGAGCGCGCAGTTTTATTGTAGCGGACTGTCCGTTTCAAGCGGTGTTGGCTTTCGGCGTGTGCGGGAAACGGTGTTTATCACGACGGGTCGAAGAGCTTGATGATTGAGTGGTGAATGAGACGACTGCGCTCACTATAAGGAGGGGGATTTCCCCGCCTGGGCTAAAGATGTTGACTGAGGCACCAAGCTTGTCCTGCTAGCCGCAGTGAATGGGAGGTTGGAGGGTTCACGTTGGGAGCATGAGGTTTGGCAGCTACAAATTTTGGTCGGAGCAGTGCCAACAGCTGCCAGGGATCAGAGGTCGGTCTATGTTATTTCAGGGGTCTATCCTGTATATCTATGAGTCCTTGGGCTTGATTTATGTGAAAAAAGATCTTTTAGTGTTGAAACTGATGGGTAGAGTAGCCTTGGGGATGTCAGAAGACTCAAGATGTTGAAGTATGTCCTTCTTAAACCCAACATCAACGCAACAAGCGATATCACCACTTAAGCACAACTGATTATTTTTTATTACGGTTTTCTAATCTATCTCTGCTTGATACATGATATACCCTGGGCTATTTGAAGTCTGGCACCTCTAATACCTTGTGTGGCGATCAAGGCGCTGAGATGATTCCAGGCGTGATTCAAGACTGCCTGTCTGCACTTAACGCCAAGATAAAAGATTCCCCTTTGTTTATGTTGGCCCACCGAGGGGAAGCAAGAGAACTTGAACCTTGATCCTAAATAACAAAAATACTTAGGTAAAACTATCATAAACTTAGGGGACTCTTTGCTGAGTTTATTTGGCATTGCCTGTTTAGGTCTCAAATTTTCTTGCTCCCCGAGGCTCATATAAATGTTGCACAGGGTGCCAATATTTGCTATGCCAGTTACGACAAATACCAGATCTTCTTATCCCCTGAAGTAGATGGTCAGGGTGGACAGAAATATGAGGAGTATGCATCACTTCTTGTTATGACAAAGTTTAGACTCAGGATCTCGCCATCCATTTTCAAGGCGTAGAAGTTCTCCTGTCACACTGTCCTCTAAACTGTCCTCAAAGTGTCTTCTAAATATAATAAAAATCATTAATAACGATTAAGATTAATTTATTCTTTTAGAAGATAGAGTAGATAGATACCTGATAATTATAGGAACAAGCTGCATACCACCAGAAACTTATTATCAAAACTCTAAAAATTTCAGATCGTGAGCCACTTTCTACCCTCATTATCATCACCACCAACCCAGGGCTATTTAGCCTCACATTACACTACAGCACTGCCTGTCTGTACCACCAAGATGAAGCATTGCCCCTTGTTTATGTTGACTCAAATGCTAGTGCCACAAAAGGTGTCAATATTTGTTATGCCAATTATGGCGAATAACTGATCGTTTCATCCCTTAGAATAGGTGGTCGATGAGGAATATGGATCACTTCTCACAGTATTATGACAAAGTTTAGACTAAGCTATATAAAAATTCTCCCAAGCTTAGGGTAATATCCACAACATCATCATAATCATTGTCTTAAATTATATACCAGGCGTTTATTATTTCCCTTCTTCTGCTGGTCAACACAGTATTTTGATTGACCTCGATCGAGATGAACTCCCCGAAAACCCTCCAATTAGAGGCTCCTCCGTGCAGTTGGCACATCTGTGACCGACCAGTTAAGACACTGGGCGTCAGAATAGGCGTAAGGCGCCTTTTTCTAACTGCCGGTTCGTCCGATCGCTTATCGCGACAATCCCAGTCAATCAATGTCCATTGTCAATCCTTCCAACCCCTTCGACCCGCTCCCTTTCCATCAGATTCAACCCGATCCTGACCCAGCACAGCTGTACCTGTCATTGTTAATGTCACTGTCACGCTTGCATTGCGGCACTAACAAGACGACTTGTTGCACTCCCCACTGAAGCGTCTCGAGAAATACAGTACAAGCTTTGCAAAGCTCGCTTCCCGTCTGGCCACTCCACACTTTGGTTTTGGAATCGCAAATCAGCGTGGCGATCGAGTCGAATCGATCCACGGCTAACCAACGGACCAACTGAAGCAGCTGTCTGTTCAACTCTACTTTATCAACAACTCTAACGTTGGCTCATTGAGTTTCGAGGGTCATACTAGGACAATGACAATGACAATGACATTGTGCGCACAAACTTCGAGTCACTGGGACGAGCTCCCCCATGAGATCCTCCTTCAGATCTTGTGCTGTGAGTTGCACCCAGCTTACCTTGCCTTGCCTTAATTCTTATCCCTCAGTACCCCGCTATCGCATAAATCATACCTCCATTACCGTTCCATAATCAATTCCAATTACTGACCACGTGTATTTTTGCTTCATCAGACCTTGAGCCTCATCAATTGCCCAAACTTCAACTTGTTTCGCGGAATTTTAGAGAAGTTGTTCTTGATGATGAATTGTGGAAACATCACTGTTTTGAGCGCTCATCATGGTATGCCTTTCTTCGAAATCGCAGAAAGGTCTTTGCATCTCTACCCGAGTCATCCTTAAGTGATGCCACAGAAGCTGAAGACGAAAATGGTTCTCTACTGGACCAATATGATTCATGTCGATTTGACAAACACCATTATCAATTCCTTCAAGATATGGCAAACTGGGATCCGGCATTTCCTGACGAGCATGTCTCGTGGTATAACGAATACATCCAACGTCAGGGACCGCCGGCTATCAACTGGCTTGAGACGCCACGCCTGAAACAAGGCAGTATGGAGCATTTCATCGAGGTCAGAGGTATGGCCTTATTCAGCCCTAACAATGGCGATGATGGCATCGGCAGTTTGATGGCCGTCTCACCACTCGACGACGGGTCTGTATGTCTCTGGGACGTCAATGGCACCAGGGGCAAGCGAGGGGGTATTATCGCGACCAGTAAACCGGACATCCTATTCATCGACGGCCGCGGGGATCAGAACACGAGGCGGTCCAAAAAGATCGACACAGGTGTCACTGAATGCGTCAGTGTTAATAACAGCAACAACAGGGCTGTCTTTGCTGTGCAGAGTCGTAAGTGCCGAAACGATAATCAACTGCCCCTCACTAATAACTACAATTGTAGATCTCATTGAAGTCGATCTCAGCCGCCTTGAAGTTGTAAATCGGCACTCTTTCGAATGGTCAATCACAACGTTGTCGCAGATCCAGGAGGGTGTCCCAATGACTGTTGGCACCTCATTGGGTATTCATCTTCAAGACTTCAGGGCGCCATCACAATTCCATGGAGATGTCGTGGAGAGGCTAGATATCCCGGGGGAGGAGGACAATCCTTTCAAGGGAATCTTTGATCCGAATCCATTGCCGCCGTACGCCTCATTGTCTCAGCCAACGCCAACGAGCATTCTACACCTACCAAGACCAGCCGGCGACAATGCAGTGTCGGACGACATTTACGTGGCGGGGAGATTCTCCAATATTCTTCATTACGATAGGCGCCACTTCCCAAAGATCGTGGGGTCCATTTACTCGGGCTCAAGGTTGTCCAGTTTGGCGGCGCTGCCTTATCCATTCTCCACGTTGGACCACGAAGTACGACGTCGTGGAGAACTCACGGCTGAGAGAGTCCATGAGTGCAAGACAGCCGGTAGCGGGAGAACTCTAGTCGCAGGCGGAGAGTACAAAACCAAAGGCTCGCTCGAGGTGTATGGCCTGGACGCTGTCGACCTATCAAGTGACGGCCCAATGCAGCAGAACTCAACTATGAAGAATCGGTATACTGCAGCTTCATCCATCATCCTGTCGGTGATCAACCACGGAACCAAGGTTGCATTCTCAGATGGGGCCGGGCAGATTAAGTGGTTTGAAAGGGACGGATATACGGAGTGCCGTCGAATCAAGGTTGGTCACAGTGACGTGCCCACTCAAGCATCACTCTTCGCTTCCATGCCAGGGTCCGACGATCTCGCAAGGAAGATCTTATCCACCAAGACAAGGCAAGATCGTGACCGACCAAACGAAGACAATGTCATCTTCTGGACGGGAGATAAGCTTGGTATGGTTAGTTTCACAGGAGATACCTTGTTCACGCCCGACGATTTCCAGGAAAAGAACAAGGAGGTCGCGGCAGAAGAGCGTCAGCGCCAGCAATATTCTCAAAGGATGCGGGAAGCACTGGAGAAGCAGGCCGATGATGCTAGGTTTGTTCAAGGACTTGGGTTATAATGAAAAAGAGAGTGATTGGATCTGAGAATGCGATAATGGGGAGGCTTTCGGCGACATTGCGAAATATGGCGAGGATCTGTCGAGCTACGAATTTAGGATGAAAAGGAGGCTCTAACAAAAGAAATAAGTAATCCCGGCACATAGAAAAATAACTCAATCTCCAAACAGTTTTGACTGAGTGCCGCACGATATCACACATCACGAGACACAGTGATCGTCGGTGGAGAAAGGGTCTTTTGGGGTCGAAACGATGGTTGAATACCTCAATACCTATTGAATAATGAGGCGCGTGGCGAAGAATTGGTCCCATAACAGTAGTGAGCGGGCTCCCAATAAAATCGGGATTCTAGTGAGGGGTGATAGAAATAAGTAACCATACCACTGGGAACGGTGGCCGACCAGTGATGCAGTCTTTATGCCACTACCTTTCACCCAGAGCTCTCTTTGAATCCCTATTTCTTGGTACCCACCTGACTAGGAATGAATGATGAGCAAAACTAACAAGCATAAAGCCAGTAGCATCGGCATACTACGTAGGCTCGGGGATGCAAGAAAGCTTAGGACATTAATCCTAAGTGACGAAAAGATATAGGTAATTTAGTCTAAACTTAGGGGACTCTTTACTAGCTTTATTTTGGCATCCTCCTCTAAAGTCTGAGACTTTTCTGCCCCCCGAGGATAGTAAAGGATACTTGCATCCGGGGCTGATTTATGCAAGCAAGGCATTAGTGTTGTGGTTGTGGTCAGAATTAAGCGAAGTTAATGATGATGATACATAGACTGTAGATTGCCTGCAGTTTTGCTTGATCGACCTTTATGATAGAGCGGCCCTGAATCTGTATTTATGAGATCGATCTTATACGATGTTACCGGAAGAAGTGGAGTGTAAACCTCCGTGCTTAGAGCACGATCCAAGTCTCAAGAGTTAAGCTGAGGCTAAGAGGCAGATGAGATGAAACCAGAAGCACGGTAATTCTACGGTGTAGTCCATAGATGAAGTCCACGATATCCCTGGCAGTCAATCTCAAAGAGCCAAGCTAGCTTTGCATGGCATGTCATATTCCAAGCTGTCACTCGCACTCACAGATCTCAAGCTGACGACAGCGGCTTGATTCCAGAGCCCGTGCTTTGAACAGAACCCTGGTGTCTCATTAATTACCAGTTCTTCTGTTGCAAAACATGGAACGAATAGACTTCCAGAAATATCAAGGAAAGGAAAAGCATCGATTGACATGAAGTTCAAAAAAACCAGGGCAACCAATCGCGGACAGGGATCTACACCCCCCAGCCAATGAGGGTCTCGGCAGAGTGAGCGCTTACGGACAGGTCAAGACGGCAGATTCTGTTGCTTATCGGGATAAGTTAGAAGGCCTCAATGCTGAATTGGGCTCTCGACATTAGAAAAACCACGTATGAGCCTCAATGGGAATCGCCAATAGGGGTAGGCAGTAAGCCCTGTGAAGTACAGATGGATCTCTGCTATAACCAATTGCTCATACACGCATGATTGTAGCCAGATCCAAAAGGGTATCCCGGCCTCGGACACGCGGTGCTTGTCAACCCTTGACGGGAAGTGGACTTGGTAGTGGAGATAATCATGGTGCGTTGTCAGCTTGACAGTGAGTGCCTGGTGTTTTAGTTCGCCTTGCTGAAGAAGGCAAGCGAGCGAAGGGAGCAGGCAAGCAGGCAAGCTAGACGATGAAGCTCCAGCCTGGTCTTGGTCGGTCTTGGTTCTTGAGCTCATGTGCCGTTGTCTATCATGCCAAGAGCCAGAGTTCATTGGAGAAGAGGCCTCAAGTAATCGACAGTGGCTGATCTGCTGCTACTGCAAAAAACTGGTTCGTTGCCCTGGATTCGGAAACTGAAAAGGAAAATCCCTGAAGATCAGAGTCAGTCCGACTGTTTCGGCCGGGTTTTCCTTTTTATAGAAAAAACGGGCGCATCTCGTCCGACTGAAGGGAAGGGAAAGGGGCTTACCGTGTACTTGGTGAGAAACTATCGTGACGCAGTGACGGTAGTGTAGAGAAAACAAGAATATCGGCGAATACAATTACACCGCTATATAGAAATAGAAATAAACACAGACACAGCCAAGGTGCAGACGACGCCATGCCAGTTGAGGGTTGGCGACGGAACGGAAGATGGAAGCAATCTCAAGTAACAAGGCAGGGCTCCTCAGTCTGACCGCAAGTAATTGATGGCTGTAATGTCAATAAACCTCATAAGGGCTCAAGTGGTATTCTGCAATCATCCAGTAGTTGAAGTGAGGCGCCTCTAAAATCCACAGAACGGTCCATCTCACAGTTGTCGTGTCATGTCATTGTCATGCTGCCTCCCACCACGTCCGATCCCGAATCAATTGAGTCTCCTCCAGCGCCTCACAAACCACCAAAGACAAGGATTCCCCAGCGCAGAGGACACTGACTGTGGGCTGTGATGAGGCCGACAGGGGGTGTGTGGCCCCCCTGTACTGTACACCTGGGCTGCTAGGCCCTGTCAGTTGGCGACCGACGTTCAACAGCGACGGGACTAAAACTAACTAATCGATCGCCCTGAAAACGAGATAAGTTAGTTGGTGGGTGGCTTGCATCATATTTGGTCCTGGCTCGTCCCGCGATTGCAGCAGCTGAGCTGAGGTTGCTGTGCTGCGCTGTGCTCTGCTCTGCTCTGCTCTGCTGTAACTGTAACTGTCTTGTATCAGACGGGAGGTTACCAAAAAGAACTTACGGTCAAGCTTTAGGTCTGAGACCATCGAATTTCTCGTTCCTTGAATGCATTTCTCAACATAGACTTTTTCATCTCTTCTGTTTCTAGTTTGTTTTATCTTTTCTCTTTCTTGTCTCTTCTCCATTCTTCGGATCCAATTCCTACCCGACCGCCCCCATCCGTCTCCTCATTAACTGCTACTACGACTGTGACAGCGCTGCAACTGGCACTGCAACTGCTCACGCGTCGTCTCGTCAAAACCGCCACCCAAGACCGTCCATCGGACTCACCGACATCGATCCCTCAACTCAAAACTCTCTTCTTTCACCAGCAAAATCATCACGAGATCGTCCAAGCTTCTCGGAGAATCACAGACTGTAACCCCCTATGTGATCCTCTCTCTCTACGCTTATCAATTCCCAACAAAACCCACCCCCCGGCTCAGGTCGATGAGCATGTCCCATGGCCTTTTGGGTGGTTGACGGGGGTCGTCCGCTTGGTGTTACCGCTACTGTTGCCGCTACCGCTACTGCTACTGGCCGGGGTCCGTACTATGTGGGTGGTAAAAGGCGAGTGAGCGTCTCCGAAGGCGGCGATGGCTTCACTTTTGATACCAAAAGAACCAGGTTCGCCGATGAGCTTCCTTATGACGCCTACGACAATGCACCCATCTCTGCAGCTGTGGCTGCACCAAGTGGCTATGCTTCCTCAGATCATGCATCGCCTTATTACCCACAACCACAACCGGCATTCCATTCTGGAGTTCACATTATTAGCAAAGCATATCCGCACAATCAACCCTTCGATCATGAGGACGAATTCTTATACAACCAAGACATTGAAAATTACCCTCCATTGATCCATCGGCCTGACTCAGCTCCCGTCAAGAACCTCTCATTTCTCGTCATTCGCGAACGTTCACCAACCCCAGAAGGACCCGATTTCCCCTCTATCGATGCCGCCTTCGGTCCAGCTCCCGAATCCCGGCCGGGACCTGTATTCGGCCCTTCCGGTCCAGCTCCGGCACCCGCTCCCGTCGCCGATGCATGCGCTATGGAACGCACAGCATCTGGTCTTTCCATCTCATCTGATACTACTCAACCATCGCTCGCCAGTCTATCACCCGCTGCCGACGAAAACGACCCAGGATTGTTGAGTGACCTCGCTGCCGCACGTTTAGTCCGTGATCACGTTGCCAACTTTGGTTCCAGTCGTCGAAGACATCGCACCACCGACTCTCGCCACGGCCGTATCCTCAGAGCGCTCATCAACCCAAAGTCTCGCGCAGCCGAATTCTCCTTGGACAACGACGCATTGCGCAGCATCTTCTCTGCCGCAAACGAACTCTTCTTCTGTAACCGTCTTGCTGGTCGTGTCGCATGGGACTGGAGTCACCCTGCAAGCGCGCAGTATCAGGCGCACATTGTTGGCACCACAGCGGTACGACGTTCCCGTGATGGAGGCTACGAGACACTCATTGTACTTTCATCGCCTATCCTCCAGGATACAAAGTACAACCGGCGGCTTCTCATCTCGACATTCTTACACGAGATGATCCACAGCTATCTCTTTGTGGTATGTGGTCTCAAAGCCCGCCACGAAGGCGGTCATACCGAGGGTTTCCGCCAGATTGCAGATACGATCGACCGCTGGGTTGGACATAGCTACCTGCGACTCAGTGAGATGGACGCTGATCTGGAACATTTCCGCGAACATCCCTCCTGCGTGCATGATCAACACCAGATGCGCAGTCGAAGTGCAGACGAGCACCACAGGGTGCCATGGCGCAGTGAGAGATGGGAGGATGGAGAGCGGGATGCTCACTATCCAACCGAGCTTCATCCACGACCGCATTTCAATCATACAGATTGGGAGCGACATGGGCGAGAGGGGTACAGAGCCCCCGATGTCCGGAGAGGAATCTCACCATACGTTTACTAAGCGTGGAGGTGACCCTCGAAGGTCGCCCACGTATTGTTCGTTTAGTCAGGTATGCGTCTCAAATGACCGCAATGCTGATATTATATGTCATGATGATCATGACTATCCATTCTTCACCACACATTACCACCATTTACATCAAAACTTAACCGCGAGAGGTTGCTTATTTCTTTTTAATCTCAAGATTATCTTATGGGCTTGCTTGGTCTTTACACATATGATTCCCCCTTTTTTACAGCGCGGCAGTGGGCATTACATGGGCGTTGATAACGGAAGCATCATCACGGGCATGGCAAGGGAATATCATATAACGTCAAGCAGTGATATAGGCGCTGCGAGGCTTCTTTTTCGAACGTGTGGGAAAAGTATCAAATTATCATTATACCAAAGGCTGAATTTTCTATGTGCAGGATGGGACATCAATACATCATGGTGGCGAAGATTGAAAGGATGGCATCATGATAAGATTTATATAAACTACAATTTGGTAGCAATATCAAGAAAAACAACGCTTTTACTATCTAACACTTCCGTCATTAGATGCGAGACATTATCATACTCATTATGCTTTGACGCCCCCTATGCAAGGTGTATACAAATGCAGTCTCACCCAAGCATCCCATAACCAAAAGCAAAACCCACATTCAGTAAAAGTTCTAACCACATCTGACTTTATGACAAAAGGCAATCTAGTCAGAATCTGAGACACACAGGCCTAAATATGCCCTAAGGATGTCCTAAGGATATCCTAAAAATATCCTAAGATATCCCAAGATATGCCCTAAACATGATATATTATATGAGGAGTCTTGGGATCCTTGAAAGCAAGTCACCGAAGTGCTGTGATTACCTCGATACCTCACTTTCGTCCGGTCATAGTTCCGTAGCTTTGCTCTACAGACCTTGACTTAGTCTTGGTCAAAGGCAGCTCCTCTTCCTCTTCAGAATCAGACGCAATCGCGGAATCTTCAGGCAACAATATCGTACTCGATGAAGACGAAGCCTGGTCGTTTTCTGTGTCGCTGTTCTCTGCTGAGCTTGAAACGGAAGCGGAAGGGCCTTCTCCATCTTCAACGAGGTAAGCCGGGATAGCACCTAGGATAGCAATGAACATGAGGAAGAACCATGCAGTTACAACGTAGCCATGATCGGCGCCCCAAGTGAAAAGAGCACCTGTCGAAGCTGGACCAAGTGCACGACCTAGACCACTGAAGGTTGTGGCATAACCATTGAGCGTGCCAAGTACCCGGAGAGAAGTGCAGGAGTTTGTCAGAAGGATAGTGACAGATGGGAATGCGACAATGATTCCAGCAGCCTTAATGAACATAACACCCATGAGAGCGATCATGCGGCCCTTGTGTGTCGGGAAAAGAACACAGTAAGGGGTGAGGAAGTAAGCAAGTGGCATCAGAAGACCTAAAAGATATTAGAACCCAGCAATTCGATAATGATGACTTTCAACTTACAGCAGACTCTAAAGCAACGCAAAACACCGAAGCGAGCAACGATTGAAGGGTAGATGAGGAACTGAACAGCGCAACAAACGATGCCATAGATGGTGTATATGGTGCCAACCTCACTGTGCTTCATGCCAAATCCTCCTGAGAAGTAGAATGGAAATGAAGTATTCTCGGGAGTATGCTTTTCAACTGGGTGTCTGAGGAAGACACTGAGGATCTGATCATAAGCCACGGAATGGAATGCGAGAAGTGTGTAGATCAAGAGGTTCATGGCTGTTGCACGGGTAATGACGCGTTCTTTCTTAGCATGTTCTGAAGCTTCGTGTGTCTTCTTCTTTGGTGCTGTCTTGTTAGGAAGAAGCGGTGAAGTAGCTTCGCCGTCTACAAACGAAGCTCGACGGGTAGAGGGTGCTGGACGAGTGGTCTTGAAAGAGCGAGTGATACGCTCGCCTACCAGGAGACCCCAATCCCGGTGTCCTCGCTTGCTAGGAAGTGTTTCCTAGATCTGTTAGTGATGATGTGCAGTCAATCCCTAACACAGACTTACATGGAGAAACAGGGCTGCAATGGTAGCTGAGAATAGAAAGAAAACCATGAGAATCAGATTAGGTAGCGCAAAGGGAAAGCGCTTGAAGAACTCGATATGGCCAAAGATTTGGGGATATTGTTCTGCAGGCTCAGCGAAGAGACCTCCGAAACTAGGTCCGATGATGGAACCCAGACTCCAAACGATAGGCATAATGGAGAATGCTCTTGGCTGAAGTTCCCTCTCAGGTACCAGCTCGGCAACCACTGTTCTGATGATACCGACTAAACAAGATTAGTGAGGAGTTCTGTGTAGCTCTCGTCTTACACACCATTCCCGTTTCCACCTCCCATAATGGCTCGGACAATGATAGCCATAGGTAAATTTGTAGACATGCCCCATACTATGAAGCAGATCATTGAACTCATAAGGCCAAAAATGATTATCGGTTTCCGACCATAAATATCGGAAGCCTTTCCCCAAGCCACTGCAGTGGTACTTTGTGCTATGGAGAAGACTCCAGATGTGAGTCCTACCCAACTTCCAACCTTGTTGGTAGGAACACCAAAGCTGCTAACCATGCTGGGCAGATATGGGAAGACTGAGCTGTAGGCCATGGGTTCGGCAATTCTGGCCATGGCTATTGATAGGTCAGCGGAGATCGGATGGAGCGGGATACCTGGACTGGACCATGATGTCTCTATGGGCTATGTGTATTTTCATGTTATAGTGCCTCTGTTGTTGATGAGAAACGCTCTATCAAATATTATATATATAGGAGCACACTTTCGCACGGGAATGATGGGGAACGAGAATGACTCGGTACTGGGTTGAGGCTCATGGTGTTCGGATCGTGAACCATGCTCGTATATTGACATCTTGATACCAAGCAGGTGAAAACACAACAAGGGTGTTTCAAGGTCTTTTACAGGTATCCGTGAAATGATGAAATACTAAGACTTACCCAGAATCGCCAGTTGCTGCTTGGGCAGCTTTGGACCGTCCTTGGTCGTCATCGCGAGGAACGATTGCGCAAAGAGCAACAGTGGAGAGGTTCGAAGTAATAAATTTTCTTGTTTCTAACAAAGACCAACGAGTATCATGTACAACGAGACGGTGACACGAGGGATGATTAATCTGGATATACGATATACACGATCAGCTCATCAATATCTCAACTCTTGCACCAACAATAAGGGAGGAAAACAAGAAGAAGTTTTGGTTCGCAGTCACATTTACAAAGTAGAAGAGGTCAAGCCAAGCAAGCCACCAGAAAAGATATGGGTCATTGAGACCAGAAGCGGTTTGGTCGGCACAGGCAGGGTAGTGCAGAAAAGGGTTCCGATCCACTGCTCCAACCTCCAGAGGACGGACTCGAGCAGGGGTGTTTTGGGCAATTCTGCGGTCAGGAGCCCGATAATTGGAAGAAACTGCCCCCAACTTTTCCAAAATGGCCCGCAGATTTATAGCCCGTGGGTGTGAATGCCTGGTAAAGGATGGGGTCACAGGAGCACTCTGGAGTGCATATTCGCCGGGGGTTTGCTACTATCGTTTGTTTTCCGCGGGAAGATTCTTTCTGTGAGACATCGGTGAGATATCATGACGCACAGGATAACTTGTAGTTATGTACAGTACGGTAAGGTAAGGTCAGTGCAGTGAAAGTCTTACACGAGAATCATTTGACCTTGGCTAGCTTGGGTAAGGCGAACTCGGCTTGTCTGGGTTGCAACCATTATTACTTGACTATCTCGATTTGTCCGGGGTCAACCATCATCTTGTCTCTGCCGCCCCCGAAAGCGCCGCCCTAAAAGTGCTTCAGTCATCCCGTCCTGCAGGCCTCCGGATATTCCCTGCCTTGAGTCCGCCCTATTGCCGTGCCGAGCACTTGGCTGGCGGTGGATCAATCTTTAAAGATTTCTGTGAGCTTTGTTTACTCATCATATGGCCCATAAACGAGATTCCATTGTATTGTTTATCGAGTTCCGTTCAAACAGCTGTGGTTTAGAGTCCTGGAGGCGACAAAAAAAGAGGGAAAGACAGTTGCAGCTGTAAGATGAAAGATACTTCCTAGATAATTTATAAAACTTACTCTAAATCTAGGACTCTAGTCTCATAAGAAGATCCGATATTATTGTCCTAAATGTAAGAAATCTCTATTCAGTCATTTTTTCTTTAACTCTGAATGGATGATAAATACCGATTTCATCATCTTCAGCCGAGGCTGGGGGTGGCGGCGCCACTACGTGACAGCATTGACCAATCATTTCTAAGAGTCTGTTTCGTCATCAATATCGCCTATCACATCACATTACAACTTCCTGTTACAACTTGGGTTCCTTTCACGTTTCAACTTTCACCAACATCATTATTCAGGTTCCTATTACATGAGTAAATAAATCCAAAAAGCCCCTGGAGCTGCTAGGACGCCTTCATCATGAGTCGGATGTGAGTTCAACACCTACAGGACCTTAACCATTGTCTCCCTCCACTTTCCGGACATCGTCATCCAACCTGGACCAAATCCACCATCGAGGCTTGAGACTAATACTAAACCACAATATTCAGTAACTCCTCCCATCAGGAGCAGGAGAAGATGCCAGACGAGAACACGCCTCTCATCCAAACCGTTCGGGTCGGCCCTCCCCGGAGGAGGTATCCTCACCAGACCTGGCGTCGATTCTTCACTCTGATTTGCTCCGTGATTCTCATCGGCGGTTTTGGCTTGTTCGTGTTCCAAACTTTCTTCATTGGGCCTCGTCATCATCACGGCCACCCTGGCTCTTGGTTACCAGGCAAGAGCCGTCTAAGTTATGAGGAACTCGAACGTATTCTCTTTGATACGCCGGACCCCAAGAAGGCTGAGGAATGGAGCCGTTACTATACATCGGGCCCCCATCTGGCCGGCGCCAACTACTCACAGGTAAGGACTCATAATGGATGGCCAGTTTTAAGTATTAAGCTCATCTCTTCTAGGCCGAGTGGACCAGGGATCGATGGGAGGAATTTGGTGTCAAGTCTGAGATCGTGGCTTATGACGCCTACCTCAACTACCCCGTTGATTCCAGCGTTTCCATCCTGAAGAAGTCGAAGAATGGGAAAGACTGGGACACCACCTTCAAGGCCTCTCTCGAGGAAGATGTTATTGACGAAGACCCCACAACGTCCCTCGAAAATCGTGTGCCCATCTTTCACGGCTACTCGGCGAGTGGAAATGTCACTGCTTCCTTCGTCTACGTCAATTATGGTACTTATCAAGACTATCAAGATCTTGTTGATGCCAAAATTGACGTCAAGGGCAAGATTGCTATTGCTCGATATGGAGGAATCTTCCGAGGCCTCAAGGTCAAACGTGCACAAGAACTCGGTTTCGTTGGCATCCTGATCTACAGTGACCCTGGTGATGATGGAGAAAGGACCGAGGAGAACGGGTACAAACCTTACCCTGAAGGACCTGCACGTAACCCCAGTGCTGTTCAGCGCGGAAGCGCAGAGTTTCTGAGCATTCGCCCTGGTGATCCGTATGTTCCCATAATCCTGAAACGAAAAGACTGAACTGACCTTCTAGATCTACCCCTGGATATCCTTCCAAGCCTGGTGTTCCCCGAGCACCAGTCGATGATGCAACCCCTTCTATCCCCTCCATTCCTATCTCATACCGTGATGCCCTCCCTATCCTCAAAGCTCTGAATGGTCACGGTCCAAAATCCACCGACTTTAACAAGTACTGGAACAAGAATCTCGGCTTGAAGTACAAGGGTATCAAATACAACATCGGTCCCACCCCGGATGATGTTGTTATCAATCTCTATAATGAACAGAAATATGTCACTACTCCTCTCTGGGACGTTATCGGCGTCGTCAATGGTACTATCCCCAATGAAGTCATCGTTGTTGGAAACCACCGAGACGCTTGGATCGCTGGTGGGGCTGGCGATCCCAACAGTGGCTCTGCAGTCATCAACGAGGTCATACGAGGAGTTGGAAAGGCCGTCGAGGCTGGTTGGAAGCCTCTTCGAACTATCGTTTTCGCGAGCTGGGATGGCGAGGAATACTCACTCATCGGCAGTACCGAATGGGTTGAGGAATATCTGCCATGGCTCTCGGAAGCAAATGTCGCCTACGTCAATGTCGACGTCGGCGTCGACGGCCCCGAGTTTACTGCTTCTGCAGCTCCTCTCCTCAATCAGATCATCCGCGACGTTACAAGCGCTGTACCCTCGCCCAACCAGACTATCCCTGGTCAGACAGTCAATGACCTCTGGTCAGGCAGGATCGCAACCATGGGCAGCGGCAGTGATTTCACCGCGTTCCAGGATCATGCAGGTATTCCCTGTATTGACTTTGGTTTCAAGTACAGAGGTAACAGTGCTGTGTATCACTACCACAGCAACTATGACAGCTTCTACTGGATGAAGGAGTACGGTGACGTTGGATTCAAGTACCACCGAACTATGGCTCAGATCCTGGGTCTGACCATTGCCAAACTTGCTGGGACCGTGATTATTCCCTTCAGTGCTACCGAGTACGCTGATGCGTTGGAGGGCTATCTCGACAAGGTTGAGGCCAAGTTAGAGCCTACCAAGGACGCTCTCACCGAGGAGGAGATCTTCAATATCCGTGGTGCCGTCTCATCGGGCAAGCCGATTGGCAACGAGGACGATTTCAAGACGAGCCTCAAGGATATTCGTGACCTCCTTGGACACTTCCACCTAAAGGCTAGCGAGCTCGACGCTGAAGCTGAAATCGCTAAACATCAGCTTGAGCAAGGTATTCCATGGTGGAACATCGTTGAAAAGATTCGTCTGGGCTATACCATCGTCAGGGTCAACAGGAGATATAAGTTGCTTGAAAGGAGCTTCCTCTACGAAGGAGGCTTGGATGACCGAGACTGGTTCAAGCATGTTGTATTTGCGCCTGGTATCTGGACCGGTTATTCTGGAGGTAAGATATCGCCGAAAAGAACGTGACTCACATGCTGACGATTATATAGCTGTTTTCCCTGGTTGGGTTGAGAGCATCGACGCCAAGGACTATATCAAGGGCCTCAAGTGGTCCGCCATTATCGGACGCTCCATTAACAGTGCCATTGATGGTCTTTCGGATTAGGCTGCTGATTGGTTCTGGACCTGTTTTGAACTAGGATCTATTTAGCTATTTATGCTCAAATGTGGAACTGATAATCAAGTTTTCGTGCCATGTCATCATGAGAATGTGATGAGTGTAGCGCATGCTATGCATGCTATGCTTAGAGGGCGCGAGAACATGACAGGAGATCGTCAACTATCTACCGGAAATGTACCTACCTCTTTTGAATATTTAAGAAGTATATCATCACAAGTATAAGCCTCGTGTCATAAGATTAGTATTCTTGAGGTAAGGCTTAAGGCAGAGGCAACCCAAGTGTACATGGCATTGTCATAAGTTAGCGGGCGGATTTCCCTCACATTTCCTTAAACTGCATGGCATACATGCCATACTGTACTAATAAGAATACATCCAGTCACTAATGAATGCACAAAATCGAAATGTAGGTTGGCTTGTTATCAATTCTAGACGGCATCCCGTCGTCTATATCGCTTCTATAGCAGATCTTACACTGTTCTCTCTATGCTTTGTCGCCATCATTCAATTCTATCATTACATGCGCATCGTTCGCTTAGAACTTGTACACCTGGTCCTCCTTGTAGCCAAGCTCCTTAAGGGCACCAGTCAGCTCACCCTGGTTCTTGGGGCTGACCTTGTTTCCGGAGATGGCGTTCATGAGACCGGGAGGGCCGCAGACAAAGAGCTTGATGTTCTCGTTCTTGGGCTCAGGGAGAACAGTCTTGAGGAGCTCCTTGGAGATGTAGCCGCTGTTGCCGACCCAATCCTTGGGGGGGTTGTCGAGGACATAGAAAGCACGGAAACGCTGGGGGAAGGTGTTCTCGAGGTGCTCAAACTCCTTCTTCAGAAGGATGTCCTGCTCGGAGACGTTGCCAAAGACAAGGGTGACCTTGGTCTTATCGTTGGGGTTGTTGAAAATAGCGCGAGCGAGCTGGTACATGGGGGTGATGCCAGTACCGCCGGCAATGAGGGCAATGTGGTCGTGCTTGTTCTCCTCCCAGGGGTACTTGGGCAGAGGACCCTTGATGTCGAGACGTTGGCCGGGAACAAGGTTGTGGAGGTGTGTGCTCATAGGACCGTTGGGGTACTTCTTAACGAGCAAGTCGATGAAACCCTTCTCGTCTGCAATCGTCAGTCGGCTGTGCTAAAGAAATCTAATTCGGCTACATACTTTCATCGCTGATAGGGGTGTAGGGTCGGAGAGTAGCCTTCTCGTCGTTGGGACCCTTGTACTTTGTAAGAATGGCGCTGGCAACGTGCAGGCCAGAGACTTGATCGGGCTCGGGAAGCTCAAAGCGTAGACGCTTGGTGTTGTGGTTGACAAGCTCAACATCCGAAAGCTTGAGGGAAACGAAACCCTGGTCACCACCAGTGAAGGCCTTCTTGGGCTCAACACCAACGGCCTGCTTCACATCAGCAGCAGCAGCCGCAGCAGAGGGAGCTCCGCTCTTGCTGAAGTACCAGTAACCAGCACCCCCGACGGCAGCAGCTCCAGCGGCGTAGAGGATAGCATTGGAACCTCCAGCGCCTCCAGCCTCGGTGGCATATCGACGAACAGACTAAAAAGTAAGTTAGTTAAGCTTCGCGACGAGCAATTGAGGATGATGTAGTTCAGATTGATAATCCGAAACAGACCATGGAGGGGCGCAAATGCGCGTGACGAGAAAAAACGTACCCTCAAAGGCTGAGCAGCGCGGAATGCAGATCGGGCGAACATCTTGACTTGATTATGAGGTCAATTGAAGGTCAATTGGCCAGAAGTAGAGAATGAGAGGTTGTTGCTGGTATCGTCTGAAGAGCTAGAGAAGCGGGCGTATCCAGGTATTCCGAAATCGCGACGGAACGAGAGATGACGTTATGAGTCACGTGATATCCCGGACAAAGCACGTCAACTTCGGGAACCCGGCCGTAGATATCTTCGCTCGCTTGTTGTATGATGTGATATAACGAGCTTGGATGTAGACGAGCGCTAGATTTTGCTCTGGTAATGATTGCGTGATGGCTTGTCTCGGGGGATGTGGTACAAGTAACTTGACAATAAGCAATCTCCAATCAACTTATGCCATGTCTATTTCTCCATCTTCCAAGCTTTTTAGCTTCGGCAATACGATACAGGCTCTCAAAAGGAAGGTTTAGGTTAACAAGGGGAACTCGGTTATTTTATGATGGGTGCATCAGGATATACTATCTTAATAGGTTCATATATAGATTACCGAAACATCGGCCTTTTATTACTGCGATATAGCACTAACCCCGTCCAACACCACTTTCATCTTCTCTGAATCTCTCGGTAGTTCCCCTTGGAACTCCTTTTTCTCATTACCTAGCTCAACAGATCTCTGTATTCATTGATCTGTCCTCCGTCATAACTCCATACAGCCAATCTAGATAACTTTTGCCCTTAAACAAGACTGAGAACATTGCCGTCTCCCATCATGCCAACGTGGCATATTTATACATAATCTCAAGTCACCTGTTGACGGCGGTCGGAGTTTGCTGTGGTATTATTGGTATATTCGCCCGCTCCATTAGAAGAATACATCGAATCGTGAACGTCTCTTCAAGCATGGCATGCAATTCGTTATTATTCAATCACCATATCACCTTTCCTCTCCTCTCGCTTCCTCACAGCCCCCTGGCTCGACCAACTCCATTGGTGGCTTCGTCTGTACTGGTGTAACATTCGAGTCCCTCTTTGTTCCACTGTCGTGACTCTCCCTCCTCAAAATACCAGTATCTTGAGGCTGAGCAATCGTCGGTGTGTTTGCTTGGCTACCTCCCCGTTGCCCGTGATAGTGAATAACTTGGGGAGGCGGTTGTCCGGAGTGGAGGCCCAGTTGCTCAGTGGGATACGGGTCAAGGTCTTTGCTCGAGGTCGAGAACATCGACACGATTGGCTGATGGTACCCGTTAGTCGCATTGCTGGAAGATGGAGTATGGCCATATTGACCGCTATGCTCCGCTTGAGTAGGTGTGCCCACATCAGGGGAGCCAGTTCCCTCCACAAGGTGACCAGCCAAGCTGTTCATTCCTCCCTCAATATCGCGAAGTAGTCGGACATACTCCTCGGGCACCAGGCCGCTTTCCTGCGTCTTCGGATCCTCAGCCACCAGCCAGCCTTGCCCGTGCCGGTACGACACCCAGATAATCTGGCCCTCAACTAGAGGCAATTCGTTCTCGTTTTCCCGCTCGAAATCGAACAGGGCGACGGCCTTGCCGTGGAACTCCTCGTCCGGCGATGTAATAGTAAACTGGTAATCTCGTGAATAGCGAGACTGGTCCTCGTCATTGTAGCCTGGAGACGATGGGGAACTGTCAGACTCGGGCTGATAGTACTCACCGCCCTCGGCAGCCCGGGGTTGCTGGGCAATGTGATATGCCCGACTGTGTCTTGCCTGCTCTGGAGGATATGTAACAAAATCTCCACCAGGGCCGTTGGCCTCGCCGCTGTTATTGACATAATATGTTTCGCTACCGTCTCCGCTAGTTCCCATATAGTAACCCCGCTCATGATCATAGTTCGAAGAATGCATATCAAGATCGCGACCTGTCCTCCCCCTCAGCGTTGTCGCTGCCGAGGTTGACTTATGCTTGCGGTGGCGTGTAGCTACAACAGGGCTTTGCAGATCCTCGTCTTCGCTATATGGGGGCCCACCGTCGAATTGGATGGGGGCCAAATCATGGCCACGGTTGAATCCATCTGTACCCCACGACTCCCAAGGCATACGTGTTTCCCACGACACTGGGGGATCTGATAACCTACGATGCTCGCTTGCGGGCGTTGTCATACCGGAAGGCGGTCCCGAAGGTTCTGGCGGCGGCCCATAGTGCAGAGGATGAGTAGCAGGGTACGCAAAGTCCCGCACTTGAGTATATGAGAGAGTCGAGGGAAACATCGGAAACATATGTGAGGTCGGACGGGATCTCGTAGGCAGAGAGCCCGTCGAGTATTGGGAAAGTCGGCTTCTGGAAACGTGAGACATTGGTCGCGATTGTATGCTTCGGCGCGAAGGCGGAGAGGTGATTAGAGGTGGCAGCGCGGGGTGATTAGGGTTCGGAGAAGAGGATGCGGCTGCTGAAGGAGAGGTCACTGGAGAAGAAGTCGTAGACATAACTGCCGTTGTCGACATGCCTTTTAGGAAAAGGTCTAGCGACAGTCGTGCGATCTGGCGCACGCGGCCGCGCAACCGCCGAAGGATGAGCGTGCAGCAGAGAAGGTCTCGCGGGGCTGCAGTAAGACTGACAGTTAGACGGTGCGCTAAAGAACTAGGTATCGGCAGCGAGATTGAAGCGGCAAAATGTGTGGAAAAAAGCGATCTCTGCACTGGAGAGCTCGATGCGATATTTTGATTTGCGTTTGTAATGCTCGACGCTCGAAGTTGGTCTCGTTCGAGTTGAGCTGTCGAGGCGGCGGACGTCAAGTCAGCCGTAGCGCTAAGGCGTGAGCCAGCAAGGGCTCCAGTCGAGTTCCAAGTATAATAGTCAACGCTGAGCCAAGCCCTAATGCAGATGATGCCAGACGACCAGTCGTCAGGCGACAAAGCACGAGATGAGTCGGTTACAAGTGTGGAGTGGGAGTGCGAAGGAGCGTAGAGAAGCAGAAGCAGAAGCAGAAGTAATAGCAACTGGACAGAAACAGAAACAGAACAGAAGAGAAAACAATGCCCTGGTCTTGCTGCCGGTGCTCGGGAACAAGGGCACCACGCTGTACAGTAGCTGTCTGATCAAAAATGCCTGCGCTTGCGCTCTAGGCGAGGCGAGAAACCAAAGAGGGCCTGGCCTGGGCTGAACTGAACTGGGGTAGGATGTGATCCCAAGATGGATTGTGATGAGTGTGAGGTGAAGTTAGGTTAGAGAAGCGAGCGAGGAAGGCCATCAATCGATGGATTGCCCACCTTAGCAATCCTCGCGAGAAGTGACCTGGGGGAGACAGTACTGTACCCGGTAAGGTCGCCCGTTGGCACGTCCGGGCCCGGGACCTGGAGGCTGTAGTGGGGCACAATTGGGCGCAATAGCGCACCACACCACTGAAGCAAGCGCCTTACGCACCAATCCGACTGGTCAGGGGTCTTAAATCAAGCGAGTCAGCGCCTGTAAGTCGGAGAGAAGGAGCCCAATGAGACCCGAATATGAATGAAATGTTTCTGTCAGTTGTCGCCGCTTGCTCTTTGGGCGCTAGCAAGCAGGAGACTGTTGTGGGATGATGTTAGTAACGAGTTAATATGCAAGTGAGAAGAGATATCAGGGTAATGGAAGAGACCTCCTGTTGGCTCAATGTGACATCCAACGGTCGGGCAGTTCCCAAATGAGGGGTATGCTTGACTACCTAAATTTCCAGCATTTAGACCTAAATTTAGGATCAAAGAAAGATAAAAAAGTCATTGTAAACTTTCCATGATGACACATTGATAACCTATTCTACGTGTTTACTGGTATAACGGTTTATGGTTATTATTTAGCTGTTAGCTGGTCATCATGCCCAGGTTGATAACTTCCTTACCTATATCTTTTGGACAAAGCATGTGCCTCCATCCCAACCCTGGAGGAGCCGCATCTCATCCGGCCCATCTGATTAATTAAATTCAGGTTGTAACAACCAAAGGCGCCACAAAATCATTTGCACTTGTCTTTAGACCCTCTACCCTGCTTCAACCCCTCTGAAACCTTGATCCTTTCTCGATCTCCCTCGTGTTCATCCCGAAAAGATGACTGTCGTCGTCTTGCATGCGCATGCGCATACGCACACACAATACGGTAAACCCAACAAGACGTACGACAACTCTGAACGAGGATCTCCCTGTATACCCACCCGGGCCGTTGGAACCTCAATCTGGAAAGGTGACCCTGTTCATCTCTACTTGGTATGGATGGATACAGGAAAGTAAACTCAGCTGGCAAATGGATCAGGCCGGGCTGCCATGGATGTAATCTCCGGTTATTGCATCGTTGCTGTCGCAATGAAATAATCCTCTCTGTTTATTCAGGCCTTTCTGGAAATTACTGTCATCATGGTGTGCAGGATCATGAAACTAGACCCCGAAGGTTGTATGGCAGGGGCATCTAGATCGATGTTGGTTGCGTAGCGAGCTGGCAACAAGGCAAAAACGAACAAGGTCATCATGGCATGTAGTGATCCTCTTGCTAGGTATACACACGTATGTTTTTTTCTTATTGTTTATGGTGCTTCGATGATCTCGTTCCAGGTTCTTTACCTGGGTCATTATCCGCGATCTCCTCCCGGCGGCCGAGGTTTGATGCCTTCTGAGTCCCGCCCACAAACCCGTTCAGTACGGAACCAATTCTGCATCTGGTGCCAAGTTGGTGTAGTGTAATTGGGTCTGCAGGGTTATCACAGGTGAAAGAGAGATGCAGTATAGCAACCACCTGGTGATTTCATACTAACCAGGCATGAGGCTCAAAATGTCAACATTGTCTATTTGACACAACTTGAGAGTTAGAGTTAATTTCACCAAACTCAACAAACTCAGCAAAGCCCAGATTTCTTCTTCCTTCTTCCATGATCCAACTCTCTTATACGTGTACAGAAAGGACCAGCCGGTGCCTTGGGTGACTGGTGAGGTTTCTATTCTGGGCTAAATTTGGTGTCTTCGCTGATTGGCTACACCAAAGCGTCGTTTGTTTCAGGTTATGCGGGCGTTTAAAAGCCAATAGCCTTTGCAGATCAAATTCGCTGGTGGAGATCTCTCTGTTGGTCGCTTCATGAACCACAAGGAATCAATTCAACTGTCTGATTACACCGAGCCGCCCCCCCCCCGAATTTCAACTCTCTAATCAAGGGCAAAGAAGTTGTACAGTACTGCAACTGAGCGACACGTGACCTCCTATTGGTTGCTAAGTGAACGCTAATATGATATCCTTTGTAGCCTACAAACACAAGTAGGAATAATATGCAATCCAATTTGAAGGTTAGACAAACTCCTGGTCTTAGTACCTAAGCATCAAAACTACAACTACGGTTATTACTAATCATCTTAGAGCATCGGTTCAGCTTAACTTAGTACACACAGGCTGGCAAATACCAAGAACTCGATGGTAGCAACCTACGTGGTTTGCTGACTCATCCACTCATGCCGGATTTTAGCCGGAAGCTAGCGTCAGCTCGCCCTAGCTTGACTTTTCCCGACTTCACAACAATTCAAAACCCAACCACTTCTTTCAATAAACATCATCAGACTGCGTCGCGTACCAAAGGAACGGTGCAACGATGACATGAAGTGACTGTTGGTGTGCCAACTTGAGACTCAAAGCTGGGTAAGTAGGTAAACGAACGATTTCCTTTTCTTTCATGATGAGTTTAACATATTGGAGCTGTCTGAATTTCTTTGCTGAAAAGACACTTTATACGCTTTTTTATCTGATGATGAACCTGCACTTCTCTCGCAACTTGCGCCTCCTTGAATGCAATGCACTGACACAGTGCCTCACAGTCTATCGTTCTGTCTCTTCAAAGCATGCCACGCGCCTTTCCGCCCGCCAACGACCTCGTTTTCTCGCCCGGCTAGGAACTCGAAAATATGGAGGTTGCCAACGGTGGCTCTTCGGCCCAGAGCCAGAATGGCTCATCTGAAAGCAACAGCGGATACAAACTCAAGTTTTGCACTGTATGTGCTAGTAACAACAATCGGTTCGTAGATGCGTGTCTCATTTCCGACAGTCTTTGTGCTAATGTTCATCCTGAAGCTCCATGGAAGCACATTTACGGCTATCCCAGGCTGACTATCCTGTCATCTCCTTCGGCACTGGTTCTCTCGTCCGTCTGCCTGGGCCTACCATTACCCAACCTAATGTGTATCACTTTAACAAAACCTCTTATGACAGTATGTTCAAGGAGCTTGAATCCAAGGATGCTCGGCTGTACAAGAACAACGGCATCCTTAACATGTTGAACCGTAACCGTGGCGTCAAATGGGGCCCAGAACGCTGGCAAGACTGGCAAGTTGGTGTACCTCGCCTGCAACATGCTAAGGACCGTGGCAGCGAGGGTACTGAAGGTGGTCTAGTCGATGTTGTCATCACCTGTGAAGAGCGATGCTGGGATGCTGTTGTCGATGATCTCCTTAACAGGGGTTCACCACTCAACCGACCTGTCCATGTCATCAATGTCGAGATCAAGGATAACCACGAAGAGGCCGCCATTGGTGGGCAGGGTATCTTGGATCTTGCGAACTCTCTCAACGCGGCTGCTCGTGAAGAGCGTGACGCTGTTGGTGCTTCGTCCTTTGACAATGGTTCTGCCTCAAGCAGAGCTTCCTTTGATGAGCGAGTACCTGATATTCTGGCTTCATGGCAGGAAAGGTGGCCCAATCTGCCAGCGACCTGGACTGTTGCTTGGTTCTAATCCGCGTAAAACCACAATCATACTACACATCTTGTGATTCGACTGCAATACCACACGACGAAGGCCTCGAGTGCTGAAGTAATCCAGCATCTCGGTAGGCGGTATACGCAAGTTTGCAAAGATATAGATCTATCCCCGGGATGGACAGTAGGATGAACTTGAGTGGCTTGGGGGGAGAGATTTGCTTCTTGCTTTTAATCGTAGATACCCGAGACCCGGTACAGTCGGAGTTGAGTTTTTTTGTGACAAGCCATGAGGCCGCCAACAACCCGCTAGGAAGGGCTTTCGTTGCCTTTGCATGATGCTCAGATGCTGAAGACGGACTAAAGGGCTCAGCCCTTCACATGTCACTATTATCACAAATCCATGCGCAGCTGAATATGGATAATACCTCATCACGGTTCACCCAACCTTCCCATTGCCGGCCATTCCGTTACTATCCCCGAAGGAGTTTCGCGATCAAGGAGATCCTGTTCGGTTGCTCAAGGGACCCCCACAGTGTATTAGGCGCATACCTTTCAAAGGCAGATAAGAAGTGTCGATCACAAACCGGCTTCAAAATTATATGAAGATTGTCCAGGCTGCATGGATAGTGAGCGTTTCAGGGAAGACTGATCAAGATTGATCTCGTTCAAATCGGAAAAGGTTTTGAACTCGATCACACAATAGATGGCGCTGGCGATCATTTTAGCACAGCTACTTGTAGTTATGTACGATTCATGTAAAGCGGCCAAGGGGAGGCAAGAAAACTTCAGACCTCTATCCTAAGTGATAAAAAGACTTAGGTAAGTTTAGTATAATTTAGTATAGATTTAGTAGGCCTTAAATTAGATATTTTTGGCACCTTGATTTCACGTCCGAAGTTTTCTTGCTCCCCAGGGACGACATTTGTAACTGGTATAGCGATGCTGATGTGTTGACTCTCCGCTATAATTGGCCAATCAGTAGGTCTCCAATGACGAATATGTCATGATGAGTCCTAAGGAGGCAGCTTGCATGACGGGTCAATGGCTGTCATTTAGTAGCATGGAAGTCCTTGTCATAGGCTCAGGGGTATTCAAGAGGCAACCAGTCGATATGGACCTTGTCTTATTATTCGAAGCCGCGTAATGGGAACGAACAGTATGGGAATCTAAATTAGTGCGGACGCCACAGCTTTGTTTGGTGGATCGTTATCTCAGGAGTTTGGGTGGTATGAACATCGATTCATTAGTTGATAGCTGTTAATCCATACACCTGAATGGTTTTAGACCTGCAAATACCACAATTTTACCATAGGGTATGGGAAGAAAACTTCTGATTGTAAATCAAGGTGCAAAAAAAGACTAATTTAAAGGTCTACTAAATTTTTCCTAAATCTACCTAAATTCTTTTGTCATTTAGATATGAGCCTGGAGTTTTCTTTCCCCCCCCTGCACTACCTCCCTGGGTAAGTATTGTAAGCCTCTCGGATGCTCTTATCCTTGCTTGTAACTTGTAAGAAGCATTCGTTTTGCCGCTTTATATGCAATTGAATCCTACTCGCCCATCCGCGGGGAGCTCGACTGGTGACCCGCGGAGCCCGCATCCTTCAGAAACCAGATAAAACAAAGCGAAAAACCAATTGCCGTGATACTCGTGAATGAAATAGAGTTCGAAAATAATAGCGATTTCATGGCACTTTGAGCAGCATATACGTTAGAATGGCACTACGAGAAGAGCCTAAGGTTATTCGACCAATGAGTAACTTGTATGGACCCTTTCAACTCCTATCAGCTGAACCAAACCTAACTATAAAGCAGAGAGTTGTACCACTCAGCCTTACACACTTTGCGTCATAGCTGTGGTACCGCAGTGGTCTGCCGTTATAGCCTCCCAAGTCATCTCATTGGCGGCTCATTTGAGACTATTCGAAATGCCTTCCATCGGGCTATGGCACTTATAGTAGTTGAACACCCCATGCTGCAAGTGGGTATCCTGAACGAGAACTCAGCTGTACCTTCATGGATTGAGCTGGAAAATGTCGATCTTGGTCTACATATTAGCTGGCAAGAGATCAAAGCTTCTGATGACTATGAGAGTTCCTTGAAGCATGAGATTCGGAGCCAGCTAGATACTTGGTTTACAGATGTCGAAACAAAGCCAGGATGGAGGGCCTCTATCCTATGGCCAGAAGGTAACATCCAGTCATTGGATGTTATTTTCTGCTGGAACCATACCAACTTCGATGGTGTAGGGGGCAAGATCCTGCACCAGACCTTGTTACGCAACCTCAATGACTCGAAGACCGATCATGAACCTGATTTGGAAGGAAACGTCCTTCATCTTCGCAGTACTGCAGACAAGTTTCCCCCTCCTCCAGAGGCGCTCATCAAAATCCCGATTTCTTGGGGCTTTGCTTTGTCGACAATCTGGAAAGAACTCAGGCCTCCAATTCTTGTGTCAAACGATCCAACCCAGGCCAATTGGGCCCCTATTCGCCAGGAGCCCTACCAAACCGAGTTCAGAACGTTCTCGATTGAGGATGCAATGCTGAAGAAGGTACTGAGCAAATGCCGAGCACATAGTACTACCATAACAGGCCTTTTGCATGCCCTGCCGCTGGTATCGCTTGCCCTGCAATTAGATGAGGGCAAGAAGCATCACAAACAAGAGGCAAAGTCGATGTTTGCTATCAGCGCATTGGATACACGTCGCTTCATCCCCACCAATTCTGAGGCATACCCTTGGCACGTTCCTAGTACGACCATGGACAACCAGATGACACTTGTTAGCCACATGTTTGGTGAGAACCTAGTCGCAGAAATCCGCTCTAAAGCCAAAGGAATACCGACACAATCACATGCCATGACTCAACTCGAGAATTTTGTCTGGGCAGCTGCTGTGCAAGCTAGAGAGGATATCCAGAACAAACTCGACAAGGGCATGGAAAATGACCCTTCAGGCTTGATGAACTTCGTCAAAGACTGGCGTGTTCAAAAGAAGCAGCAGCTCAAGAAGCCCCGAGTAGGTGCCTGGGGTGTATCCAATTTAGGAACACTCGATGGGGCCATTGAAGGCTCAGGCTGGAAGATCGAGAGAGCTGTGTTTCAGCTGAGCTGTGAACTCACATCGCCTGTGTTCCATATCAGCTCGATTAGCGTTAAGGGTAAAGAGATGTGCGTTGATGTCAGTTGGCAACAGGGTATCATCGATGCTGAGATTGGAGACACACTCGCGTCCGACATGGAGGCCTGGATAAGGTTCCTTGGCGCCGGGGGAGAGGAATGATGAAGGACCTCAGCCGAAAAACTGAAGACATTGATTGATTGAATCCGGGGGTCAAAAACAATTAGGTCAAGAGCCCTCTAAGTTTATCCTCAACTTATCCTAAACTTGTCCTAAGGTATCCTAAACCTATCCGAGGCTGTGTAAACAATTTTGTAGCCTAGGATCAAGTTGTGTGGCCTCCTCTGTGGGAGAGATAGGAGACGAGGAACGCAGGTTGGAATGTTTGAGGACGTCATGAATGACATGACAGAGAAATGAGGTCAAGTAGTGACCAAGTCAAGTTATGTTATGCTTCTATTTAGTATGCCGTAATGTCTGAGACATTCATAATAGTACAAGTTGGTTGGTCACAAATCAGAATCTCTCAGTCCCTTGATCGATCAACTATACGGAGTAATGATAATAGATCTAAAATGGGATTTTACTATTATCTTTCCACTTATAATATCTTATCCTATTTATGATTCTTATGATATTGTGTTGTCCATTATCAACTTATTCCGGCTTGTAGGTCCGGGTGGCTGTACAAGTACCTTGCCTAGCCGCGCACCAAGCACGTGCCGACTTTACCAAGACCCGCCTATCCCCAGCGCCTCGCTCGGCAACCCGCTAAGCTTTGAACGCCTGACCAGGATCATTCGTCAAATCAGAGCTCGCAAGAAAGAGTCGCTTTTGCTGGTTCAGGGGCAGGGGGGCCCTGGGGCGGTTGACGGGTGCATTGACTGGAGCTCTTTAGCAAAGCGCAGTGTGCTCAGTGGACCGGACCTTGAATAAGGTGCCCAGGCTTAAGCTCAGGTTGCATCGAGATTGGCTGTTCTGCTTATTTCCCGTCCGTCCCCTTGCATGGGGTCATATCATTCCATCTGGTGCTTTACACTTGAGCGGCAGATGCGAGAAGCCAATTCGATGTCTCGATATCAACCAAGCCAAAGTGGTAGCTGGAAGGTCAAAGTTGGCCCAATTACTATCAACTATTGTTCGATAAACCAATTCCGAACAATACCTTATCCAGTCTCGGTGGACTCAAGAAATTAACACTCCGTCTTGAACGATTTAATAAATTGCCAGACCGGGGCACCCGGACATTCTGGATTCTCACCCCAGAAGACAAAGACCGAGAACTCATTTCCCGTAAAGATCTCACTCACTGTGCTATATCTGTGTGATGTCCACTCGTTCGCCTCGGATTGTCCACCCAAAACTTGGGGCACCTTGGCTTTAACTGCACAGTACGCACGCTATTTTCTAGAACAAGTTAAGCTGAGTGAGGTCAGGTCCAGTTGATGATGATGGTGGAGTTGTCCCCTGAACATCCATCCAACCACGCCCGATCCGGTCTAAACCGAACTTGACTTGAACCCCCTTTTGGATCCATGGAATTGGGGTCGGTCAGGGTCAGTTGATGAATTCACTTGAGTTGATTGACTTGAGTCGATCGTTGGTTGATCTGCATTGCATTCTTTCTTTCTTTGTCCTTCTTCTTTGATTGTCCTTGATTCATTCTCTTCCATCCAACTAATCCATCATTATACCAAAAAGGAAGAAGCAAATAGACAAGGATTGGCAAGAAGTACCTTGCTTTCCCCTGCTCTTCGACTCGTATCATTTCTTTCAATTCACCGTATCTTGACTTCCATCTCCCAAATATCACCACCCCATCATTCATTCCTGCCATTGAGCCACACTCCAAACCGTCCGCTTTTCGTCGCTTCCGGCCACCTGCTGAAGCTTGGCGCTTCTATCGCCCGTCACCCCTGAAAGGTAGCCAAAGTTGTGGGGGAACCTTGGTAAAAGATTCCAACCATCAGGTACAGGTAGCCCGCAGCCTGCATTCATTTCGACCCTGTCCCCGTGTGGCGTCCATATGAGACAGGCGGCTGGTGCTATTCCAGTTCCATCTCCCTCCAGCATCATCTCAGTTTCGCATTTCTGTCATTTTTTCCCTCCATCATGAGCATCAGCCTGGGACGCAATGCGCCGTTGTCCCCGATCTCTCTAGGCGGTAGCGAGTTTTCTGTCTCGAAGTATCAAGGTCCCGAAGACGGCCCCTATCCCAACGGTCGCTCCAATCTCGCATCGCCCCCGAATTCGGGTGGCTCCAACAGCACCATGAGTATCAACGGTTTCCCGAGCGCTCCTATCAACGGCCCAGGACCTGGACCCGGGCCTGGGCCTGGTCCTAGAAGCACTGGAGGTCCCTCGCCGCCTGCTTCAATTGCTCGGTCGAGTAACGGCACCCAGCTCTATGCTCGCAGCGAAAGTGGTCGTAACAGCGTCCGCGGCGATCTCGATGAGTCCGTCCTCAGCGAGCACTATGTTGCTCTGCGCGCTTTTCTCAATACCCGCGACCCAAATCACAAGCAGCAGCCCAATAAAGCCCGCGACAAGCTTTTGCGCCTTTCCTCGGTTCAATTTTATGAGCTGAGTACCGATGTTTTCGACGAATTGATAAGACGACAGGCCACTGCCAGGGCTCCGCCGAATGCTCCAAATGGTCCTCCTTCCTTTCTGCTGCCCGAGAAGAACTTTCACCCAAAGCGAAACCAGGCTCGCCAAAGGCTATCGTCTCTTGGCCCACCACGATTCCGAGATCTAGCCGCCGATGTCTATCACGAATTAGAACGAAGATTCCCTCGATTTGTAGGAGCCGATCTCGCCCGTACTGGAAGCCCCATGTCAATCAGGGGACCGGGTACTCCAATTAATGGTAATGGCTTTCCCCCTCGAGGTCAAAGCCGCATGAGGAGACCCTCTGATGCACCATCTATGAGAGGTCCTGGACCGACAGATGCTTACGGTATGCCAGCATCACCAGGTGCCCAGAATGGCGATTACGGACGCCCAACCCCGAAACAGCTCAATCAGAATAACACGATCGTTCCGAATAAAAGTATAATGCTCGAAGAAGACGACGAAGGTGAAGGATTCACAGAACCGGACCCGAACCGTGAGAGCAAACGGAGTGCTGGAAGCGGTGTGACTTCGGAGGTTTGTGCCGCAACATTTTGGGAAGAACAAGACTCCTAACATATCACAGGCCGATAAGAAGCTCATCGAGGACTATCAAAATCAGGTACGAGAACTACGTGAGAAACTGGACAGCATGGAAGATGCTATGAGGAAGAAGGAAGACGAGATGAACAGTGCGCTGGATCAGGAACGTTCCCGATCTGCTACTACCAACCAGGAGAAACAGGAATGGAATGACCTGAGACTCAACCTTGAGAACAAGCTAGCTGAGGCGCAAAACTTGAACGACTCCATGAAGCAAGAACTGCAACGCGTACGAGAGGATCACGATATTGAAATACAAAGGCTTAGGGACGACGTGGCCGCAGCACATGAATCAGCACGTAGCACTGGGCCTGCTGCATCAGATTCAGACCTTCAGCGGGAAAATGATGAGCTTCGACAGGAACTCCGAGAACAACAGCAGGTCACAGAAGAGGTTCGAAAAGAGGCACAGGAATTCTTGCTTGAGATGCGCCAACTTTCCCAACAGAGTGGCTCAACACATGAACGACACGCAGAGCTGGAACAGACAATTGAGAGACTCGAGCGCGAGGTTCACGAATGGAAGAACCGATACGCGGGCGCAAAAACGCAATTGCGACACATGCGCGCATCTTCCGCTGGCCCTGGAATTGAACATGATGCAGCAAAGCATGTCCGGGAAAAGGGATTCATGGATGACCGTGGACTTGTTAAAGATGTTCACGTCACCAAGTTTCAAATCGCCATTGACGAACTACTGCAAAAAGCACGAACTGAAGACCCAGAAAAGGTTATCGACGCAATGAAGCAAGTTGTTGTCAGCGTCCGCCGCATTACCAAGGACATCGAGGTCCCACAGAATAATGATGAAGACTTCGCACAGCAACAGGCCAAGATCAGATCCAAGGTATCTTCTACCGCAAACAACCTCATCACAGCCTCCAAGAACTTTGCCCATAGCGCTGGAATGTCCCCCGTATCACTGCTCGATACAGCAGCGTCACACTTGGCTGCGGCCATCGTGGAGCTTCTTGGCCTGGTCAAAATTCGGACAACTCCCGCTGAAGAATTGGATGATGACGATGGAACTGTAACTCCTGCGGATTCCAGTGGACTCTTTTCTCCTGTAGCTACTGAGCATCCTTCGACTACTCAAGGCGGACTCCCTCCTCCACCGCCCTTCCAGGGTCTTGGTGGTATGCGAGGAAGCATTGACTCTTCGGCATATAGTCCTTTAGGCTCACCTCGCCAATCCGCGGAGCCATATTCTGGAAGGCCCATGTCCAAAGCGAGCGCGGTACCAATCGGGCTCGGGCATTCCAACGCGAACAACCAAGCCAATGGGCAAGGATCGCATCAGCTGGATCCCCGAGCCGCCGAAGACCTCAAAGTCAGTTACCCTTCAACGCTAGATCATCGACATCGCTAACCAGCTATTCAGCTCTACCTTGAAGATCAGAATGCCCTTCTTTCAACCGACATCCAGCAGCTTGTGAACACCATCCGGGGTGATGCTGAGATGCGACAGATCACTGGCGAGATTGGCTCTATCAACGCCGTTGTTAGCAACATCATCTCAGAAACACAAGCCTACGGCCTAGGCGAAATGGCAGCCTCGTTGGCAAACTGTAGAGCACGACTACTAGAGGCTGCTGATCAAGGCCAGGATATGGCCAACATTGGCATGGACACCAACTCTCACGAATGGCGCATGTGGGTACAAACCTTGCCACCCATCGCGTTTGGGCTGGCGCGTGAGGCCAAGGAGTTGGCTCAACAAGCCGACGATATGGCCAGACCCGGACGACCTGATGACTTTTCGTAACTACCTTTCACTTCATTTCTAAAAATCCGGACTTTGCCTTTGCAACCGGAAAACGCTTTATACCCCCTGAACGCCAGTTTTAACGCTGGATTAGCTATTTGATGCTGTCCTAGTTTTTCGTCTTGGATTGGTCGATAATATCGGGACAACGTTGAACGTATCTCGACAATGAGCGGGTTGAGATGAAAAGGGACATTTAGTTGGGTAATGCTGCACGTGGAAAGCATGGGAACGGCGTTAGGATTGCTGTTGGTAATGCATTGTGCAGACAGACATAGGCCCTGGATTGAGTATATATATAAGTGTGCCGAGTACCAAGAGGAGGATCAAACATGGCTTTGATATTTGTTCAAAGCGAGTTAGATGACGTCCTCCAGTTCAGACAAGACTATACGATGGACGATGATAATAGAGATAGACGAGAAATGGAATGTTATCGACTATCTATGATATACTTGAGTGTGGTCTTGTGTTCTAGAGACAATCTCAGCTCTCTCTGCCTACTGATGAATATGCTCCGGTTATACGAAACTTTTCTAACATTATCCTAAAAACCAGGGGCACTCTTGCAAGTTCAACCATAAGTCTAAGTCTAAGTTTAGAGATAGATCAGAGAAGCATTGATAGGGGAGTATGTATATTATGCGACCATTAGTCGTTTTCTTTTTTTTTTTTTTTTTTTTTGTGAGAGAGGGATAGTAATTCTTATGAGGCAGAACCATTCTCCATCCGTGTTGTTACATGTTCCCGACCAAGACGTCTCGAGTTATCATGCTCTTCGACTATCAAACATTTCCCTCGCAAAGCCTCTACTAATTCTCATAGAGCGTGTCAGTATGACAGGTAATTTCTTCCAGCCATTTGTTACAAACCACCAACTTGCCACACCGCCAGCTGCAAGACCAGTGAGGCTGATGAACCACATGTCCCAATTTCTCGCCTTCCATGTCGGCATACGCATATCCGCTGTCTGTAGATGCATCGGTCGCAACTCAACCCCATTCTTGAATCGAAGTTCTTGATCTATCATTACTTCCTCGATAAGATCAGCTGCAAGGTGTTTGCGTTTAGAGTTGAGGGTTGCTATTCCTTGCATACGACGCACGTTCATGGCAAAGGAGCCATCTTTGTCAGTTATGATGCTTGCAATGGCGGAGGAGATAGAGGATGGTGTGAGGTAGGATTTATCGAGAGATATGCCCACACCGGCGGCTTTTAGTCTGGCACTGTTGCAGAGCTGGTCGAAGAAGTATCCTATAGCGAGGACTGGTGTTCCATGGAAGAGAGTTTCGTTGGCACTGGAGCCGCCCCCGTGAGTGAGAAAGAGGACTGTATTAGGATGTGCTAGGATAGCGCGCTGCGGTGCAAAGATGGGAAGCCGAAAACGCGGGTGGGAATCGTTCAGAAGATCAGTAATGGATATGCTCGAACCATCAGACAGATTGTAAGACTTGAAGGTGTCGAAATTGGCGCGAGGCTTTTGGGGAATAGACCATATGACTCCATTGATCGAGTCATCGTCGAGAGCTTGGATGAATCCAAGGAGATACTTTTCAAGTTCTTCACCCGGAAGGTTAACATGTGTCCCTAGGCACACGTAGATGGTCCTATCATGGCTACTTAGAAACTGAGCCAAGTCTTCGTCCAATGGAAGGTATTCGTCGCTCAAGATAGGTCCAACAGGTGCCATAAGAGGCGGCAATTCCTTCGGCGCTTCAAGGCCCCAGAAGGAGTTGACAAGAACAAGATAATCAGGCTTGGAGAGAAGAGAGTGGCTATAGTTGACGCCAGCATCAACACGCATTCGTTTCGTCCATATTAACCAGGGGATGATAGTAGGAAGCGCCGCAAGAACCACAAATTCGTTCCAGAACCGTGATGATAGAGAAGCATGTTCCGAAGTCAACGCACCATCGGCTTGGAATCCAGGTTGTCCCGGATGATAACTGACAGGAGCCATGGCATAAGGCATTTGAGGCCAGACGCTCGCTAGTTGGATATTGAACTGCTTGAGCATATCCCTCGCAGCGCTATCAGCGAAGAAGTCTGCAACGATAAAATCAGGCCTCGTAGAACCATCTTCACATAACGATCGAAGAGATTTGTAAGTATCTGTCCAGAAGTTGTCAAAAAAGTATTTCGACTTCATCATGGGACCGAAGCCGTGCTCATGACGCCAAAGACGCATTGTCTCGTAGTGCAGATCCAAGTCATCTTCTGAAGCAGCGGGGCCAACCGTGTAAACGGTTTTTATGAAGGGATAATTAATTGTCCAATCTTCCTGGCCTGCGCAGGTAGCGAATTGGACATCATGGCCTCGAGAGGCGAGAACAGCGCCTATCTCAAGAACGGGAGCTATTGTTATGTTAAGGTGGCTTCGGCGGCTACAGGGGGGTCTGGAGAGGTACCTGCATGAGTGAAACCTCCTGCTGTGACAAGCAGAAGAACCCTTCTGCGGAATTCATGGCTTTCAGCCATTGTGTTTAAGCTTACTAGTTTAAATTGGAATGTGTGTTGTGGAATTCAGTTGGGTTGGTCTGTATCGGCCTATGTATGACGCTTAGTTTAATGCATCCACTTCAAAGTAGAAGCCTAGTTCGGCGTAGGGCTGAAGTCCGAGACCCGGCAGTTGCTGGGTTAATTAAATGGCCATGATTTCATTCTACATCTAACTTCTAAGGAGCATTTAGGTGATATTGCTACTTATTATATGGGTTTGTTCTCTAATCTAGCTATATTTTTCGAGTTGTCCTTCTGATATACATGTTAATTTCCCCCACTCTCTGTTCCGTCCGTCTGGATCGGTCGATATCATTATGTACTTCGATGCAGCTGCTCATCAACCTACCTAAGTACCTTAGGTAGCCAACCTTATGAGGACCCTATCTGTTTCTTGCAAGATTGATATTTGTTATATTGTTTCCTTTGGTAGTTATTGATCCTCCGATCAGCTGTCCGAGAAGTACAAGCAGTCAATTGCAGTTCAAGGACTATGCCCTGGATTCTGATGTTTTCTGGTTTGGGTTTCGGTTTCGCGTACGGGATGAAGCAGGAGACTTGAACGGCCATAGCACGGAGCGGTTAACAGGTACGTAGGTGTATACTATCTGACTTAAGTACTAATTGGAGGTAAGCTGTTATATATGTGAGCTAGTCTCATAGTCGCATGAATTAATACTAACTCTTAACGGTCATTGCTGTCGACCTCACTGGATATTGATGCGAGAATCACTGCCTCTGAGCCTGCAAGTGATTCGATTCAAATCCTCGCCCTTTCCATAATTCTCTCCTCTTCATCTCCATCTTCCCTGGATCAGAGCATATCTGCTTGCCACCTGGATGATTGATCATGCCAGCTACGAAAGCCAGCCACTCGTCGCTTCGCGCAGTACCTCTATGTCGATTAGCAACTGAACTCAACGACATGGTCAACAATGGATACATCAATATCCCACCTGCTCACCACTTTAAGCTAGATGAAGATGGGGTTCCCATAGCGGCCCCAAAACCAGTCTTTCAAGTGTCTTCGGAACGACTATCTCAGATCAAGAGTCACATCAAAGAAAACCTTCAACACCAATCAACACATTAGAAGCACACAGTTGACTGGCTCGACAATTTGGAAACTTCTCCATCACACCAGGAGCTCTGGACGGCAATTAGGGAGTGTCATGATGAAACTATGGAAGACTACACCTGGTTAGATCATGTATTGCGGACTCTCGAAATTCACCCATCAAGACTTTTGCTCTTCGAAATTAAAGACAATCTCGCACCACGCATCGGCCGTATTATTGGCACATGCGACGAAACAAGAAACTCCGAAGACATCGCACTGCAGTTTAGGAATCATAATCATGAAGCGAATAGAGATTTGTTAATTTTTAGTCTTCACTGCTGGATAGGGCTAGAGTATATTTGGCCGTTACAAAACAAGAGTCAGCGGCTGGGTTGAAGCGGCTCTATTGTCATGTCCTGTTCTACCTTGATACCCTTGTTCTTACGCCTGACACGATCAACCTTCTGCCCCCTTCAACCTGACTGATATTCCCCTCAACATTAATATGGACCACCGCCGGGTATAGCTTATCCCTCGTTCGTATCATCATGCCAGCAAATATTTACTGCATCGGCCGCTTCTGCGACGATCTTATCAACACCGCTTGGGCTTTGATTAGAGACAACAAGTTCCAGTTTGTCTCTCTGTAGAAGATTGTCAGTTTATTAGGCCGGGGATCCATCACGGCACCCATTCGCGATGTCGTCGCGCCTGTTCTTTAGAGACAGAAACGATTCTGCATCAAGGTTGTCCGTGGGGTTGGCATGCGAAACTGTGTTGATCAAAACTCGTAGGCATTGCGCAACTTTGACTCCCTGCACTTCTCCTTGCCTGAGGCCGTTGCTATTTAAAGCTCTGTTATAGCAACTGTGGATTGTAGAAATCAAGACATAGAGGCCAAAATGTTGATCGAAGAATTTTTTTTTAAGTTCGTCGGATGCAAACTGACAAACAGTAGGATAGCCCTAGGCTATTTGCATGTATGTGTGGACCTGAGGAGTTTTCCCCTTAGGCTATCACCACTGACAGAGTTATAGTCTCTGAGACAATCGGAACTCTCGCATATTATTCAGCGGATTTCAATGTCCAGGTCGTTGAAGACCTACTTAGATTGATAAAGACCCCTGTCGCCTTTTCAACGTCACCGACAAAGTGCTTCAGCGGGACGATCACGCACTTGTCCTTTTATGGTCTGGGCTCAATTGCTCCACCCGTTTTCAACAAAGCCTAAAGTAAACTCGATTATTTTTGTCCGCCTGACGGCGTTTACCATTCCCACGGGTAGGAGAAAACTTTAATTCTGAACAAGTAAAATCAAAGAATGAGAGAAAATTCTCTCCCTTTGATAGCAAGAATCCGTTCTTTATGCTCAGCTGCAAGACCCCGCTCGCAAATAGCAATTGTTTACAGCATTTGGATGACAGCTTGTTTTTTCCCGCCTTGAATGCAACTTGGCTGCTTGGTCTTCAGTGCCCCGCGCTAATCAGGGACCTTGCAGGCGGTTTTCCCACTAGAATCAAATATTTGCTTCTCTTTTGACCAATCCCTGAACCCCCCGCGTGACCCGCTCACTTTAAAGTGCAGTGCAGCGCAGTCACTGCAGCGCAGAACCACAGGTCATCCCCTCGCTGGCACCAACTACAATTCTGTCTGGTAAGGAGACACGCATTTCGGTGGCGACCAGCTTCCTTGTGCAAGTACCTCACACTTTCTGCCACTGACGGGAACCCAGGTGCCCCCCTGGACTCGTTTGGTCTAGTACTATTTTGGTTGACATTCTGCTTCTCATGGGGGATTCTTTTCTGCAACGTACTACCTGACAACTACTACTACCCTAGGTAGCCTCCATTTTCTCTTTTGTTCATACATTCATCGCGCACAAACTTCCTGCTCTTCTTTTGTTCCTTTGTGCCTTTGTCCTGGTTGTTGGCTGTCAAGAATGCGAGTTCGGAGCCTCACGGCGCATACAAAAACTCTGGCCTCTGTCCTAAAATAAGTGGCGATTGTGCTCATCTCTCACTCGCCGCCTTTCTCGCTCACTCTCACTCTCACTTTTGTTCTCCACTGTCAGACATCAATCAACACCAAAACCTCATCGCTTGCCTATCGCATTGGCGAGGCGGGCTCCTCCCGGCTTCAATGGAGATTCAACATCCGCCGCATGAGTTTGCGGAACCTGTTCTTCATTTTCAACACTCTTCGCATCTTGAGCCTGCACCTGCGCCTGCGCCTGGGCCACTTCCCACTACCGAATCCCTAGACGAGCAGCGTCCAATCCCCGCCAAAACACAGCAAAACGTCATCGAACCACAGTATCCTCAGACGTCTCAATTAATCACAGACCAAGATATCATTACGAATGGACCATCTCCGCTGGGACAAGTCCCGTCACTTTCTCCGGACCTTGACGAAGACGACGCAAGCTCAATTCTCAGTGATCTACCATCCGAATTGGATGAGCATGTCGCTGAACCCGATCCAATAGATTTTGATTGGGATGGCCCTGAGGGACATCAAGTTCTCCGACTCAAACCAACTGTCGAGCAATGGAACGACTTTCCGGCAAATCTTGCATTCGCCAGGAGTCTTAAGGCTGAAAGCCACGGTTGTTTTAAAATCGTCCTTCCTGAGGAACTCATAGAAGACCTCCCAGCAAAGGACTCCCAAAAAGTACCGGCGAATGCTTATCGCCCTACTCAAATTAAAAGGAACAGTTTCTGGCGAGTTGACACAGTTCCGTCTGTCGGCAGTTTCAACTCGTCCGTTACAGGTACGAAATGCAATGTCACGGCTATCAAAGCCATCGATCAGCTCAGAAAACTTTATCGCAAGAACGACCACAAGCAGATTCGCAATGTACGTTATCGAGTTGATGTGCCTGCATGGACTCCCGAACAACGTCTTGAAGCCGGTGTTCCTGAAAGAAGTCCCATTTATCCCCTCAAGGGTGATAAATTGGACAACACAAAAGCCATAATTCCTGGAATCCATACTCCATATGTGTATGAATCAGGACCCCATTTCGGAGCCAGCTTTCAAATCCACGCAGAAGACTTCCGGCTCGTTTCCCTTAACCATCTGTACAAGGGACGAAAGATTTGGATCGTGGTTCCCTCGACTGCGGTCGATGTTGCCGAAGAGGCGCTTGGCCGGAAGGACAAGTGCTCACAGTTTATGCGCCATCGAGCCGAGTTTTTCTTTCCCCAGAAACTGGAAAAACTTGGCATCCCTTTCCGCATCATTGACCAGCGTCCTGGCGAGACAATAGTAATTCTCCCAGATGCATACCACGAAGGCTTTAGCACAGGATATACTATCGCCGAGGCCAAAAACTACGCCGATGATGCTTGGACGACGAATACGTACCAACCATGCGAGGCGAAGTGTCAGCTGGCCACGGCCATCCCAGCTGACTTACTGAGGCCATTGCAAGAGGGAGAGACACAGCTCGACCTTTGTGCCGGTTTTGATCTGACGGCAGAGCAGGAATCACCTCCTGCCACACCAGCACCTGAAAAGACAAAGAGACGTTTCGAGGACGACGGTCAAAGCGTTGGGAACACTAAGCGGGCCAAGGTCTAGAACGGCGCATGGGAAAGGATACTGCTCATTTACATGCTTTTACGGAGTTGCTACGGCCTGCTTGTTGATGTCTTGGTCATCAACTATTGCAATCTGCCAGGGGTGGGATTTTGGTAGGGATGGCTTCAATACCCATGACGCCCGGCGTATGACACTTTTCGGCAGATGGCTTTGATTTTACGGATTAGGAACTTGGTTGTTTTTGGCGATGCCCTCCTGTACAGAGTGCTTTTGTTACATGGACCCAAGAGGCCCCAATATTTTCGGTCTAGACAAGTCTTTCGTATTGATTTTCGTTATGCGTCATGTGAAAACGTTACACCCAACTTCCAACCATCTAGATGCATATTATAACAAGTCATTTGTAAATATTGTAACAAAATCGCTTGTTGTCAAGTACCAGCAATTACATGACATCCAAGATCATAAACATACCACCTCTTTTTACATACGTCTCTCCTCCTCCTGTCTTCGCACTTCGTCGCGGAAGGCATTGCGACCACCCGTGGTGCCCTGCTGAGGGAATGTAGCATCGACAGGGCTACCGGCCAAGCTGCCGAGACCGTCGCTGTCGGCACGAGCACGCTGAGGAGCGTCACGGTATTCACCAGGAGGAGGAACTGAAGTATCGAGCTGGATGCCATTATCCCTGGCACCAAAGATACGGCGCTTGGCGCGGCCAGTGTAACCGTGACGAGAGCGGCTCGAGATGTTGCCGAGTCCGATACGACGGGTCTTGCGGTTCCAGAGGAAGCCACCGACGATGAGGAGGAAGAGAGAACCGAAGACGACAGGCAGAGCGATGGTCAGGGTCTGGCCCTCGGGCAACTTCTCGTGGGACTTCTCAGGGAAGTTCTGATCATTGAGGTTGAGGTAAAGAGATGAGGACTTGGTCTTCTCGAGGGAGTTATTGCTGTTGCTGTAGAGGGTGATGGAGATGTTGTAGGGCGAGTACTTCATGTAGTCCTGCTTGACATCGAAAGGCCAATAGCCCCAGGCGGCGGGGACGGCGGAATCGGTGAATTCCTTGTACTTCACCCATGATTCACTAGTACGGTTGTAGAGGTCGAGGCGGGCAGTGACCATGAGAGTAGAGTTATCAGAGGACTTGGTCTTGTTGAAGTAATCGGGATCCCAGGTAACTGAAAATCTGTTAGTTATTACAAGTGACACATCAATGGCTGGGTCGCTTACCAAAGTATGTATTCTTAACATCCAGGGTGCTGTTGGCGTAAGGCGAGCAGAAAGGAGCATTATCGCCATCCTTGTTGTAGCATCGCGCAAAGACACCCTCGCCATGCTTGCCGGTGGCCTGAGGGTTGGGAGGCTCGCCAGTGCTGGTGTGAATCTTGCCCCAGCTGGTGTAGGTGTAGACACTGGCGGTAAGATCGTGAGGAGGAGCATCAATCAGAGAAGTGGTGCCATCGACGGTGGTATACGAGGGAGTGTATGTCGTCGCAGGCTGCATCTCATCATCGACAGTAACCCAAGCGGCAGTCGGTTCGGCTCGCTTCTCGAGAGCAGGAGCATTGGCTTCAAGATCGCGCTCATAGCGGATGACTGTGGCATGGGCAGAAGCCGCAAGGCCAATTGAGGCGATGATCTTTGATGCGTGCATTGTTGTTGTTTTGCTGTTGTTGCTTCGGCGATGCGCTGCTTGTCCTTGACACGACGTTCCTTTCCCGATGAGACTCTGCCTAATCACACACAATGACCGCCGACGGAGAACAAGGGCGACAATGGAAAAGAAAGAGGTGGAGGTTGAAGAGAAGAAGAAGAAAAAAGAGAGAAGGCGATGAGAAAAGCTGGGACACGGGAGATTTGAATGCCAATGCGAAGCAACCAGCAACAGGAGAGGCCGATCGGTCCGGACGGGACCAACCACAGCAAGGACTTTTTTTTATTTCGCGCAGCGTTCCAGTGGGTCTGTAACTGTTAGTGTGTTATTCCCCAAGGGATAGCCAGGGGCACCTTGGGGAGCCAAAAAGTTCGATCTTCAATCGGCGAGTTAGAATAAACTAATCAAGAGCTTACCGTATAAAGCCTAAGTCTGCCTCAGTATTTCTGTCATATAGTGTCAAGTCTCAAGTTTTCTGACCGTCCCTGCGGGCATTACGGGGGTTTCAGTGGAAGCTAATGCCGGAGAAGCCGCCAAGATTGGACGAGGCTTCGGGAAGGGCGAGGATGTGAGCGTGATGTCATGGGCATGAACATCCATTGAGTTCAAGACCATTTTATGCATAGACGGTGAGGTTAAACAAGCTACCAAGCTATAAATCCTAATAAATTTGTATCATTTGAACGTGAGCCTTGGTTTCTGAGCCAAGGCGGATACCTAAAATTGGTCTGTCTCCATTGGGCACCATTGCTCCAGCGTTCTTGATATATTTCCGTCTTTGATATAGATTTCTCCAAATGTCGAGCAGTTTGGTCAAGTATGAAATGGCCGAGGAAGACCTCCTATTAAGTTTTGACAGTCTGTTCACTGGCTTCTCCCATAAGCCTTAAGACATTGGACGACTAAGCATATGCTGGTCAAAACTCATCCTAAGTTTATGGTAATTTATGCTAAACTTAGCTAAGTATTTGTATTACTTATGCCAGTGTCTCAAGTGTATATGTCGACAGTACGCATCGCATCACCTCCGAACTTCTGTGTCTGTTTCATATGGCTACGATTGCCTGTCTTCTCGCAAAAGACCATCGTGAATCTTGTTATCTACACAATCGCATCCGTCGGGTTAAAAGAAATGGAGTCAAGTTTGCCCTTGACCATATCAGACGCCTTAATCAAGTCCAAGGAGTCATCCACGTGAATACTGATGTAATCATTACAGGCGTTCACAATGTTGGTATTGGATTTTGTTCGTCGCTTCTTTGCCTGTGGGCCCGCGGCACCGATAGTGAACTCTTTGTAATAGAATACTCGGTCCTGTGCTGTCCCGTCGTTTGGGAGCGGCGATAGCTCCCGGAGGCCGTTGATACGGTTGTGCAACGGTTGAATGTTGCAATTCTGGTCGCGTATACGCTTTACCAGAAGACCGGATGAGTCCTGTGTAGGTACAACGGTATCGTTACCAGGAACGAATACGTCTGGGTTGGTTATGTTCGTAGTCTTAGTCAACCTCAGGCTCGTACTCAGGATCATCAAGTTTACTGCGAAGGATACCGACACTATTGATGCTAAAAACTAATTATCTGACCTTAGAGAAATAGGACCTAAGTAGCTAGAACTTATATAATTAAGAAGATCGCAGATTGTGCTCAACGAGTTTGACTAAGTAGATGCGAGCTTCTTCAACACATGGGACAGCTTGTCTTTCGAAATGACAAGCTTCTGAAGTAGGTGACTCACAGAGACTGCAGTCGTCCACCATGAATTGGGCCCAAAGTTCATCTGAACGTCCTTGGACATTGAGGCATGTGAGACCTTCAAAATGGGTTTTAACTCCCAGAATGATCTGCTTATCTAATAATGGACCGTGAAGGTCGGGGGAAATATTGAGCTTCTTCAAAGAGTGTTGGCTTCCAAAAGAAGAGCAAAGACGCACCAGCTCAATGTACGTCCGTGTACCGTATTCCCCATCGAGATTAACGGCCTCGGGGATCTTGGGAACGCAGCGGCTGAGAACAGCGCATCATATCTCTGGTGAAGCCGAAATTTTGAGAGACTTGAGCATGTCCCATTTCCGAGTCCGTATCAAAAGTTCACAGAGATTCTTTTCTTGCTCCTGGTGCCAGCCTTTGAGAGACAAATACAACTCTTGCAGTTCGGTCATTTGCGAGATGCTATCCACAAGTAATGGTCCAAGTTTCTCGTACAGTCATAGCTGATCCCGATGCGCCCACGCTTCTACAGGATGATTGCTATCTTCCTGGGGTAATATTAGGACCATTCCATACGTTTAATATGCAATACCACTCACCTAACAAGGCCGAACTTCTCACTAGATCATTCTCAGGTCTGCGTCCAGAGTGCGGTGATCTTGTTGAGATAACTCAAGGATGAAGGTGCGTAAGGGAAGGGGTCACATAACTCTAATTGAGAAGGATATTGCATTCACTGTTTTTAGGCGTGGCAGAGCTTCAAAGGAGCAGTTACTGAGAAGGTTCTGAATGTCGACAGCAGCCATCGACAATTGTATTCGTAAGAGCTGAGAGCTGCCGTTCAAAGTATTTATAGGTGAAAGTCGCAGGATTTAACAATTCAGTTTTCCTATATCTCCACGAACCAAAGACATCTTGATGATAGAACGAATTACCACGCAAAGCATCCATAACGGATGGAAGGGAAAGGCGGCTGGCTTAGCTTAAGGCAAATATACGAGGCACACTCAGCACATTCAACACTTCGTCGACGCGCATCAACCCCATTCATCCGTAGAATACTTATTGGTACAGCCACAAGTCTTTATTACTCAGAATCATGAGTCCATAAAGGTAGGGCTTAGTACTAACTGCCTAGGGATTAAGAAATACCCTGCTATTGCAAGTTAGATCCGTAATGTCGTCGACTGTATTAGTCATCAAGTATCAATCATTACGGCCTCGCCCAATCATCTTCTCAATGTTGCATTATCAACACCTACCAAGCAGCATTAAATAATCTTCTTCCAAACTAAAAATAACATCTCCTTCATCGCTGAACACCATTATCTTGAAGACAACGACTATGTCAGTCACGCTGCACACGTCGCACGGCGACATCAAGGTTGAGATATACTGCGAAAGTGTTCCCAAAACTGCAGAGGTTCGTATAATCCAGTATATGTTCAATCCCGGTCTTTTGCTCACTCCTACCAGAATTTCCTTGCCCTCTGTGGCTCTGGCTACTACGATAAATCTCCATTCCACCGCCTCATCCCCAAGTTCATGGCACAGACTGGCGCACCCGCAACACCAAACCCCCCCGATAACCCCAAAGGCGGACGCAGCATATGGGGAGGCGCGTTTGAAGACGAGATCCGGCCAGCGCTACGACACGGCGCTCGAGGCGTGCTGTCGATGGCCAACAAGGGACCTGGGACAAACGGATCGCAATTTTTTATCACATTCGACAAGGCGCCTCATCTGGACGGACTCAACACTGTATTTGGACGCGTCATCGGAGACGAGGGTTTAGCGACATTGGCTAAGATGGAAGCTATCGAGGTGGACCGCAAGAACAGACCCAAGGAGCCAGTTCGTATCGAAAATGTGACGATCCACGCCAACCCGATCGCTGGTTGAGATAACGACAATGTCCTTCGTACTTCTTGTCATGCCATGACATTGCACCATACCTCCTCGAACGAAGCACTGTACTACCGTTACGGCACATCACTGAAGGAAGACGAAAATGGCAAACGATTTATCACACGAAACTTCATTTTGGAGACTATCATTCATTATATTCTCAATCTACGCACGCCAACAAAAACCCCTTAAACTCTACCGGAATCCTAAACTACCCCTTCAGGAGAAATAAGAAACTTCTGCCCTCAAAGTAAGATGTCAAAAACAACTAGTCTAAAGGCCTATTGAGTTCTACTCAACTTACCTAAATCTTTTTATTGTTTAGGATGAAACTCCTTAGTTTCTTGCCTCTTTAACTGGCATCCGTGGACGCTCGTAATCATCTTCAAAGCATCCCCATTCCAACACTTCGGCTCTTTTCTTACTTTTGATGCGGTAAGGGACCTCCTCATCCTTCTGGGTGACATAGATCATGTCATTCCATCCGGTCATCTCCATCTGCCAAATGAGCTTCAGGAGTTCCGCGTGGCTGCAAGCATCAATGTTTCGTCTAGAACAGGTAACCAGGAAAGGCCCCCTGAATTTCCGAAGAAGGACAAATGCTCGTTGGCTGGGATGGTAAGCAGGAAGTTCACTGGACTCATCGCTCTGCCCCGCGGTGATAATGCCATGCAGAAATTTCCACCCTTTCGGACCATCATCAACAATATCAGGCTGTTGTTCCCGTTGAGTCTCTTCCTCTTTAGCGACGAATGATAGGAACAAGAGGGTAAATTCGCCCTCATAGTTTCGGTCAGGGTCCGGAGTCAACGTACCTTCGAGGATCCTTTTGGTCTTGACCCGTTCTGCAACCATTTTAGCATCAACTGTGCCATTGTATTTCGTGTTTCCAAAGACATCCAACTTCTCCATTGTAAAAATTAGGGAGTCACATGATGATTCACTGTCAGTGGATTCTGGCTCGCGTACTGGAATGGGAATATCCTCTTGGTTGCAAGTAACAAAGGAACTGTTGGTGATGGCCCATTGAGCCATTGATGCGCGGGTGTCTTGGCGCCTTCGGTCTGTTTTGTTATCAAGCCTCTTTGGCTTGAACGCGTCTCGCCATTTTCTCACATCCTTGATGTCGATGTGGAATATACGATGCTCTGCGTTACTGCTGTCGTTGAAGCAGATCTTGAAGCCAGGGACAGGGGCCCGCTTGGAATTGGGAAACAACATGCTCGTGAAGAACCGGCAGTTTATGGATCCGTCGGGAGTTCTTGAAGGACATGAGTGTCGCTGTGTTACGTTGCGTCTCTTGGAACCTTCTTTATCGTCTAGACCAGCCTAACGACATGAACTAGATTGAAACTAAGATCTTACCAGGAAGTTTGAAGCCGCGTGTGATGAGAGAAGAATAACGCGAAGCTCGAGATACTTTATATCAATATGTGGGGATTTCTGCTACAAAAGGATAATTCTTGGGGTATATGAACAATTGTGAATAATGAGTGTTTATCTGAACACAAGCCCGGGTGATTGCGTGGACAATGGGCGATAACAGGATCATAGTTGAAGTTACTCTGAACAAAGCAATCACTGCGTGTTATTTATGAAACCCTATGTCAGAGATTTCATGTGAACTGTGTTTGTTTTGAACGTTTCAAACAAAAACTCTATTGGCACAAGGAGAACAAGACAAGGCATAAGTGATGGTTTAACAAGCAACCACCTAGTCCTACAGGGCTATATACAAAAAGTTGGGGAATCGTGTACGACCGGGACCTGAGCAGAAAATGGGGAGTAGTTGTCTCTACAGGAGAGAGCAAAAAAAAGATCTTGATGAGACTGGGACTCGAACCCAGGAGGATTGCTCCACCAGGAAATTGGTGTTAAGGTTAACCTTAACCTGGCGCCATAACCAACTCGGCCATCTCACCAGAAGGTCATGAGGACCCGCTTGTTGAACAACCGGTTTGCTAGGTAGTACATAAGCAACTAATTCTCTCATAGGTAGCTGGGCTAATCAAGAGTATCATTGAAACAGTTCTTTGACTTCCTGCAGGAACACCATTTGTATTATAGTGGAGTTGCGATCGCTGTGTATTGGTAACCGTATCAGTTATTTGTGCAACATATTGAAGACATAGCATGCTGACGCTTTCAAGGCTGGGTAGGAAAACGCCAGATTTCTGGGTGTGTACATTGTTATTGATCTAGTCCAAGCCTTAAGACGAGAAACCTGAACTTAGAACGATTTGAAGAGATTTTATTGCAGTTACTAGAATATAAGATTCGCATCTCCCATAGCTATTATCCTTCTTTTACTTCCATCTACAAAGAATTCTATATGATGATGTTATCGATAAGACTCGGTGTGGATCTGTCATGCAGGCCAAGCCAAGCTTCTTCTTAGCTCTTCCAGTCTTCATCACACGCGACTTGAACTCTACAACGTCAACAGCAAACACCCAATCTCCGTTCACCAAGACTCAAGGCGCCGCAATGTCGGCGATCTATAATCTTGAACCGCAGCCCACTGCCTCGGTTATTATTCACACCACCCGGGGCGAACTCTCCGTCGAGTTATTCGCGAAGCAAACGCCGTTGACATGTCGCAACTTCTTACAACTAGCGCTCGACGGCTATTACGATAATACAATATTCCATCGATTAGTTCCAGGTTTCATATTGCAAGGTGGAGATCCTACAGGCACCGGCAATGGAGGAGAGTCCATTTACGATGGAGGCGCATTCAGCGGCGACCTAGATCCATGGCCCATGGACCAGCGCCAAGGGAAGAATGCAGGACCAACAGGAATCAATTTCAAGGACGAATTCCACTCTCGACTCAAATTCAACCGGCGTGGTCTGCTGGGTTCTGCGAACGAATCGCGTCCAGATACCAATGGTAGCCAGTTCTTCTTCACGCTCGACAGGGCCGAGGAGCTCAATGGAAAGAACACCCTGTTTGGCCGAATTGCTGGCGACACGATCTACAACTTGGCGAAAATGGGCGAGGGGGAAGTGGACGAAGCAACGGAACGCCCGACCTACCCAGTGAAGATCGAACGAATAGAGATACTGGTCAACCCCTTCGATGACATGAAGAAGCGATCTCGAGTGGCTGCCCAAGCGCCATCTAAAACAGCAGCAGCAACAAGCAAGGATAAAAAGAAGAAGCGGAAAGGCGGGAAACAACTACTCAGTTTCGGCGACGAGGAAGGTGATGACGACATGCCAGTGCTCAAGAAAAAGAAATTTGATACGAGAATTGTCATGGAAGATGAGGAGGAAGACGAAATCCCCAGGAAACCAGCAAAGCCGAAAGTCAAGAAGCCAACAGTAACGGAGAAGCTCTCACCAGTCGCAGATGAGGTCAGCGACAAAGGGCCGAGGAAGGCCACGCTTGATCAGCCATCCAATGAAACGCGGCGGAGTCCTGGCTCGCTTACGACCAGGGAGGTGAAGGACCAATCACCTGAACCGGAGGCTCCCAGAAAGACCGCTCTAGAGCGAGCCAACGAGGAGATGGCTGCTCTGAAAGCATCGATGCGACGGACCATCCATGCGGAGGAACCTGTGAAGGAGAAGAAGAAGTCTGCACTCGAATCCATGATCCCTGAAACATCAATCAGGGGCCGGAAACGAAGGCCCGGAGCTGCCAACACCTCGGCGAGTGAGGACGCAAAAACACTCCGCATGCTGAAGGCCTTCCAATCGAGATTGGAGAAGGCACCCCCGGAAAAGGATAACGAACATACAACAACCGGGGCTATGCGTGAAGAGGGAAGTACCCATGCTCCAGACGATGAAGCTGAGTTATGTGATTTACACTTTATCGCAAATTGTCAAAGCTGTACATCCTGGGATAAGCAGGAAAAAGATGACAGCGATGATGAAGGATGGATGTCTCATTCCCTCAGCTTCGCAGCAGACAAATTAGGCAAGGATCTTAGTAACCGTAAGAAGGCAGAAGAAGAGCTTGTTGTCATTGATCCGCGCGAGAAGGCTCGGACTCTCAAGGATGAGAAGAGAGCTGCGCGCGATGCTCGGCAGGGAAACTCCGGAAGAGCATGGGACCAGGCACGAGATGCAGCAAGGAATGCTAAGATGGCTCAGGCAGCATCGCTTGCAGGTCGAGGAGCAAAGTAACCGAGCAGATCAGGTAGATAGGCCAACTGTGGTTCAAAGCTGTTGGTGACAAGTGAAGTTTGAGTCCATAATAGGAATAGTCTGTCTATGATACCCAGCATAAAAGCATCAGGCCAGGTTTAATAGTGCCCCTCCTAGTCTGAGCTGACATGGGACAGGATGACGCCAATGCTTGTTCGTTGAAGAAAAGTGGCATTACGAGTCGCATCTGCCGTCCCCACAATACATGTCATGACCGATCTCGATCCTCGAGGACGCATAGTAATGATGAAGTTGTGACTATTGTTTCTATAGTCAATGGCCGAATTGATGCAAGTATTTAAAGTGAGACATTCTGTCTCTGAAATTGATAGGGCTTACAGAACTGAATTAAAAAAAAAGCTGTCAAAACGCCGCCAAGAGGCTACAAAGTTGTGGCTTTCTTCAACGTTGAAGATCGAGATACGTCGTCTTATCATCACGTGAAGACCTGGGCCCATGTCTCTGACAGAAATCTGATTGGCCCAAAAATATTTGACATTCAATCCGCCCGCTCCAAATGCTCCGGAAGACCCATTCGCAGCGCGACCATCAACTCCAGCATCATCACCGTCACGCAAACTGCACCACCGTTCAATCGCAACATCGGTACTTGCTCGCTTCAGCTTCCGGCCTGTGCATCGCCTATTACTTACCGTTTCAGGATGGGTATGCCGCTCACCATTTCTTATCTCCCTTGATCTATATAGAGCAAGGCCCACCGACCAAGACCACAGGCTGCCTTCCAGCCTTTTCCTTCAGACTACATAACTTGGGCAGACGCGCTGCGCAACTCCCACTGCTTAAGGCATCACTACGCGAGCTCCGTACACGAAGATAGAGCAAACGAGTGGCTGTCCTTAGACTTCAGTCCCGCGCCCGCGCATCTGCTCCATAATCATATCTTTAAGGCTGTGCCTTTTCACCAACAATTACGTTTGACTGTGGCTTTTGCGACAGCTTTTCGCATTTACCTTCCAAGGCCCTCTCGTGATTCATACCTGCTCCCTCGAAACCGTCCAACACTCTCCCTTATCACAACCCGAACACGGCCGAGCAAAAGATAAGTCGTTGACCGCTTACTACGGACGACGTTGCGCACACGCAATTACAGGAGTCTTAATAAAAATCACAATTACTCTCTGGGTTATCGTCCCCAAAGTACACATTGCGTGAAATCGATTTCGATCAAGGCGACGAGGCGAACTGGTCCCAAGGCGGCCAACATCAGCAGTCTCAAACCCATACCCGACTAGATTAGGCATCGATCGCGCCAATCCACACAAATTTAATCTCACCGCTTCTGAAGAAGCCCCGATTGAGCCAGAACCATTTTCATGTCAGCGCCCAACCCAAGGAAACGAGCAGCACCAGGAGCGTCCCCAATGATGCCCATACCGCAGCAAATGCAGCCACAGTACAACGCGGGGAACCCGGCTGGCGACCAGGTGATGCGTTGGAATGGAATGGGCGACCCTTCGAGCTTCATGAACGGTGCTGATGGTATCATGGATGGGAATGCTCATGTTGGGAACTCATTTGGTCTGGTTCCGGCACAGCCACAATATGCTCAGCCTGTGTCGACGCCATCGAACACGCTTGCTCGACGGCAAATGAATCGCGCGCTTGTTCCGACCAATGCCCGACCCTATGATGGAGCAGTAGAACCATGGGGAAACTTTGTTGGCGATGATAATGCTTTGCTTCAACAAAACCCCTCCGAAAACTTGAATGAGCAAGACAATGTTGAGATATTAGAGGAGATGGCCCAGAAGGCCAAGAGAGAGGCGCAAGCAAAGCGCAAGCAGATTCCCCCTTTCGTGCAAAAGTTGAGCAGGTAGGTTTCTCCATCAGCATGAGATCGAAGAGACAAACTAACCATGTCAAAGTTTCCTAGAAGAGCGCAAGAACGAAGATTTGATTCGATGGTCAGAAAAGGGAGATTCGTTCATTGTGCTTGATGAGGATGAGTTTGCGAAGACTCTGATTCCAGAACTATTCAAACACAACAACTACGCATCCTTTGTTCGGCAGCTCAACATGTATGGCTTCCACAAACGCGTGGGTCTGTCGGACAACTCAATGCGAGCCAGTGAGCGCAAGAATAAGAGTCCTAGCGAGTACTCAAACCCATATTTCCGACGCGGACATCCAAATCTCCTGTGGCTCATCAATAAACCCAAGAGTGGAAGCAAAGCAAAGAAGGGTGCCAAGGGTGCTGAGATCGATAACGACAGTGAGGATGAGGGGGCAACCGAGGAGATCCTCGCCTCTGGACTGGGAGCCTCTGCAGCCCAGGCTCCTCGATCATTACCCGCTGGTGATTCTCAGCCCATACCAAAGAAAGAGATGACTCTCGTTCGAGAAGAATTGAGCAAAGTCCGAGAACAACAGAAATTAATTCTCGGGGCCATCAATCGATTACAAAGAAACAACAACGATCTTTATCAACAGGCGGTCATGTTCCAGAATCAGCATGACCGCCATCAGAATTCTATCAACGCCATTCTCAACTTTCTTGCCAATGTCTTTCGAAAAACATTGGAGGATCAGGGCAACTCACAGAATGTAAACGATATCATTTCGAGTATGCTCACGAACCAGAATCAGCAGTCCGCCCAGCATGGCAGCGTGGTTGACCTGGGAGACTTCATCCAACAAATGGATCCTTCATCATACGGCACACCTCATAAGAAGGCTCGTGGCCTGCTACCCCCTATCCCCAACCAGAACCGCGCCCAATCAGTTAGATCGCCTACCCCAAACAGGTCAACACTCGGCAATTCAACTTACCAAACTGTCAACCACCACAACCCTGAGATGGGCCATGTCACAGAACTCCAAGAGAATTCACCTAGCGACACAAATTCCCCCAGTCTCCGTCAGGAACTAGAGGCAAACCCTCATGAGCAGATGTTGAAGATGATCAACGAACACAACGCAACCAACAATCATGGCCTAGATCTGCCAGAGGCTGCCGAGCTTGTGGCGAACGCCCCCAACACATTGAGCAATGCACAGCGAAGCAAGCTGGTGAATTTCATGGCTGGCCAGTCCTCCTCTGCTCCATCTGCCAGGTCGACTCCCGCCCCAACCCCAGTCTCTGCCACACCGGCACCTGCTGCTGCTCAAATACCTACGTCAAGTGCCCACATGGCCATGCCTACTATGCCTACCTCAACCTCCGTCTCACCCCCACCCATTGAGTCCAACCCACCTCCTTCGCTTTCCCCTATCATGGGACCTCCCATGGCACCGCCATCCTTGAACGAGATCAACACCAACCAGTTGGATCTAGATCAACTTCAGCGTCTTCAAAGCGAGCAAGATGCAAAGATTAGCGAACTTGGTAGCATACTTGGACCACTGAGTCCTTCCGGGCATGTACCTGGTCTGGGTGATAACGAGGCGTACTTCGATCCTCAATCAGCAGATTTCGATCAGTTTTTTGACAGCAACGCTTTATTTGGCGATGGGCAGTACAACACTGATGGCACTGATTTCAACTTTGGCCTTGATACAGACCCGAGCCACCAGAATCCGTCACTACATACGGGACATCCCCTGCACCATGTGAGCCACCACAATACTCCGAGTCCCGCAGGTACAGAAGAAATTTCCCGCAATGACCTGCGGCTAGACAGCACACCCGATCGAGGAATTAAGCGACAACGCGTGGGCTAGCACTCTGCTGAGGAGTCCATCAAGCTTCACACAAGACCGGGAATTGTGTTCTCGCCGGGAAAAAGGCCGGGTTAATTTGGCCCTTAATTGTATTTATTCCCAACACATACCTATCTCCTCACCTGGGTGGGTATTACCCTGCAGTGTTGACTAACAATCATTCTGAACAAAGAACAGCAACAAAAGGCTCAATAGAGCCGAAACAAAAACAGGTTTGCTTTAGACATCAAAATATTCGCTGTTATCTTAGGAGCGAAAAGAACATACTTATAGAATCCATGGACGAGCATGGAGGTATTGAGTTAGTTATTCGGTTGGATTGATATGGGGGGCAGTTGGCGCGCTTTCATGATATGATGTTTGATCGATTGAGCACGGTTAATAGTCCTTTTTTAATCGACCACTTCTCAAATATACGTCGCTGTGACTCATGGCTAGGTGAACTCATCCTAACCTTCGATCATTGGCCTTATAATGAATGTGTTGCGGATTGCCCTGTTTCCCTATCAGTTTGTCCAAATCGACCTCGGAGTTTTCAGGTCATCGTGGTCCGCCGTCCGCATTCTAGAGAAGAGGAATAGGTGATACCTTCGTAATTTCCAACCATAAGTTCAGCCTATGTCTTATCGTAATACTCCTAGGCATATGATGATACTGCCGTAAGAACCCTAAGCTCATGACGATGTGGTTATAATCTACTAAGTTTCACATCACTGCCGTTGAGAATGTATTAAGATGCTGCCGTGGCGGGTATGTACAACGGAGTGCGATTGTAATAGACGAATACTGGCCCCCGGCAATCCTTCCAAACCCCATGAAGGAAATCGCTGAATTCGAGAAGCGATGATTTTGCAGCCTTGTGTCCTTCTCTGTCGCTTCTTTGCTCATAATTGATTACCTTTCGACAAGTGCTGAAGTCTCAGACAGGCGATATGGGATTGCCTTGTTCAGAATGAGATACTATAGCATTAAACCCGTAGGTACTAGTCTGCATGCAATTATGTTTCCTACTCTGAACGTAAATCAATCGTACATGAAATAGCCTCATGGTGATTGAAGAGTGGTTCGGCTATGCCAACCTGATGAACCCTCTACGTGATATGCACAAGCGACTCCAGCGAATCAGAGGCTAGAACAAATTTGTGTAACTGAAGCCTCAACAGCCACAAGTCATGTGGCTCACACTTGTGGCGAGCTTTGACTATCTACACCCCTCCCAATATACACTATCCAGTCTCAAGAATGATTCATCTTCACAAGATGTGAAAAGACGGTGTAAGGCGCGCGGATGTTGTTTGTTTTTGCGACATATCGCGTCTGTCGTGATCTTTTAATTTCCGTCTCGTCACGGGCTCTCAATGCGCCAGTCACCTCCATGTCGGGTGGAGACGCAATTTGCCATATCACCCTCGGCCGAGTCAACTATCGCTACCCTACATGAGGATGCGGGTTTATGTTCGCCTCGTCAATGCGGCGAATAGATTTACACGTGACTCCTTTTCAGAGTCTTCTGCTTGTATCTGTGCTCTATTTGTTTGTTGTTTTCCTGTTTGTTCTTTGAGTCTTCGCGGTAATTATAGTGGTGTTCGATGTTGTAGAGAAGGGTCATCCCGTCCTGCCATTTCATACCCGTACACCATTTAGATAACACTTACAGCGGGATCTGAGCATTGATCTCTGCCTAGCTTAAGGATGTGCCCTAGAGAACAGACGGAGCACGAACATCTGCGATTGGCAAATTTCATCTTCGATGTAAGGATCTATGAAGCAAGGAATTGCGAGTCAATTCTGTCTTGGAATGGCACCGAACAATACCCTACAGCATATCATCTCCAACCAAAAGTCCATATCAACCAACATAGACAGCGCGGCAATAGTCAAGCTGTAGTTAAAAACCCCCCCATTAGTCGTAACTCATAAGACATACACAGAACTACCGCCGCGAGACCCGTAATCCAGGATGTCGGTCCTGGAATGCTCGCTGCCAGCTGGAACTCTGCAATGCAATACCCGACACCACACCTTAACACAACTCAGGAATGGAAACTATTCAGTCCGACACAGAATGACACAACGAGATATGATTCAATAGACTTTTTATCAAAATTAAAGAATCAGCCCTGCATGAGGGTGCGCGGCCAATAGGAGTCTGCGCATCTTCAACTCCCAACCTGCAGCGTCCAGGGGTAGCATGAACCTGGCCAATCCCAGCCACTATTAACTATAAACCTTAAGAAACATCCCTTAAGACAACACCACTATGCTAATAATATGCCCTACATCAGTAGTCCCATGCATATGCGTCTCCTAGTCAGGGGCTCACCATATTGCGCTGGTTGGGAGAATGAGCCGACTAGCTGGTGTCTTTTTGTTTTCCGTTAAAGATGCGAAATTAAAATCTCTCCACAGTGGGAAATTTCCTGACGTCAAGCTCCCAACCTCCGCTCCATCCATCGACGATCTAGATCGTTCAGCTAGAATTCGAAGACAGATTCAGAGACAGACAAAAGACGCGGCTGAACCAGAAACACCGGTATGACGGCTGGGCTTAAGCCTTTAGAAGGCCAAATGAAACAATCGATCGCAGTGTTGAATAATCACCGAGTACCACCGGAATGAGAAATGAATACGATTTGGAACAGTTCAAGTTAAAGAATTTTTACTTCTTTTTTTGTGCCTGTTTTACGTACAACTACCTATACACAGGACGGGGGGCCTGAAGAAAGGAACTAGCCTGACTTCGTAGATCCAACCAAAGGCACGATTAATGCCAAAATCCTCCCCCAGGACAACGTTTGTTGTGCATGCCAATGGCTTCCCAACTATGTATCGCCATCCCATCCACCTTTGAAAGAATTATGCAGACGTAGTGCTGCTGTCGTGAAGAGTAGGCCGCCTCATCGTACCAGACCGAGGTCAGACACCATCGTCCCTGTTTTAATAAAGCTGGTCGGTCCATAACCGCCTATGTCCCAAAATCCGGGGGGTATCCTTTTTATCCACCGCGAGGGACCTGTGTTGGTGCATTCTCGGTCTTCTTTTTACTTCTTCCGTCTCGAGGTTAGCCAGGCTCCTCATGCGTAATCTATGTCGTCAACCAGTTTTACCCGAACGGTGACCTGTCGTTGGTCCTCTTGGGGGTATGCGGATTCCTTCCACACCGGGAGAGCAAGTCGTATGGAACCTGAAAAAAAAAAGATGCATAAAGTTGCTAAAAATGAAAAAAGGGTATGATCCGCGTGTTCCTTTTTTTGGTGCCGCTAGACTTGATATTGAGGAGAAAATGTTGAATCGCAAGGAAATTGAAAGCAGTCGCTAAATGCCAAAACATATGTGAAAGATCATTCTGTTGTGCGACCATGCAATGATTTCGAACAAGTAATAGAATGTTGGAAAGATAGTGTAGAAGCCACGATGATGTACATGTGTGAACGTCGAAGGTCGAATCGTCGATTCAATATCTTGTCATGAAGAGCATTATTGGTTCATGCCATGCTGGTTAACGTATCCGACGTATTGGTGTTGACCATATACTGCCGCATGGTGTGGAGGTGTTGGTGTGACCGGGCATCGAGGAGGTAAGCCGTGAGACTCCTTTGCCATGTTGTGGTTGCCAATCAAGGAGTTACCGTCAGGGGTGATCGGGGGTGTTAGGTAACCATCGAACCCCATCGCGCTGTGTCCTTTTTGGGGAGTGCTGTAGATGTTGCTCGTGTGCTTGTTGATGGGTTCGGCTAGGGGAGTAGCTGGGTTAGCAGCTCGACGGGCGATCGCAGCTTGCTCAGCCATGAACTCGGCCAGCTTCTGCGACACCCGAGAAAAACCTGTTGTCGAGTACTTGCGCGCAAGTGTAGGCGAGGGTTGATGAAGGTGATGCGACAATGTGATCAAGGTAACGTTCTCTGTCTGGTCCCAACCTCCATCGTTAACTTCAGAGCGGCCGAGGATAGCTCGTGCGAGAGCCAGAGATGAGCGAGCCATAACGGAAGGTTTGGTGGAAACGAAATCGCGATGGTACAAGGCAATCTCACACAGATAGGCGGCCATGTGCGCAACCTCCTGGTCGTCACCCTCCTCTGCCACCATTAGTTGCGAAAAGAAGTCGACGGTGGGGTGGCCAATGATCCAATCGAGGGTGTTGAGGACATGCATCTCCATTTGTGTGAACATGCCAGCATCATAGAGTCCGCAGCACATGTTGTTGAGTTCGTGAATCTGAGGAACGCGGTCCTTCTTGTCACCATACTTCGCAGCGATGAGTAGCGCAGCGCATCCAACCAGCTGGTAGTGTTGCTTATACACCACTCGCTTGGAGCAGTATCGATCGAGGAGGTTAACAGTGAGGAAGAGAGTCTCGGGGAGGAGGCCGAAGGCAGCATGGGCCTCGATGAGGAAGTCGATCAAGTAAGGTCGCATGAACCACTGAATCTCGCGTTGCATATCGATGAGGGAAGCATCTGGTAGAGTCTCATCCTAAACATTGTCAGCAGATGAGACGTGGTAGACGTCAATGTGGCAACATACCTCCATTTGTCGCATATGCTGCATGATATCCTCGAGGTACTCATCGCCTGCTAATCGTGATAGCTCAACGCCAATGATGTCTTGCCGTTGACGGGCCATCATTCGTGCTGCTTCTTGGGCTGTGATTCTGTGATGAGGTTCTTCAGACTCCACGAAGTAAGAGTCGTCATGTTGAGAGTACGCCATATTGGGTGGTAGGTGATGGGTTTCTCAGATGGGCGGTGACGGGGCAGAATAGTGTCTGTGGCTTGGTGTCAAAGGAGAGACTGTTGGTTCGCCAGGAATCTTGTGGTCGGAAATTCGCAAAAGAGAGAGTGACTTCGGCTGCAAAAAGGAGTGATGCGAAGCCGATTAATTAGGTTATTAAGATATTAAAGAACGTGGATGAAAATGGTGAAAAGAGTGACCGTGGCTGGTAACGAGACCAGGAGCATGTAGATAGTGGAGTTTGGAAGAAAAGGGATTGGAAAGGGGGCCGTTTAAAGACGAGATCGACTCAAGGGCTCTAATGTGGTATGTGCGTCAGTATCAAGTTTAATACTAGCCGAATCTCGATTTTGCCAAACTCGTGACTCGCTGAAGGTATTACACCGCGAAATGTAGGCAACTATCCCTTGGTCGATAGTCAAGCTGGCACGAGTATGGTATCGAGGGGAGAGGGGGGAGTCTTACAGCCACACGTCGGGGAGATGGGCAAAGCTCGTTGAGATGAGACAGTCCCTGAATCGAGCAGGAATAACGAGCTAACGTCTCCCACTGGGCAAATTTCAAGGAGAAAAAGCGTGGTGGTTGTGGTGAGGAGAGCGGTATGCGGGAGTTGAACACTCGGCATGCAGCTATACGGAAATTAGATATGACATGTCCCCAGCGCCGTGCAGCAACGGCAATGACATACCTTTCCTACGCTCGTGAACGCTTCTGATGGTTCGATTATCGAGTCAGAACGACAGCGATGTAACCGAACAGGTCGCGATTAATCAAATCACTTCTGTGTGTGTGTGTGTGTGTGGATGGTTCGGAATTCTCTAGGGTGCTGCGGGATTGAGAGTTGAATAACTCGCAATCGTCACTTTGACCTAGCTTTTTCCTGTAGTCCAAGGGATACCCAGAATTGATTGGCGACTAGTCTTCAGTTCTATGACTAGTTTCGGGAAGGGTTGAGAGTGGTCGCTGTCGAATTGAACTGAATTGAATCAAGGGAGCGGGCTCGTTGATGCGAGGCTTCGTCGGCGGCGGGAGCGGGAGCGTTGGCGTTGGCGAGGGAGTGGATTGAGATTGGAGACTGGAATTCCTGGTGGATGAACCGAGGAATTTTACAGAGTCGAAGGAGAAGCTGGAGGGAAAAATTACAGAGGGCGAAGTGGAAGTAGAAAAGCGAAATACCAGTAAAGGTCTCTTTGATTCACTTTTCCAGTCCGGCCTGTTTCTGGTCCTAGTCTCACAGCCTTGGTGGTTCCTGTCCTTTAACAGGGCGGGATGGGGGGCTTTTTGAGGGAGAGATGTCGAGCGAAAGCCCTGGGAGTCAAGTTGAGAATTCTCCTCGTCTCAAGCGTCTTCAGGCCTGCTGTGTTCGGGTCAGGAGAGGAAGACGGAATGAGAGAATGAGGGAATCAACAAAACGAGAGGAGGAAGGGGAGGAGGGAGGATGAAGAGGTAGGAGGAGGATGGAGAAGAAGGAAAAGGACTGGGTGACAGGTACGCGAGTAGAGTAGGTAGTTTTAACCAACTGTAATGCAGCGAGAGGAGAGAGATCCATGGTTTGTATGGGTGGATGGCTCCATCCAATCCATCCATGGCATGGCCTAAAGTAAGCTAGCTAACTTGCCAGGGGCGTGAGGTGTAAATGCAGATGCAGGCGGAGTGTGAGTGCGAGGTCTAGGAGGTGTGCTGGGATCTTGGGTGTGTGAGATGGGGGATGTGTCCTGTCCTGTCCTGTGCTCTGTGCTCTGCCTTAGTCTAATTCGTTACTGCATTGCATGCACCCGTCCGTCCTTGCTTCAACATTGATGAATGCACTGCTAATAAGCGACTTCTCTTATCCTCAATATTCCAATCTCTGTCTCTTTCGCAAGACCTCAATTGCTACCTTAATACCGACCTGCCCTGTTTTCATGGCCACCTATCGTACCGCTTGCGGGGACGCTGACCAGGTACCGGTTTGCTGGGCAACAGGTGGTGCAGGTACCTAAACCGGCCCCTGCTAGGAGGCCACCAGGAGTTGCCCACCTAAGCTCGGGTCGCGCGCCCACCAAAGCGAACGCCAATCCTGGCAGTTTGAAGTTTGGGAGAGGAAAAAGGAAGCTTCCATTCGATTTGCTTTTACAGATCCATCAAATCTACCAATAAAGAATTCTCATTTGTGCTTTTCACATTTTCCTCAAGGGAATGTTCATCAGTGACTCCCCTTTTACGACTCTTGTAGCATAAATACATACATAGTATTTCACAAATTAACTTAATACTTAATGAAATGCCCCTTCTCTTTTTTTGCGGGCGGACTTACGCTACTTTGACCTCACCACTCTGACCATCGCGCACCTAATTCAAGGCACGCTCTTTCGGAGGCTGGGTCCAAACTCAGGTAGCTTCTGCTTGGGGCTTTGAGAGCAGAACGGGATTGGGTGTGAGTGGACCGCAGCATAACGCAACTCTGCACAGCACAACACAATACAGCACAAGAAACCGGAGGACGACATGGGGTGTGCAAGGTATAGTGCAGCAACTTTTGGCGGACGCTAGCACTCACTTGGGGCTTTGTTAGAAGCGTGGTGAAGCGTGTATCAAGCGTGTGAGCCTGCGCTGGGCCTGTCGACTTGTGCCAATTGTGTCGTGTCGTAGCGTGTTCTGTCTCTCGGCTGGGGAAATACGGCGTGGGCTTGAGGCAGGGATCCGCGAATGGAGACGGGCGTGTGAGACCGCATGTAAGAAAAAAAGGTATCAAAAATGTGAAAGTGAAAGTGAAGGTGAGAGTCAAGAAAAAAAAAAAAGGCTGATTGAAGATGACCGCGTCAAGGCTAGGAGAAATGATGCCGAGAAAGAACTTTGTGATCCGGCCCGAGGTATTAATGATGCTCATAGATCGGATTGATCATGAATGGTTTACCTTGACCTGATTCAATAATACGTAGATGGCAAACATGGAGAGACATATATCTGATACAGAACAGAAATAATGACTACTAGTAGTTCGATTAAAGCAATCATGAATTATATGTTGAATCGACCTTGCCGTGGAATGAGAGGTGTCTTCAAAATGAAGAAGAGAGCCTCAATGTTTTGGTAGCATGATGCACTCGGCCGAATCTATTTATTTGTTGACTGCTTCCAAGTTTTGACAAGACATTTATTATTATATACTTCAATAACGCAGTCCTCTCTCATGCGGCCACGACAGTTTGTTTGTTTAGAACTTCTGCTCATGGCCGCTTCACGGCCTCGTTGAGCAGGGCCACAGCCGGCCCATTGTCCTTGTTTATAAGCATTGTACGTCCATTCAATGGCCGAGTAACCTATTAAGGAGCACTACACAGGCTCACCACAGCGAGTCGGCAGACACTAGCTGTAAAGAACCGTCACCTTTGCATGCACCACCTAGTCTTTATCATGGCAACCAAGACATTTGGAAGATCTCGACGACACGCTCAAGACCGAGTTGAGGGTGCCCGCCATGACCGCGGCCTCTGGCCGACTGAAACAATCGTCATATTGAGTCAAAGTCAATGCGCTTGATTGACAGTGAGGTGACAGTGATATACAGGCTACTGAGCTTGGTGTAAACGAAACAGAAATCATGAGATATTGTCACTATTGCACCAATTCCACGATAAGGTGATGGCCAGGGGCCTGTTTGAGAGGCCCCAATAATAGCAAATCCATCTGTCAGAACATCGTCCCTGTTGCTCGGGTTGCGAATGCAATGCTTGTCTAAACCTTCAAAAGCATGGATTCCCTTACAGTGATAGTGTCATGAACATATAAAAAAAAAGGTCCGGTCAACAGTGGACGCTTCTGCACTCTAACGGGGTTCCGAGCTGCCCGTAACTTAGCCAACATCCCACACTCGTCATCACTACGGACGGAATAAGCTCCCGTTGGACACGACTGACTGTTCCGTAGAAAAGAGTCGACTCGGCTGGACTCGCCGTTGCCCGGCGCAGCAAATGCGTGTGCAAGTTGAGGTTAGGTTAGCCCATGAACCACTTGCTGCGCTTGCTTCACAAGCCCACAAGCTACTGTGCAGCTCCGGCGGGAGCGTGAAGCCATCGCGTCCCGTCTCGTCTCGTCTTCCTCGACAACCGTGTCGTTCCTAGGTACGGGTCCATACCGACGCGGCACCTGCGCGACGAGACTTGGACAGAGACTAATACGATTAACTCGAGTCTTGCCTGGATCCTGACTTTCATCTCAATCAGCCCAGTTTCCCATCTCGGCGACCAAAGGGAGTTTTCTGTGGGTTTGGGGCGTTGTCAGCCAGAAAAGCCTGGGCCTATGACAATCACTGAAGTGCTCTGATGGACTGAAAAGCCCTCGTGCTGTAGGAACCACCAGTAGTTATCCGTTGCTCGCGTTGCTTTCAGGTATTATCGACTCTTACATCGTCCCCCGGACCAATCAATTGGCCGCATCGGGCTTCTGCATCTCAACTAACCATGCATGTAATTGAGTGCTCGAGCATCAATGTCATTCTCAGTCTCCCTCACATCCAAAGCTGTCACCCAATCCCCACAGCGTGCGATCTATACTTTGACTTTCCAATATATCCACTGGACTACAGGTCGCTAGACAAACCTTGGACCAGATGAGAGGCTCGCATAGCTCTCACTTGATTGGCTTCAGCTTTTTGCCTCTTGTGTTAACTCAACTTATGCTGTGCTGTGTAGCTGTCATTTGTACATGATTGTCAGCTCTCTAGCTGTAAACGTCAAACTGCCACTGCCACTGTATCTGTACGTAGCATGGTGTTCGTTCATCGGCGCGGTCCTCTCCTCGCGTTGCCTAGCCTAGCTCAGGGGTGACGGGCCGGCTGTGGTACAGTACCAAAAGTCGTGAGACGCTGTCAGCGTTCTGCCCTGCTAGAACCCTTGAATGCTATGGTTTTGGGAACACAGCACGGAGCAGCATCTGCAGTAGGTTGCTCTGCGTATAATGCCAAGCCCGCTTTGCTCCTCGGGCGTATCGTAATTCGCTGACCCGTAGAAAGTTTGCTCAACCGGACATGTCCCCGCTTTGACGACGCTATTCACAAATCTGACACTATTCACATATCCGTACATAAACACAAATCATATCAAAGCCAGGTTTTCTCCTGCATGTCATTGTTCGACAGCTTCAACTAAAAGCAGCTTCCCTTGAATGAGTTGTCAGTCTCACCTTCAGCCTCATCTCCCTGTTCTAGACATGATCTCGCTCGATACTATTCTAAGCATCGGAACTCAAATCCGTGCCAGGTGCCACTTTGATAAAGCGAGATCGCTATCATGTCGCAAACAAATTTATTCGCCCGATACGTATCTGGTTGGATCTCATACGCATCAGACCCATCTCATAGACGATCTCTGTTTCCTCATCCCCGTCCATGTAAGGCGGGTATATGGAACTGTTGGTAAAAGGAGGTGCTTGGCGATACTGTGCAGGTAATAAAACATGATGAATACGGAGTATTGTAACAAGATATTCCATGCAATGGCTGCATGGAAACCGACGCTACTGCTAACTCACTCAGACGTCCCGCCCATATCAACAGTCGTTATAACGCTGTAAGTGGCATCCGATAGGCGCAGTATTTTTTGTTGGTTATTATAGATTGAAATCTGCTGCTGTGTCACATCACACCTCATGGCATCACCAACAGATTGATTGTCTCGCCATGGATCAGACTCCTCCTAACAAATCTAATTCAAGGCTAGTACAGCTTCACCGATATTTGCGCTCATCTTGCCTGTCTTGTACGTGCCCGTCAGCGGGCTCAGTTCGTAATAAGTCGCCCGATGCTCATTTCCATCCCATGCCGCCTCTTCAATTCGCTGCTGCAAGGGAAGCCGAGAAAAAATTGGCCCTCTCCACAGCGCACGAGAGCGTCTCCACGCCGAAAAGGAACATGCTTGTATAAATGGCACGCATAAGACGTCAAACGGGCACAAGCACAAGAAACACTTTGTGAAGATAATGACGTAGATATGGTGTTGGTATACATTAGCCCGCCTGTGCAAGTGTTGGTTACTACTCCGTACAATGGGACAAAAGTCTGATGAGCTTCTCGAGTTGCCTAGTCGACAAGCGAAATGGATTGACTTCAGATAGTGATTGAAATCCCAACGAGTCAGGGTCTTTGAAGAATGGAGAAATACTCTCCGTCGATGCCATCATAGGAATGTTCTTTCGATTCGGGGTCCAACACCCGTTCCATTTGTCCCTATGGTATCTAAGAATGTCGCCGCCTCGTTATAAGTCATAGCAACGTCCGTGAAACATTGCTTCAGCCGCTTGTGCTTGGTGGCACTCAAACCACGGCTTCCGTCCAAGTTGTCACAAAAATCCAGTTTGGCTAGGCATCAGCTGGAGGAGAACATACTCCTGTTGACCTCAAGTCTCACCAAATCAGGAGCATTGCTCGCGCGGGGGATGTGGTTAGGCGTGAGATCGTCCAAAACCTCCACAATCCGCTCTCACGACAACTACACCAGGCACACGATCAAGGCACCAGGTCTAGTTCCAGGTTCAGGCACAGGCACAGGCACAGACAGACACGCCGAGAGCACACGACCATATGAGGAAGCAAAACTCGCGAATGGGCCCGAAAGCCGGAAAGTATCACATACACGTCTGCTCAGGACGAGACCTGCACCCCTTTATTAACCCGTCCATCTCGCGCTCACGTTATTAACGCGCCCGCGTCAAATGGCGACGCAGTTTCTGAGAGCCAATGAGACGGTGCAGACGCGCATTTCATGAGACTCTGCAGTCAGCGCATCTTAGGCCGGACCCAGGTGGCTGGGGCGAACGGGAGAGCTTGGAAAAGGAAACCTAAAGTTGAAGGGCGAGCTAGGTTTAGCGTCAAGAGCCCTGCACAGCTGCACGAATTGACAAAAAACTTCAAAGTGCAACGGGCACAGTTGGATCGACAGTATCTGACATGTAACCTGCAACTGAAGCAAGGCAGAGACAGTGATTGAGTCAAGGTAAGGGCGATGGTGTCGGTGCTGGAAATGAGGCTTTCCAGGCCATCGTCAGTTTCTGAGGCCGATCAGACAGGCAATATCCTGATCGAACTTTGATCTCATGCGAAGCTTTCTTTTCTTTTTCTTTTTTCCTTGGGGGTTTCTGTCACCACTTCTTTTCTCACTTCTCACATGCGCCAACTTGATGCCAGTGAGGGGGTAGCCCCAGGAACTCCGGCCAGGATCCCCTGGCTGTTCCCGACGTGGAGGGTCAAGATATCCAGATCTGACTGTGAACCATGACCAAAGGTGTGCCACCTGTAGATCTTCTAGCTTCTGGGTCTGCCATACCTCATTCGTTTATTTCTTGATCATGATTCTTTGATAGGAATTGACCCATGTGACACGCGATTCGTATGGTCAAGAGGCTGGTTTAACTATCATGGCGTGCCTCCCTAGGGTCCGAGAGTTTGATCGTGGTGATCTTGGTTTTGCTCTTGACTCTGATGGATCAAGACTGATGGGAGTGGTATCCGTAATTCAGTATGGTTTAAACTCTCTACTGTTTAGCTGCCCAGAGATGAGCACTTGGCCTCAGAAACCCCTCACGCCAGGAACAGCAACTCCGGAGAAGGAGGACACAGGTCCGTAAAGGTGATTGCATTGAATAGTTTTGGCTGAAATTGTTGCCCGCTTGGCAATATCTCAAATGTTTCCTCCGCAATTGCTGAGATATCTAACTGCGACAGTTCAGTGCCCAATTTCGGACCACCAACCAAAAGACAAAACAAAGGAGGCCTGAACAAAGACCGGCATAGGTAAGCCACGTCTCGCGGGCGCGGCATGAGCCACTTCTCCCTGCCGATCCTCAAGGGGGAACAGATGATATTGAGGCTGCTGGTGGCTTTGCGTGTCCCTGAATTTCAACAACAAACCGCTAGGTAGAGTTGTCTCGACCACGGTCCTTGAGACGTGCCAGATTCGCGACTGACGGTCTTTCGAAAGTTAACCTAGTGCTTTGGTCGGTATCCGTACGCTACTGGCTGTGATCCGACTTACCCATGTCCCAGCAAAGTGGCTGACTTATCGTTCAAGGTGCATCAGTGGTCTGACTAAATTCAATATTTCGTCTTCAATCCACAGCTAGAAGCAAGGCAAATGTCAAAACGCCAACAAAACTTTGAGCTCTGTTCTCTGAACTCATATTTCCCCATCATTTCCCTACCTCCACGATGCAGGTTTCAACTCTCCCTCACATTTGACCTTGAAAATGCCAAAATGTGACGTAGGATCTTAGCTTCAGCAGTGGAGAAGGGCAAGCTATCAATGGAGCAGGCGTGGAACCTAGTGCGATTGAGCCTTGAAACTTTGCCATTTAAAGTCTAGAAAGCTTGAAACTAGTCTCTGCCCCGCATTCACTCTCCGAGTTCCCAATTCAGGGATCACCCAAATTCGGAAGAGTCTTTTGCAGAGCAGAACCAAGATCCGATATTTGCTGTACAGTTGCTTCTCGAGAAGCGGCAGTCTCTACAGAGATGAGACATTGACTAGAATCTGTTTCGGACCCTTCTATTATCGATCTAGGTCTCGAATTCCGCTCTGCTAAAACCGATTGGTCTTGTTCATATTCCCGTGAGACTGTGGAAATGAAAAAAGAACAGAGCCGCAATCTTCTCAGGAGGACTTGTCTAGTCAAAGTAACACACACGAGTAACCTCGGTGGTGTGAGGTGGTTGCGCCGGTTTCCATTTTTACACTACTGGCGACTCCAATTAGATCCTTAGCACCACGGGTAACGAGTCCCAAAGGACGGCACGCCTGCAGCAGGCTTGCAGAAGTGCTATCACCTGTTGCAGAATGCCAATGGCAAGCTTTCGAGGCATGTCAATACGTCAGGATGTGCAAGCACTCTAGAAGCAGGGCTAAGCCAAGAGTCATCACCTCGTATGGATAGCATGGCATGCTCTGATTTTCCCCTGGCCCGGGGTAAGACTCTGAGAGAGCGCGTTAGGTTGGCTCGGTGCCGTGGCTACTGCAGAGTTAAGGGTGAAAGGGTGCGAGACACGAGAGTCTCGGATCGAGTTGCTTAATTATGGCGTCAACGACATGATATCGGCTTGGTTTCCTGGCTCCACGTCTTGTTTCTCTTGGTGATGCATCATCCCTCGCTTCGCCCTGCTGTGGTGCATAGTGTTGCGTTGCTGCCTCCGCCTCCGCTCAATCAACGAATTACGCCCAAGCCGAGACGCTGATACTCATGCTGACACCACTCATAATGCCTGTAGCTCAGCACTGGACCAAAGAACCCTTAACTTAACTTAAGATCAACCCCATCCCTTGCCCGCGCCCCCATTCCGAAGCCCCGTAACTTTTTTTTTTTTTTAAACGTGTCTTGTCTCTGATGAAATAAACGCCAAAAGACGCCTCAGAGACGCGCGGGCTTTGGTGATGATTTGCAGCTCGCAACACGTTCCACGTACATGGGTTGCTGCGAGACGCGTGAGATGAGGAGCCACCTTCACCGCAGTGAGGGGGAGTTTGGGAAAAAAGGAAGTTAAAAATCATCATATGCAGATGCTCACGCCCATGAGGTTGGTCACGATGGAGTCTGCATCGGCCACTCCATCACCTCGCAGAAACCGCCGAACGCAGATTTTTTTTCTCCTTGATGAAACTGTCGCCGCCGGCAATTGCTGACTACATATTTTCCACTTGGCGGATGTTGCGGTTCTTACTTATGCGTGCAAGGACCATGAAAACCACATTAATTGAGCCCAGGACCAACAAATAGCGGGCTAGACACTGGGTATCCATCGCCTGAGACAAGCGGTCCCCCTCGAATTAGTTATCAACAGCCTCGTTCCCGTTGGTGTGCACTCTCGACATCCACTCTCCGAGACGGCACCGTGGGAGAGATCTTTGCCATCCGAGGATTGAAGCCTGGACCTCTGTGACTGGCGCATGTCACCAAGTGGTTCGTAGTGGATTTTTCTTCGTCTTCTTGTTCCCGCAGTCCGGCCCGCGGCGATGGAATCTGAGCCCCTCATACGCTCAACAAGTGCCGTCTGCCGTCTACAGTACGTAAGATCCATTCACGGTAGGGTTGATTCGACCGACAGAGTGGTACTGTTGCTGTACCCCACGAGGTTCCATCCTCGTCCCCGACCACGCTGCAATTTGAGGTTATCCACAAAGAGATCCAGATTTGCACAAAATGGACACGAATGCACGTGCCAGGCCCCAGCTTGAAATGACGCTAAGGTGCAAATGTTCCAGAAGCCTTCCACAAAGCGGAGCTACCCGCGTAAGTGACGACACACTTGACTCCTTTTCTGAGTGAAATGAGGCTGAATCACCCGAGCAGCCATTCTTGTTTTGGCGTAGCGTCCCCCCACACGTCGGGTCGTGATGCGCTAAGATACAGTACCTTCAGGGCCCATTTTTACGCGAAAGAAGCCTGTTCTTGACCTCTAGACTCTCCTCTTTTTTTATACATGCTCATCTCGTCTCTTGTGCACGCCTCAATAGCTCCGCTGCGCCGTTTTGTGTCTCGTGACTGGCACTTATGCGGATATTGGCTTGGCTTGGCTGTCGGCAGAATCATTTCCTAGCGGCCTAGGCCCAGTAAATTCGATAAGTGTCCATCCCTCGCTTCTTCACCACAGCGACGCAAGGTTAAAGAACCAGACTAACTGGATCCATGACGCCTCTAAGGGAACCGAATCCATTCATCTGAATGGTTCCATGCAAAGAGAAAAAAATCATGGAAAAAAAGGAACCATGATACCCACTTGACTTTCAACTTTATGCAGTGTCAAGGATGGTCGGAAATACATCACCACGGGTTTCACGGCGCTTGGTAAAAAAAAAAAACCCCCAACCTTGCAATTTTTTATCAATTGCTATGGCGATGAGACGAAATCTCTGATCACCCTCATACAAAGCTCCGCCTCTTACTTGAAAAACTCTCTCTTGCTCCTCTTTCGCACAGCGTCTCCGACGTTAAGCTGCCCTCAAACTATCCTTGGTCCTCGGTGTTACTCGTAATGCTCCAGCTTGAACGCCCCGATTGACGGCGATAGAGACACCTTCAGCAGTTCGTGTCAAAGTCTCCGCAAGAATATTTGTTATTTGTCAAATACCGTCGGCAACCGCCAGTGAAAGGAATTTTCAGAGGTTCCAGAATACCGATTGTTCCGGAAGAGATCTTGTGATAACCTCACGTTGCCTACTCAACTGTGTTTGGCCACAGGTCCAGTGGACCTTGATACCAGGCCATACATTAAACCTCTTACTGAGTCACTGCCACCGACAAAGCAATACGGTCTTGGTTGAGGTCAATCATCGCCCCTTTTCACGGGAAAAGTTGTTGCCTATGGACTATCTTATTGCATTATATTCATTCATGTTTCAGATCCATTCTTGCCCATGGCGGTTGTTGATTTCACCTTGTTGGGCATATTGTTTATTTGAGTGCAAGAGGATGCGACACATGATTGTTTTTACCCTGTCTCTATATGAGATTGATGCCAGGGTTGGCATTCCATCAGTAGTGTCTCAATGGACCCTTTCGAAGTCGTCAAGTTTTGCAAGGAAGCCATGTGTCTCTGCTGCTCCTCCAGGGTAGCGCCCACAGCAATCTTAGTTTCGCGGGGATGCGATTACGCGATATCATTGGCTGGTCTGACCATCTGGGCAGCCCGCTTACAATGCGTGTAACGTGGAATCTGATACACCTGCTACACCAGAAGAGCTTGGACTGCGGTCCAGTCTCACTCGAAATTTCCCCGCACCTCTTGTTGTCGATGCCCTCATGCTTTCGCGTCTGCCGTCAAGTGGCGGCGAGTGGACGTGTCTTCAAGAGGTCACGGTACCAAACCCTGCCAGGCTGAGCCAGGAACAAACCTTTGCCCAGCAAGCTACCAAGATTACTGTTCCAAGTTATCATGCCCCTCTGTGGCTCTGTCACATCACATGCTAAGCAAGGCATACATTGATAACTGTCTCCTCGTTATGTTGCCGCGGACGATGGATTTATATCGCGCGCGGATTGAGTTTTAAAACAACAATAAACAATAAACATGGGGATAAGCTTCAGAAACACCGAGTGGGATGTGTTCTGCATCCGAAAGAGGCATATGCGAGTGACCAGGTTGGCATTTTGCTGACCATGAACCACGATCTTGGATCTCAAACCAAAGGCCAAGAACCGACCATCCAGTGAGAAGTCTCAATGAGGTTTGGTTTCTCGCTGCCTGCGTTTTCATGACGACGAGTTGCAGTCAATGGTTCGTCTCCGAGGATCGACCCCTGGTCGCTTTAGGTTGATAGCCGCCGCTTCGCTTGCAAGTCTGCCCTACGTCCTGTTGCTGATTGATGTTCCCTTAACCCAAGTTAGGTTAATGGCTCAAGATGTCAGCTGGATGTGGGAGGCTGTGAGGAAGGCCATCACCGAGCGTCCTATCAGCGTTGAGAATCGACATGTCGGTTGTTGACATGAACATGCCCCCTCTGTAGATCCATGCAGTGCATGTGAATGGCTTGATACCGTTGGTCTGTCGTGATGGCTGATCTGTAATCTGATGGGAATCTTACGAACGGGGTGCAGATTCGACAACGCGACACTTTACGAGTGCGCCATTCACCGATTGTCAACATGATGTACATGATCGACCTAGAAGACGATCTTCAGCTGTCGGATGCTACCGGAATAAGACCGACCGAAAGGAACATTCTGGTTCGGGAAACTTGGCCAAAGTCAACAAGCCGTAAATAAGATCACCAATTGATTCGCGAGCGAACAATGGTGCTGGGACAATTGACAGGGCATGGCCTTGTTCGGAATCGATGGTGAGATTGGTTTGTGACCTCTGGTTGGTCAACGAGTTCTTCATGTTTGCTTTTTGAGACACCAAATCGGGAAACTAGCCAAGCTGGAATCTCCAACAACAGCCACCAAAGGCCTAACCGAGGCCGAAGACTGATGTCGATTTGTCTTACCAAATGATTATTCAGTCACCTCGGCGTCCCGCGGAGCTTGGTCAACTTGGATATGAGACTGAATATAGGCCGCATATGTGGCAAGATTAAGAGGTAAAACCAAGTTCGTGATCGCGGAAGAAAATCCCAATCGGGGCCATTTTTTCGCGATCTGGTTTACTCGAAGCCTTTGGCCGGGGCCCCTGTTCAGAGCTGGGGCTCGTGCGGCGGTCATACGGGTTCGTCGTCTTGGTTCATCCCCGCAACTTTTGCAGGCTGGGTTCTTGTGGGGATATTGATCGCGATTTGAGAGTCAAGTCGATCAAGTTCAAGGGTTTTTAAGAATCATGAAATGTTTCGGTTTACGGAGAGGTGGATGAGGTCTTCAAAGTCTCGAACCCTATACAGAGACAACCTTGACTGTACGGTCTCAGTAAGGTGAGAATCACTCCAAACGAGAGACGAGTGAGTTGAATAGTTACAAGTTGTGCTCTCCAGCCAGTTGTCAACGAGACCTCGACTTCGAGATGAGCTAGCAAGGCTCAGGGTAGGAGACTAATACCTCAATATCAGCTCATCTACGACTTGCCCATTGGTGTTTTGCAAGGCGCTTGCGTATCAGCAAACACCAGGACGTGCGTTGTCAACGCTAGTTTTCTTGATTGTTTCCAATTCCACGATACCCCATGTTATTTTATCAACTCTATTACCGTGCGATGTAACTTGCCTATATCAAAATAGCTCAACTCATGCCGAGTGGACCGAGGTGAAGCATTCAGATCGAACACAAGCTTCAATCAATACTCAAAGCAGAGGATTCTTCAACCTGTTGCTTGCTGTTTTTGGTTATGGAGGGTTCCATACCCGGATCAATGGCGCGCTCTAGCACGCGGAATGGCTTGAGGCTTTTGTTGTGGCTTGCGCTATCATTGACAACACAATGACGCTTTTTAACAAGAGGACATCTGCTATACCGACAAGAGGGGCATCGAGTTGTTTACCAAGTTCTGCAAGGCAGAGATCTGTTCGCATTCAGCGCCGAGCTATGCATGCATCGAATATGTACGCTGCGCCACGATGTGACTGTGCATGGGTCTCAACAGGTTATTCTGAAGCTATCTACAGAGACACGACTTTTGATTTGACACTCTTGACTCGAGTAAACAAACAAACCGTGTATCGGAAAGATCGATATCCGAATTGTTGAAATCTCCGATAGGATAACCAGGATCCCGATACTCTTCCCCTCCCTTTGCGACATACATGGCGCCATGTCGACTTGCGGGCTGACCTCTAAGACGCACCGTAGCCTGGTGTTGCTGACTTTTTTACTTGTTGGTTCTTTGTTTTGACGCTTCTCTTTACCCATGATCCTAGAAGTTAATTGCTGGACCCAATCGAGAATAGGGATATGGCCACGCTATCATGAGTTTGATACCATTCTTTCGTCTGCCAGAAGGGTTCTTTGTTGATATGCCACTTCTGGGTAAATGCAGCTGAAACAGTTCTGAACAATCCTTGTACATTAAGCAGCTAAAACTTATACTACTGTACAGCACAGGACCCGCATGCATACGATTCTCGTCTCAATCGGCGATTGTTTTCTGCCAGTTCTTACTGCCAAGAGATGTAGATATCGAAATCTTGGAAATCTGCTCATCTGCGGTGTTTTTCATCGATGCCTCAACTTACTCAACTGAAACTAGGCCGAGCAAACAATAGCGTAGGTAGGTCAATTTCGGTCCTTTGAGCGTCTGTCTCCCTGAATGTGATAGTGACACAGATGCTCCAGGGCCCAGTTTGCTTACTGTGTGTGTTGGTGGACAATCATTGCTATTCCCTGACCTGACCTTCATCTCGCTACAACCCTGGCTACAGCAACCCCAACATAACCCCTAATCTGATGCATTGTCAGCATATTCTGTAGGGCTGCGTGCGTTCGCTGCTGCGAAATCGGCCAGTCATTCGAGGGTCACTCTGCTACAGATGATTTGCATTTCGCATTGCAGGCTGCCGCCCGTTATGAGCGACCTGAGCGTACACATGTCGTCGAACTCGTTCACGAGCCGCTGTACGACGTCGTACACAGAATAAGATAGTACCAGGGCTTTTGTGTCTCGTACAACGGACGGGAAACATGCCCTGAACTCGCACAAGGGCCTGGCATCGGCGGTTCCAGGTGTTACGGCGCGGCTCCCTTGTATCGAGAGAGCCTAAGCAATTCGCTCCTCGAGGCCAGGGCAAGCGAGAAGGATGGACGGGTTCGACGCTCCGGCCCGCGGGTGATTCGAAAGAGATCCCGTTATTTGATTGTGATGGGACTGTACTGTATGCCACGGGCCGTTGCTTGTAAACCTGGCCCATCACTTATCTCTGATCAGGTGGTTGTTGTTACAGTTCAGCGCATCAGTCGTTCCATTCGGTCTTTGAATCAAAATTCCAAGCTCTAGGTTAGGCTGCATCTCTGTTGAAACGCCCAGAGAGCTCTACTGATCATCCCGACACTGCATGTACAAGGTAGGAAGGCCAAAAGGAAACAGCCAACAGGTTCGCAGGGACAGACAACCGGCCTTGCAGTTCGAGACTGGTCAGCAGGGTACAGCCTGGCCAATGCCATTGTGAGAAGCGCCCATGGTTAAAAGCTTGCATATTTTCTGCTCTTTCAGCTCGACCCAAGCCGCGGCCATGAGTTTCTCTTGTCAGGGCTTATGCGCTGCTCCCGATAGCTGGGTCGTCGCTGTGATTGGTGTCTTGGAGCGCTGAGAATAGTTGTCGTGGCCCCAATCGACACCGTCAAAGTTGACACTGATAACTTGACAGATGTGATAGACGCTGTCTACATGCTTTCATGTAGTTTTGGGTGCAACCATCATCCTTCTGTTCAGGGGTCTAAGCAAATTTTTGGACTTGGGGATGCGTGCTTTCAGATACTTGGATGTGTCCCTAGAAGCCTGACCCAAAAGCGGTAGTAGAAGTATTCAGACGTAGCTGAGAATATTGGAACATGAAACTGGAGGTGACTGAGTTGTACGTAGACTGAACTATCACATCATAGGACTACCCTGGCGCCACGAAGAAGTGAGTTGGTGAGTGTCTTTGCACTAAGCTTGCCAGACAAGAGGAACGACACAAGCCCAGGTACAGGTAACGTAGAGTTGGACTAATACGGATACAGACAATATCGAGTAGTGAAGCATATTACAGCGAGCGAGGGGCTGCGTATGTAATTGGTAGTCCATCATGGTGCATTTGAGGTTGGAGTTGAAGGATCGTACAGATGAGACGCAGAACACCTGAACGATGCGCTACAATTACTACAAAATAGTACTTGTGCTTCATAGCCCCTAATTTGAACTCGTTCTAAGTTTAATGAAGACAAAGAAGTGCAGTGCAAGTGTTACTGTGTACGCTGGTGAAGTATCTCTATCCCTGAGTCGAGCTTCGACAGCAATGGCAACTTCAGGTTAAGCCACCCTTACATGACCTACTTCGTAGACATCTCTTCATTAGGGTTGAGCACTCTTGAGTTATTATAGATATGAAAGGCAATTTTGACGGGACTAGAAACATAATAGGGCATCTCTTCCTTTGAAAGTTATCGAATAGGCGACCTCATTCTAGCCAAGCTTTGCGGGAAGAGGTTGAATGATAACAGGGGAAGTCGCAAACATTGGCAAGATCTAGTTCAAGATATGAAACAGGCCAAGGGAAATTTAGTCTTGTAAATGTCGGACTCTTTCATGCTAAACATAGTTCCAACGGCGGCATCCTACGATAACAATCTTCTCGTCCCAGCAAACGTGCAAAACTTCTCTTATGGAGTCTTTACGGTTCTCAAGATACTTATAGTCGTGGAAACTCTCTCGAATGAGGTAGCAGTCTTCATGTGAGAGCGCGGGTATATCTTGACAACATAAAAATGTACGCTATTGTGTTCATACTCGTCATCCCCTACTGACCTCACACTGCTATCGGGGCACAAGTTGATGACATGATTGAGGTGATCGATGATGCTAACTTGATACAAATCTAAGTAACAGGTCATTATCAACACTATTCAATTAGGCTTCCTAGGAAGAATGTTTTAGTAACGAGCGAGTATCAGGAAAGTTTGATCCTTGCAGATTCCTAAAGAACAAGGCTCGGCAATTCAGTAATAATGGACATGATTTGATGGGTCCTTCTTTATGAGAATCGCCTAAAGAGCATATAGTTACAGTGCTAAATATTCTCTAAAGTGTAGTGATGCTTTGTTGGAGGCTGAGGGTAGAGTTATGATTGTCGGTTGAAGACTTCCCGACAAGGAGGCTTTAGAGAGGCCAGTGACGAGACGATAGCCATATAGCCCTAGTATAACTATTCAAAACAATGATGAAGGCAAATAGAATTCGTCATAATTGGATCTCGACAACTTTTACAGCACCGGTAGCCAGTCATGAGGGAGGAAGTCTGTTCGCATAACAGACATACTGGAGACGCGCGAATGTGCAAGACACATGAATCACTGACTGAGCCGCTTTGGCTGTACGGAAGATTTGGAGTGTTCCTCTGAAGTTCGAACCAAACTGGCAAGGGCAGTGGAACGAATGGACTTATATCGACTCAACTCATACTTGACTGTGATCGCCACGACCCCTTTTCGTTTTGACTGATAGCGGCGCAATAGAAGATGAATATGAGTGCTAGTGAACTCGAATCTGAGAACTATCAGGTCTTGAGGACAATAGATTTGCAAGATATCTCAATTAATTCCTGAGTCTTCTGTTCAGGGTGAAGACTAATCTGCGACTCTTAATGCACTGCAGCCTCATCATAACCCAATGGGTGATCATGAGATTTGACTACTTAAACTATAGTATATGAGAGCGCTTAGACAGCAGTTCAATACGAATTAGGTGTCTTGGGGGTCACTTCGTCTTCATTTGCTCTTGAAAGGATACATGCTGTACTTTACGGTATTCCAAATGCTTAGAAATTTCTTAAAAGGCATAATCTTAGTTAAAAAGTACTCGAGAAATGCCTGATTGAAGCAAGGTCAAATAGAAGCGTTTAAACATTCACGGCCTGAGCAAGACTGTAAAAAAGGGGCTGTGGTAGTACGAATACGTTTTACCAAGATAGCAGCCATCTAATTCCATAAGTGTGCCATTGGTCCTGATATTTATCTTCCAAATATAACTCTGGCTCCTTACTGAAACAATCTTGCTATAGAGAGCAGTTATCCTTACGATGCTGGATCATTTGACATGTTGCCGACTTTTTGCTACTCATTTTAAGTCAAAGGTCTTACGCAAGTTTTTAGTACTAGCGATACCAATAGATCATCCATTGAGGATCCCAGAGAAGGCAAAAAACTTATGATCTTTATCTCAAATAATGAAGAGACTTTGGGGAGTTTAGCATAACTTAGTAGGCCTTTAGACCACGCGGATAGGTAGTTATTTTTGGCACCTTGAGTTCAAGGTCAGAAGTTTTCCTCCTCCCTGAGGTATCTTTAATAGACCTCTACGATATCATACAGTTGATCGAGGGAGTTGATTATACTAATACTTGGGCGGCTCCCATTACAGGAAGTTTTGTTTCAACAATAATACAGCCCGCTAAGGGCATGGATAGTTATCCTTGACTCTGGGGAATCCTTGCTTAGCTCATTGAAACGCATGACATCGCGAACCGTGCTATAGAACACTGATGCTACGTTCCACAGGCAGTTCGAATATTCAGAGGGTTCGGTCATGCCATGAAGAGACACTGCATTTCCGAGGACACTGATAATAGATAGTAATCGGAAGTTACTTGTCATTTCAAGTGGGTACAATAGTTGTACGATGACCTGGCAACGCTGTTGTCTGAAGGTCTATGGATGAACATGTGGAGTATGGATGATCTTGAGTAACTGTTTATGGCTGGTATATAGAATGAAACTAGAGCCAGCTGACTCAATGTTTCATTTCTACGTGAACACGAACTGACTCCAACTCGGACATTTATCAGAGACATGATTTAATAAAAATTCCCAGTAAAATAAGAGCAGTCTCAGAAACAATAGAATTGAATGCCCCGCTACTATCCACGCTTAAACCTGCCACATGTTCATCGTGTCTCAATGAGTCCCCGGAAAGACTGGGGCATCGTGAATCTGAAGACCCAAGAATGGGGCTGGCAACAGCTGGCAGAAATGTAACGATATAAGTGTTGTTTCTCTCAGTAGTTGCCATTTCGATGGCCTTATTTTATTCCATAAGCTCGAGAACCGGACTTTGAGAGATGATGAATGTATTCTATTGCACTGTACACTTCAAGGACGACCCCTGCAGTTTGCGTCAGTAAATGCCAACATTAGTGGCCTAACCTGGGCTCTCTCCAACTCCCAACAATGGATCAACCCACATCGGGATCGTGCGAGGGGCCTTTGTCTGAGCCATCCGCTTTCTTGTGTATCGTGATTGGAGAATCACTCACTGCCATCAGTCCGAGGCGGTGACTTCTCTACTGTTTTGATCTATAGTCTACTCGCGCTATTCTGCCCTCACTCAATGGAGAGTTAGTCGTCTGCCTCTCAACACCCTCAATCAGACATCATGACCCACGACAGAGACACCCGTCGCGAAAGTCTTCGAGTGCCCCGCGCTCGTCCTCGTCGTGGCGTCTCCAGAAACTCTTCAGTACGCTCTTCAGCCAACTTAGACGAGCACCGCCTGTCTTCAGGCGCCCCAGCTACTGCGCAAGCTCTTCGAGCTGCTCCATCTCGCTTTTCCCTCAACGAACAGTTCGCTGCTACAAAGCAGGAGTTCGAATTCTGGGACGATGATGCTAGTTCGATCTACGAACGTGGAACGAGTGTTTCCGAGACGGGAGATCCAGACCTCGATGAGAAGGCTCCTTTGAGCTCAACTGAAGGTGGCTACGGACCTGTACCTCATACACAAGATCTAGCACCTGGAGCAGAGGATCTGGACACCAATTTTTATGATCTTCTTTGTCTCCCACGAGACACTTCGGAGTTGTCGCAACAGCAGATCCGGAGCGCATACTACCGTCTGTTTATCCTCTTTTACCCGGACAGCTATCCTGAGCATTTGCGCCCCATAGCTCACCAGCAATTCCTCCGTGTTCAGGATGCTTTCGAAACACTCATTGATCCTGCGCGACGAGCTCAGTATGACCTCGACCAGTTCTTGGAAGCCGAAGAGACAGGCGCATCACAATCAGAATACGAGGTTGCCTTTAAAGAGGCTGTTTGGGACCGGTTACAGAACGGCATACAGACAAGCTCTGATCTGGGAATTCGACTTGATGCCTCTGGGTCGGGAAATGGCGCCTCAGGACTGCAAATCCTTGACTTTTCCCTCAGTCATTCTGTCACAGTCGACCTACCAGCGCTTCAGAAGCTCCTTCAACCGCAAGTAACACGACTAGCAAGTCTTGCTTCAAAGGAAGAGAAGGAGACAATCGAGAGTCCACCACAGCCTCGAATTCAAGTCGCAACACCCACTGTGACTGTAACTGGATCTACTTACGGCATCACACGGGATCTGTCCTTGGTACCAACATCACTATTGTACGATCGATATCAACCTCTGTTGCCTCTGCCAATCACCAGACAGAGACTCATGCAACTCGTTGAGAACAAGTTCGCTCCATTGGCCACTCTGCGATATCGACAAGAGTTTCTGAACCACTCGCCTTCACCGTCCCCTGATAAGCTTAGGTGGATCAAGACAGCTGTTGAGCTCGAGTCAGATGTTCTGCCAGAGTTCTCCGTCACCAGCCGTCTTTATCATCACTTTCTCCTCCCCAAATTCTCAGAACCAACCATAGCCGAGGCTAGCATACAATCGTCGCGTGATTCCTCGTCGATTCAACCGCGTGTTGCTCTAGGTCTCTACCAGAATCTGCGACATGGAACAGGATTCCTGCGAGCAGACAGTGGCGACTGGAGCTTTGGATCCAATCAATACTCTCATTTTTTCTCTGAACACTCAAGAATCAGTCCAGACTTCTTTAACGCCGAAGCCCCTGGAGCGACCCCGAACTTTGAACTAGGCTTCCGAACAGGACCATCAGACCGATTACCTGTACCAGGCTCGTCAGACTCTCCTGGCGATGAGGGTGGTATTAGGGGTCTCGACTACGAGATTAATTCTTGCAAGCATGGAAGCTGGGCTGTCTCTGCATCCGCTACACCAACTTCATTGGCCGGCGCTGTCCGATACAGCAAGGACCTGACTCTACCTTTCCAAACTCCTCCGACATCCCTGGATCCTGGTCTACCCTCAGCAGCCCGTGTAGAGGCCGAGCTCTGTTCCAACACATTCCAGGACCAGTATTTTGCCCTCCGCAATCTGTGGTCTGTTGGTCGTTTCGCGCGTGTTGGTCTTGAAGTCGGCATAAGTCTGCACAACCTTCACCTCTCCGTCTACTGGTCCCGCCTTGGTCAGCGTCTCAGTGTCCCTCTGCTCATAGCACCACGATCGCTTCTTGGATCTAGTGTTCTTTTCTGGGCTGGCGCCCTCCCCTTCGCTGGACTTGCAGCAGTGCAGCTTGGTCTTAACTATCGTCGCCGTCAACGAGTTTCACGATCTCACCGCCGCGTTCGCTCAGATGTCTCCTCAACTGGGACACCAGTCGCCATTGCTCGGCATAGATATGAGGCAGACAACATCACAACACTCCTCGCACATCCAGTAGAGGGTCGCCAGAAGCGTCAGATGGCACTTGGTGGTCTCGTTATCCTCAATGCTAAATACGGCATCCCTGATGAATACGGCATCCTCGCAACAAGCGATCAAGTTGCTGATGTCACAATCGCCGTTGCCGCCCTTATCAACGAATCGTCGTATTCCAGCGGCCCAGCCCTAGTGATTCCCCGTGGCGTGCGCAAGAGTCGCCTACCAGGATTCTGGGACCCAGCTCCGGGCTTGGACAAGATTCTTCGCGTGGAGTATCTGTTCAAGGGAGACGCAGGCGTCGTCGAAGTCGGTAGCCGTGATGAACTCATCCTTCCGCCGCAAGCGTAGGTGTTGATTGACGCCCCTTATGAATGAGAAGATTGGAGTCATGCATTAAGTATAATCAAATGTAAAGAGAGATCGGGACGAGATGCACATCAAAGGAAAATGGCGTTGAATGGCGGTTTTGTATCACATCGAGGATATTTTCAAAATAAATAAATAAACAGACGTGCATTGCTAGTGATTACTATTTGTGCCTCTGGGGACGATATCATATTACGCAGGAAAAGCTCGACTAGACGTCCTTACTCAAGAAATAGCACAACAGCGCAAGCTACAAATGTTCAATGACTGCGAGAGTAGATGCTGTAAGACAAAGAAAATTTCAATACGCGTGATACCTACCGCTATCTATCGTACAAGACAAAAAAAGGTACCATCTACCTCTCGAATACCACATATTCTCGTGCCAAATGTTGCCCAACAATACGACTACCCCATATGAGAGGCTATCTTTCCGCACGATAGAACGCCGAACGCTTTTTAGTTTAAAGACCAAGGAGAAATTATCCGCTGTATGTAGTAAAGAGAGAAATAGGTGCGGGTGCCAAGGGCCAAAACACCATAAAAGCAAAGCCCGGAACAAAACCCGAGGTGCTAGGTAGTGGATTAGTGCTGGTGGTTGTTGCTGTGATCGTGACCGTGGTCATGATCGTGCGCATGAGGGCTAGTGGCGCTGTGTGACGATTCACTACATCGTCTTGTTGACGAAGCCTTGGATGACGAGTCGGCAGGGCAGCAACCCTGAGCCTGGCAGTCATCGATACACTCAAGGAGGCAACTATCACCCTTGTTGAGATCAGCAGGACCGTCTAGGGACAGAGCAGCAGCTTCCGCATCGTGTGAGTGCTTCTGATCGAAGCAGAACTCGGGCTGTATCGTAGCGCTGTGAATGCCGAACCCGTGGAGACACTTCCGAGCTCGGCGGGCCAGCTCCATGTACTTCTCGCCACTGTGAGAATCAATGGGGAAAGACACTTGGAGGTGCATGCTAGCGACAAGTTTGGTGTCTGAGAGTTGCCAGACGTGAATATGGTGGCAAGTAATAACGCCGGGAAGAGCTTCGATGTCTTGTCTAATCTCAGGGACGCTGATGTGCTCAGGAGTGGCTTGTAGAAGAACACGGGCAGTGCCTCGGGTGAGAGGAATGCAGGTCTTGAGGATAATAGCAGTGATGAACAGGGAGACGGCGGGATCAGCGTAGACTTTGCCAGGCCAGTCCGTCAGCCAGATAATGAGAGCCGTGACCATGACACCTATGTTGCCAAGCATGTCTCCAATGACGTGGAGAATCATAGCATTCATACCCATATCAGCATGGTTATGGCCGTGGCTGTCCTTCTTGCCAGCTTTCTTGGGAAGAGTGTGGTGGTGGCCGTGGTGAACGCTCGAGTCTCGTCTAGGTCGTCGAGAGTGGGAATGAGAGTGAGAGCCTTTTCTATTATGACCAAGCGAAGAACCCTTCTTAGCAACGTCTTTGAGAAGAGGTGACTCCTCATGCGCCTCGTCCTCTTCCATTATCAAAGAGTTCTCGGCGTCGGTCTCGCTCTCGCTAGTGCTTTCGTTGGTCTCGCCACGCGTAGCTTCGATGATGCTTTGTCGGAAACTTGCTGGGTGAATGCTCAAGTCATCGAGACTAGCGAAACGAGCATGTCCACTCCTACCGGATCGATGATAGTCGCGGCCTCGTGTGGATGCATCTCGGCTGTGTCGCTGTTCGCTGGATTTGCCGTTGGACTTCTTAGAAGCTGTTGCACGGCGAAACACAGCCTCGGGTAGAACCTCAGCAGCACGGCCACTTTCGTCTGCAAGAGTGCCCTGGGTTTGGTAACCGGCGTTGCCCTCCTCCTCGTCGTGGGCGTGGGCGTGAGAATGTCCGTGATCATGATCGTGGTCGTGCTCGCCGGGTCCATGAGAGTGGCCATGGCCGCCGAGGACAAAGAAACCGACAAAGTTGGAGAACAGGCCGGCGGAACCAACAATGAGCATGAGCTTGGGGTTATTGATCTCGGGGGGTTCGATGAATCGGGTCAATGCTTCGAGGACGATGGAAACACAGAGGGCGATAAGGAAAACGGCGTTGAAAAAGGCACCAAGAATCTCTGCGCGAACCCACTAGAAGACAGTTAGACATGCGCATCAGCATTAAAGGGGGCGCGATGGTTTGGAAGACGTACGCCAAAGGTGAATTCGTCAGTGGAAGTCTTTTGTGCGGCTGAGACAGCCCAGAGGCCGATAACCAACGAGATGATATCATTGAGCTGCGCAGAGTTAGCTGATGTTCTATCCATCGATTCGCATGCAGCGCGAAACAGATGCGATTGACTGACCATGTGAAAAGCATCGGCCATGAGGGCCAGCGAGTGGGCAAGGAAGCCAGAGACAATCTCGACGAGGAAAAACAATGTGTCAATGGCTATCATCACCTTGATCCTGGTACTCTTGGACCAAGCCATCTTTTGAAGAACACCCATGGCGAAGAAATGACACGAGCACCAAAGAGGGTGCTCACTCTTGTCGTGGGAAAAGGATAATGAAAGTCAAGTTTTGTTGGTGTTGAAGATGGAGAAAAAGAGCCCGGGAGCTGGAGGGAGAACCTAGTGAAATGGCCGCGGGCTGCAGGAGATTTCAGCGACTTTTAGGTTAGTTAGTTACGATGACGGAATGCGACAGTGGAGGCTGCTGATCCCTAGACCAGGGATGAGATAGGAGCTGCAGACTGAGACAAGCAAGGGCTGGTTACACAGATGTGAGAGATGTTTCTCAGGTATGTAAATCCCCGTGTCATACAGTACAACAGATTGTCACAGGAAAGGAAACATTGGGCTCGAAGCAACGAGACGAAGAAAGCTCAGGTCAAAGAGCTGATTAATTTTATTGCATAGTTTGTCATTTATTAGTGGCAATTCAATGGTTAAAACGGCACGGCATTCGACGATCGAGACTACCACGGTGACAGAGCTTTTTCGGTTGCGGGCGATACATTACCAGCCTAGATCAGATTGGTTCTCTTTTCTTTTAGTTAGCAGCGTAACTAGCGTAGACAGTTTCTACTAAGAAACATTAGAGAGGTGAGACAGGGCTGGCGCTATATATCGTTAGTTAACGGCATGTCTTAGCTCACTGTCGACGCCGGCGCCCGCTATTTAAAGGCAGCCAGCCCGTGAATCAGCACTCTCCAGGGTCCCTAGCACCCAGTTCAGCGAGTTATGATAAACGTTACCACGTATAAGCTTAGTCCGACTACCTACGAGTCAAAGTTTGGTTACGACGGACTTCCAGTCAAAGATACTCGGTTCGGGATATACTCCAATAAAGTTCAGTAGGAAGAGTCCGGTCAGCCGGTTCGGCAACAGACCCGTTCGCCACTGGGGCTGACTCCGACTTCGGTAAATGGGTAGTTCCATCCAATCCACTTCACTTAGACAAATGCATCCATTGATATGGAGAAACACTTGCAAACTAGAAACATGGGAAGTTTCTGTGAACCTTTTCTTAGCAGTCGACTATTTTGAGACCTCCGACAGATGTTTGATGTTGCCGCAATTAGATTGTACAATCCGACGCTATAGTACCAACCTAAGGTGCTACTCTCCACTCATAACAAAGTATCTTATGTATTCAACAAGCCACCCTGTTTTCCCACCTCTCGCAAGGAAAACAGCATCAGCTCAAGTTCCCCATCTGAGCTTTCTCGTTAGATGAGCATCCATTGAATCGTGGGGGCTGCGGGTTTCGACCGTCTTTACCGCAGCTCAATTATTTAAACCCCAGTTGATATTGCAAAAATCCCCGGAACGGTTACAGCTCTTCCGAGAGACAATTGTCGAACCACATATCATATTGTGGCTACACGGTAACTGGTTCGCTCGGCTGTTTTGCGCATCTTTACCGTTCTGTGTGGCTCCTTGCATTAGATACCGCTGTCTCTGACCCAGCCATGCAGCCAGCCTCAGTCTTTCAGCTTTGTCCGGCACATGCCAACTATTGAAAGGGGCACGCCTAGCATGGCTGCGCCCAAAGCCACAGCGCAGTGAATACGAGCCGTGCTGCAAGGCGTACAGTCCGGACTGATAGTATGTTTTTCTATCAGGATCTCATGATAAGAAATTCTTATTTCGGTTGGTAAATCAGTTTTACGCGAGATAAGCTGTTTTCATTTGGCTGGTTCATTTTGTTTGTGATCACCCATAGGACTGGCGCTTCAATCCTGTGCTTTGTCCAACATGACACCAAAATTGATGACGATATACCAAATTAGTCACAACGCAAGATTGGAACTTATGAGGGCCACATACTCATGTATCTAGATATATACAGTCAAATAGCCTAGAGAATCGCATGCTCTGTATTTCATCTGCTACAAGCAATTTTGCATTGTAAGATAGGAACTGTAGGGTATGGTAGTTGCAGCCTGTTCATGATTTCACACTCGGTGGAGCTGACGACGTTTAGCGCCTCCAACGGCCCGCACCCGCACCCGTACCCGTCTTTAACAAGCGCCGGGCGCCTCATGATGCATACAGAATTGAATGCATTGTTATTCTCCTGGTTCCATTGTGAATACAACTGACTGACTGTCCGTCTCTGGGCACATAGAAGCAAAATACTGGTGGTACTGGGTATAGTTAGTATTTTGGGAGGCCTAACATGGTACGTCGCCTGATCATGATGTGAAACATTACCAAGGCACCCATCCATAATTCAACAAGTGCTGCGGTTTGCCGCCCATCTTTCTATGGTCACTGCTATACGCGCCTTTCAACCCCGGATAGCGACATGGATAGACCCAAGCAGATAGACTGGTTGGTCACCCATGTCCCACAGAGCCAACAATCTTGTTGGTTGCGATTCGTGATAGAGGCACTGCTCTTGTCTGTTGGGTTCTTAACAACTCATCCCCACCTTAGAAGCTGGTTGTTTTTCCATATTCTCAATATAACTGTATATTACTATTTATCCTTTATTTTGGTTGTAGGCTTATGCCATAAGCATTCATCTTCTGATTCACAACGGAGATGGAGGCCGCCGCAAGCATTATTGCATTTGTCCAAATCTCGACAGAAATTGGGAAATGTATCATCAAGACGAAGAAGTTGTGGGACCAAGCCCAAGATCTACCTCTGGAAACACAGCTTCTTTTAACACGTCTACAAGGCTATAAATCTATATTTGAAGCTCTAGATCAGCAATATCCGAACCAGCAATCTTTCAACATGCTGCCTACATTTTCGCTGGTGCAAGATAACTTGCGAGCTTCAATGGAGGCGTTAGAGTTGCTTAGACAAAACGCAGATTATGTATCCTCGAAACTCGAAGTCAAGACTGGGCTGAAGCGGAAGCTTGCCGCTGTGAAGATAGCCATTGGAAAGGAAAGCTCAGATCGACTCATCACCAGACTGAATGAGTCAGTAACATTACTGAGCTTGGCGCTACAGACTTGGAGTATGTAAGTATTGACATGACGGGCCTGGGTCACATTTCCACTTGCTCAGTAGGAACTAATGTATATTCGCTAAGGACCATCACGATAATGACGCCCGATCTAATTGCGAATCAACTCACTAAAGCTCTCAAGAACCATTGTGAAAGTTCTCAATCTGAAAAGAAACCCCTAATCGAAGCCCAAACGGAAAGTAAATCTCTTTACGATGTCACAGCGATTGACGAAGGTCAACTACCACGTAAGCCGAAAGACGATGTAAAGCTCAACAAGAAATATACCGCTTCGAGATTTGGCCGTTTCGTCATGGCATATGCCACGACCACTGGTGCGTGGCAGGCGTACCTTCAACTGCCAAGTTGGCTTTCATCGTCCGTATATGAACTACAATCGACTCCAACTGGCTACGGCTGGACATACAACTATCGGGTGTACAACCTCGTTTCATCCAAATCTGATATTATCCGGAAGATAAAACAAGGAGATAGGGATGGCATTCTTGAACTATTCGGAGCCCGGAAAGCATCTCCATTCGACAAAGATGAATATGGACAATCTCTTCTCTATGTATGACACCAACCTTTGACAGCGCTGGGATTGATTACTCATTTGGCTCATAGCACGCTGCGAAGAGCAAAAGCTTAGAAATTTGTCAGTTGCTGCTTAGCTTGGGGCTTCGAGAAGCCTTGGTTGAGAAACCTGGCCCATATGGAGAGTGAGTCTCAACGTAATTGTCGAAAGATGAGTCCTGACAAGCCCTCAGGAGTCCATTGGCACCGCCAGTGCTCGTTCCCAGTCGAAGCCACCCGGAGAAAACATGGCTTAAGATTGCAGGATTATTCCAGTCATACATGGATGAGCCAGAGACCAGTATGGTTCTGCGTATGTTCGAGTATCACAAAACTTGCGATTATGGTGACGAGTACGTTAGAATCTTTCGACAAAGATTCTTGCCTAACTACTACCATGGCCCACTAATCCATCGCTTGGAAGCCTTTCGGCTCGGTTCTTTTCATTGCCAAGATTTTACAACACTCAAAGTGCTTCTGGCCGAAGACCGGAAGTTTACCAGCTTCGACGTTAGTGAGTCAAGCCGCACTGGCTTTTCACTCGTGCACTCCATAGTTGTGGCATTCAGCATTCGGTTCGCGGATGAAGTCCTTCCGTTTAAGAGAGACTGGATTATGTGGTATCTATCGCCCTTCGGAGATCATTGGAGTCACATGGTACAAGGGGTAGCCTCAGTTGCTACCGCGAATGATTTGCACACAGTTGAGAAAATCCAACCTTGGGACGTATACCAAGTTCCATGTTGGAGAGGTACACCCTTGATTTCAGTGATCGGCGGAGCCCTTTGCTATCTGTCACCGGATATCAGTTTCGTTCACTGGGACAATGTCTTCCAGGAATGCATCCAGAAGTGGGCTTCACTCTTACAACTAAGCGGAGTTGACCTGATGCTCTATGGAGAACAAGAAGCTGCAAACCTCAACAAATATTTCCGCTCATCTTTCGATATGAGTGCAATAGAGGCGTCGAGAAACGAGATTCGAAATGTTATGCCCCGAGGGAGTGCCAGAATGACATTTCGACGAGCAGAGCGTGCTGATCGAGAGAGGTGGAATGAAAACCACTGGGTACCTATTCGACTTTTGAAACTCAAGTTTGGCCAAACGCCTGGGGAATGGAAAATAAGTTGGGCGCCGGAATTTGAATGCATGGCAAATGAGTTTTGGCAGATGGTAGACAAGGGCGAAACCACAATGCCTGGGTCATGGGTTGATGGATAACAAATGCAGTTGGCAGGCCATGATCAACAGCGAAAGCAAACAGCATCATTTGTGTGACATATCTCTCACCTCCATCGAGAATTGCTATTGCTATTTGAATAGTCGTTATCCATAGTCTGGTTCAAGGACAAGTATCTAACGTTATATTTGTTAAACAGATAATACGGAGTAGATCCGGTAACGGTATCTTCATCGGCAGCAAGCCGTGGCCCGTGCCGCTAATAAACAGTCTACTGACAATTCCGCATCTTGCCATCCAACCATTTGTGACATTTTAAGTGTATCTGGTTATCATGTCACATCAAACTCAGCCTATCTACATCTCCATACTAACCTTACCTGTTAACCTTTGGTACACACACATGTGCTGTACCCCGCCGTGTAAGGCGGGGCAACTAAGACGAGAGGTCATGACATACATCCGTTCCTACCCAACCTTGATCCCATCCATCTCAATCTTACTCTACATAAACCTTTAGCAGATCGTCCCTGTGACATTTAATTTTCGGTATGAATCCGTTTGAAACCACCATGACGACCACTCGGCCAGCATCAAAGGCCGGCTCATGGTACGAGGAGGATCAAAAGCTGTTGCGTCGTGAGCTCCAGAACTATCTAGCGGCAGTTCCGGAGAGCTTTGATGGAGTTGCACTGCCCATTCCCGGAGCCCGTGTTATCGTCGCCCCGTGAGTTTACCTGGAAAGTACATCAGTATAATTTTGAGCTGACGACAATGTGCTGCAGCCATGCGGGATATAAATTCTCTGGGCCGTGTGCAGCTTGGGCTTATAAGACTCTCGACTTGAGCCGTGCCAAACGTGTCATTGTCCTTGGCCCATCTCACACTTACTACCTCGAGGGATGTGCAGCAACCACTTTTGAGAAATATGCGACACCCTTTGGTGATCTGGAGATAGACACAGAACTGGCCACAGAGCTCGAGGATGCAGTAGCAATGGAGCCTATGTCCAGAAGGGGGGAGGTTAACGAACACTCTCTTGAGATGCATATGCCGTACCTTTACCTCCGCTGCCAGGAAACATTTGACTCGCCTGATAAGTTCCCCAAGATTGTGCCCGTGCTCGTGGGAAGCAATAACAGGCAAGAGGAGAAGGTCATAGGGCGAGCCCTATTGCCCTACCTCAGAGATCCTGAGAACGCCTTCATCATCAGCTCCGATTTCTGTCACTGGGGCGATAATTTCAGCTACCTACCTTACTCATCGACGAAGAGCCCTTTTGATCTGACACAGTTGCGAAAAGAAAGCCCCAAACCCAACGGTCCACCTATCCATGAGACGATTAGAGTCATCGACGAAGCGGCCATGGACGCCGTCAAGAGTGGCAGCCATGATGCATTCCTTGACAGTCTTAAGCAAACACGAAATACTGTCTGTGGACGCCATCCCATTGGCGTCGCGATGGCAGCTCTGGAGTTCATCCGACAAGAGGATGCGTTTCAAGATAAGGGGCGATTTAGTATTATTAAATATGATCGCAGTAACTTGGTCGAATACCCGAATGACATGAGTGTCAGTTACGTGTCTGGGTATGCTATTCTCTGAGCATGGGCATCGAATATGTGGGCGTTCTGTTATAGTGGGAATACAGTATTCGATTGAGTCAGAGTCGTAGTGTTCGTGGACTTCTTGAACGATGATGGAGTTGTATTGGTTTGGTATGGGACGATGATAGAAGTAAGAAAGAGAGTCAATCCCTTCAGGTATCTCAATAGCACCATACCAAGTTGTTAGTGACAGTCAATTCCGCATCTATTACGAGAAATACAAATCACGGTTTGTCAAATCAGAGTTCTCGGAATAAACCTAGGGTAGAGTCCGTCGGAAACGGAATTGGGAAGTCTGTTGGGTTGTGCTGCGCAACAAGTTTTTGCGGCTGGAAGGGGGTCAACTGTCCCGTCTTTTGAACGGCAGAGTAAGACGAAGCATCCATTTGTTGGTGGAGCTGGCCAAGGGCATAAGCTACGGGAAATTACGAGGTGCATATAGATATCCTGGCTTCTCTGACAAAAGGGTTGCCTCTCACTGTAAGGCTGATATAAACGTTTCCGTGCTCGACTCTATACCAGACATAGGACAAGATGAGCGATGGTTTCTCGATCCGAAAATACCACGAATAACGAATAGCCTCCTTGGCAATGCCGCTCCAGACCCACGCGGCGAAGCTTAAGTTCATTGTTCGAGACCCCCTGGTCAAGGTCAATCTCGAAAGGGTGGGCGCCATTTTGCAGAGCTGAAGGACTAGCGCAGGATCGCAGGGCTCACTCAGGTGGAGGTTGTCAGCCTGCAGATGAACGGATTCGATTGCTTCAATTAGCGGATGATGCCAGAGACTTTGTTTATGGATCAGAGTTTGAAGCTTTTGGTGATGATGTCGGATAGTGCCGGTGATTGCGATGATAGTCGGAGGCAAAGAGAGATTGGACATAAAACACCAGACTTGTTACAGAATTCTCAGTCAGACTCTGAAGAAACCAGGATTAATGGAAAGCAGGCGCCCAAGGGTGAAACAGTGGAGAATGCGTCACCAATGAACGATGCTATCGAGGGACAGTGGTTATTTCGGGATTGCCCCTTGTTCAGGGGTGCTGGACAAAATAAGATAGCGAGATCGATGGTGTTATTTGGTGGTAGCGTGTAGGCTTGAATCTGTCTTCTGTTCTCCCTCTAAGCCAAAATCATGTTAAGATCATTTATAGCTAGGTTGCTGCAGGTCTCTGGTGCCATTCTATGATAATCCAATTGAATCAGTGTCGCATGATTGACCAGACTCTCAAAGTGTTTCTGGCTGTTGCAGCTCTGGTTTTGAGCACCTTTATCATCGCATCGCGTACGATCAAAGGGGCTGTTTTGAAGCTGATCATGACGATGCGAACCTTGGCACTCGGCCAAAACAACCAGAGAAACAGAGTCTCTTACGTAGCCGTCGACACTAGAGGTCGCAACTGGAATCAGATTTGCTTCTCTTATCCCGACTATTGGACCCTGCATCGCCGTCCAAGAGAGCAAAGGGGCTTGCACATACGGAGTAAGCAAGGTGCTTGTACGGAACAGGGCTAAGCTAAGGTAATCTCTAGCCCACTAAAGGCAGTGAGCGGCGTCCAAGCGCCAGTGCCTTAGCCTCCACTCTCACCCCCAGGCCCGCTAACATTTCAGTGGCTAAGTGCTACTCTGCCACTGCCACTGCCGCTGCTACTCAACACCTCCACTAATCTCGTCTCGCACTTGGATGGGCTCGCACTCCCATTCCTGGCCGGGGCCTTCCTTGCCATCTCCCGTCACGTCTCATTTGCACCTGGCCTTGATCCTATTTTTCTGACCTTAACTCTACACCCTCCCTCGTCTTACTCAACTCTCTTTTTACTTGCCGTCTTTTCCCTTTTTACCTTTTTCTATCTCGTCAGTAGTTTACGCAAGTCCCGATCATTCTTCTCTTTGATCGTATATATACACGAGTCTTACTCCTTTCTCTTTGCTGCGCGACGAGAAACACTCACTCTAAACCCCTTCCTTGGCAACTCGACTCGATACGAAAAGCGACGAGAAAAAAACAATCAATCAAAGACAATCCTCGAAAAACGACTAACCTCCGGTGAAAGGAGGTAAAATCTGTCGAAAACCAAACAGACAATACAGCAGAGCTCCAGCTCAGTCACTACAATGAGTGTTAGTTTGCGCCTCCTATCCAACCCTCTCCTGTCGATCCCGCTTCAATTTTGAGTGTGTCCCATGCGATGCCAATTGAGCTTGTAGCCTATCGCGACCTGCTGTTTTCTGTTCCAATTGCTCTAGCCTTTTTCATGAATAATCTGCTGACTTTTGTTATAGTACGGGTATGTTTTGCCTGAGTTATTGCATGTATCTTACTCGGTTTGCTTACTGACTCTGACAACAGATACGGTGGCCAAAATCCATACGATTCCCCTGACCAGGGCTATGGTGGTAACAATGGCTACGGCAATGGCGGTGGCTACAACAGCCCACCCGCTCAGGGTTATGGAGGTGAGAATTTTGGACTCAAAGGATTGTCCTCTTCCACCACATGCTGACATGGCTTGAGGGATAGGTAGCGTCGAGATGGCTCCCCTTGCCCACAACGCCGGCGGCTTTGGCCAAGGCGACCCCAACGCCATTCTCAATGAGTGCCGCGACATCGACCGTGGAATCGACACTGTCGAACAGAACTTGGAACAGCTCCGTATGATCCAACAGCGAACTCTCGACGACGCCGATAGCTCAGGTTCCAGTGCCGCCAGCCGCCAGCTCGACTCACTTTCCGCTGATACCATGTCTCTCTACCGTGAGCTCACCGAGCGAGTCCGCACCGTCAAGTCTAACCCTGAGGCGAAATCGCCAAAGAACAACCCTCACGTCACCCGCATTGACCGCCGTCTCAAGGCTGCCATCACCCAATACCAGCAGGTCGAGTCGCAGTTCCGAAAACGCACACAGGATCAGATGGCCCGCCAGTACCGCATTGTGCGCCCAGATGCCTCGGAGCAAGAGATTCAGGCTGCTGTCGAGGACACTACTGGAGGTCAGGTCTTTAGCCAGGCCATGATGCAGAGCGATCGCCAGGGTCGTGCCCGTGCTGCCCTGAGCGCTGTTCAGGACCGTCACCAGGCTCTCATCAAGATCGAGCAGCAAATGGTTGAGCTGGCTCAATTGTTCCAGGATATGGACACCCTCGTCGTTCAGCAAGAAGCTGCCGTCACCCAAATTGAACAGAAGGGCGAGGAAGTCGTTGAGAATCTCGATAAGGGTAATGAGGAGATTGGTGTGGCCGTCAACACTGCCCGCAAGACACGCAAGAAGAAGTGGATCTGCTTGGGTATCTGTGGTATGTATTTGCGACCCCAACTTGATGTGAGGCATCTCACTAACTTGTCCAGTTGCTATCATTGTTGTTATTGTCATTATTGTTCTCATCTACATATTCGTCATCAAGGGACAGAACAACAACAACAAGAAGCGAAGTATCGAGGCAGCCATTGGCAGCTTGCCCGTTATGCACACAGCTGTCCTACCTGCTCGCTTAGCCCGTCGTGTTGCTGCCGACAACACAGCATCCTCTCTGCTCAACAGTGTTGGCGGAGGGCGGTTCCATCTACCTCAGCTATTGCGGAACTAGGTAGGAGTCGAACGATGAGAGAATGGCTCGGAGGCGATTGTCTTCGAATGACGACAAGGCGATACTTGTACTCATTGAGGAATATATACGCGCTCCAGGGAAGTGGGCCGGGATCATGTGGAGGTAAAAGCAGTGTTAGAGCTGTATTTGTGTTTTGCGTATTCCCATTGGATTTGGATCATAACTGTTGCTATAGCCCGATAGCCCGTCTTTCTTCTCTTTGTTGATACAACCGGGTTTGACTCTGCCACTCTTCTGGCGTTTGATTTCCTTTTCTCTTTGCATTAGTTCGAGGCGTTTATAGTATGAACTTTTAATTACATTTCGCTTCCTCACTTGTGTTGGTACATCGTGATATTTTGACTCAGATCAAATATTCAAATCGCTAGTTAACAATCTGACAAGCTCGATACCCATACGTATCAGACAAAACCTATACGCCAAGCTGTATTCATTCATATTCAAAGGTGTCTGGTCCACCTGAAACTGTGATGACCCATATTCTTACCAGGGCATCTATGTATATTATCGAAGTTTCAAAAGTTTCAGTCTCGGAGAATCACAATCTGTAGGTGCGTTAGCATGGTGCAAACGATAACAGTATGCAACTCACCACTGTTGGCACATTTCCATCTTTGCCGATACAGAATCTCAAACTCATCAAAGCAAACGGAACTTCTCGAGTGAGTTCCTATCAATCGTTCCCTGCTTTTGCCTTCCCCTTCCCCTCGTCCTCATTGTAGTCTACCACCGCTTCATCAGGTGCACCGTCGTCTTCTTCTGCATCGTGAACATCTTCATCCTGTCCTATTACCACACGCCTCTTTTCAGCCTCATCAACCACCTTCTTTAGCACTCCCATCCGTCTGCGGAACTCTTCGGCCAAGACATCGACATCCTCACCTCCTATGGCACCACTGCCAGAGCTAGGTAGGGACTCGGGTCGCATTTCAACGGGCTCACGCTCGACGCCTTCAACACGGAGCATTAAAGCGCCAGCACCTCCGTTCTCTTCACCCTCGCTCTGTTGGACAGCTACGCTTGAGTTTGTCACGGCGAAATCGGGCGTTAGACTGGCGGCCCAGGATACAGCCCATCGGTTCGACTCGCCTTCGGGAGCTGGCGCGAGATCTACGACAAGGGGTCGGTGCGACGGGTCTTGAGCACCGGCTGCGAGGATCGAAGGGTCGTCATCGGAGAAGACGTAGTGGACGCGAGGGTGCACAGTAGTATTTGTAGTTGAGTTGGTCAGGAGAGTGAATAATGGTCCGAAAGGAGGCATCGGGTTCTCGATAGCTTCGTTCTCTTCGTCTGGAGTTTGATTATGAGAAAACTCCAGATCCAGGCCTTGTCCAGAAGACGCCGTCGCAGCCTCCGGGGGAGACGGAACCCTATCGGTTCCAGACATCTTGGTAGAATGTATGTATTCTTGAGCTTCTGTAGTGATGAGCAGACGATGTCCAGTCCCGGGGCATCTTTAATCGGCGATGATTTGTCCTTCGACACTGTTGTTTGTTCGTGTTAAGCTGCCGAGCTCTGTAGGCTGCAGAGTCGTGGGATGACGGAAGGAGCTCTTTATCTTATCGCCACGTGGATACTGTCTAATGCACGTCTAACCCAAGCACAAGCAAACTAGCAACTTTCTTACCGACCTTAACCGGACCGTGATTTGATATAGAGCCATCTATATACATATAATCATGGATCGCGTAGCTAGTGATATCATTTTCAAGTGCCAGTAGATCAAGTTTGGTCATTGTTGTGATGTACTTGTTGTAGCTCCAACGGTTTCCCTGCAGGGGTAGCCCATCGTGACTTGGCATGTGACTGACTTCAAAGAGACAAATCCAACCTCAAAACACCACCTCAGTTTGAAGTGTCACCGAATGTACGACCTCTGACTCAAGACTTTCCTGCAGATCACTGAAGAGTTACATTGTATGGATGCATGTCAATGCACTCTGACGTACATTGTTAGCCTCATGGTGCCTCGTTGTCGCCCAAAACGGTCTCTTTGGAGCCTGACTTCACCGTTGATGTGATACGCACATGCCCTACCGCCTTTTATCCATTGCTTCCTTGAATCAGCTCGACCCTTGGGCGACTATGGATAGAAAAAGAGGGCCACTGTGCATCTTATATCACTATGTAAGGTGATAAGAGGTCAAATGAACTAGGCAGTGAGTCATTAGCTTATGTTTGAGGGGAGTCAGGCATCCAGTGCCTTTGTTCCCTGCCCCAAAAAAAAACGCCGGTCCCGTCTATTGTCTATATATTCTCATGATGCATATCCTTGCCTCTATTTTTGACTCTTTCCAGAAGAATCCCCGTTTTCCTAGCATTCCTTCGTAATGTAAACGCTTTTCCATGAACCCAATAGAGAAAATTGAATCGAATATGATCAGATAACACCGGTATATGCCCATCTACTGAAAAAAAAAAAAAAAAAAAAAAAAAAAAAACGCCGTATCACTCCCATCTATGCAAAATGCAGGATATGGTCAAAGGAGCGGTAAAGATTTGTCAGGACGAATGAAGAGCGCGGAAGCCAGCCGCAACCAAGCTCCTAGACTTGTCCTTGGAATCAGCAGGACCGTTCCAGTAAAAGAGGCCCTGCAAAGACATTGTTAGCGATCCAGTGACGATATTCGGCAGCAAGTGATGGAGACACGGTGTTTCTGTGTTCAAGACATGAATGCACGACACCCATAGTTAGGCTACTCACCCCTAGTCCCTTTTGCTTGCAGAAACCAGCCTTGATCTTAACAGTATCCGGGTTGTCGTACGTCACAAATCCACCATCTGCCCCCGTGCAGTGTGCTGCAACATGGCGTTTGTCGACAACCTCTTTGCACCCCTTGCGTGGGAGTTGATTGTACTCAAACGTGCCATCTTCCGCACCACCAACGCCCTTGTATTTGTGTCCTGCTCCTGTGCAGTGAAGGAAGCTTCGTCCAAAAGTTGGAATACCAAGCAGAATCTTCTTAGGGGGGAATCCCTTGGACATGAGATAAGAAACCCCTGAGGAAGCTGATGTTTCTTCTTTGTCCATGGCATAGAGTTGAGCGTGATGCCCAGCCTTTGGAGTCCACGAACCAAAGAAATCGTAGGCCATCAAGTTGATAAAGTCCAAGTATTCGGCGATCTCCATTAAATCAAGGAACTGCAAAATAGACTTGGCTGCAGGAAGTGCAGCGGTGAGTACATAATGCTCCTCTGGTAGATGAATGCGGACAGCTGCTAGAAGTGCAAGAAAGTCGTAGCCTTGTTGGACATCGCAAGGGTATTCCCATGCAACTTTGAATCATTTTGTTAGCTTCGTCATCAGAGCTGGAGATCTGTTTCAAGCGCTACCTACTGTCGATTCCATCCAGACCCGATGCTTCAACAAGGCCCTTAGCAGATCTAGCAAAATTGTCGCGCAATAGAGTGCTAGATGCCACCAGGGGGAAAATCTCCGAGGAGTTGCCGCCCCCGATTGACAGAACAACTCGAAGATGGGGATGCTTCTGCTTGAGGTGCATGAGAGACCCTAAACCTCCTTGTACACCGTCAACAGGTGCACCAGCATCCGCCCACTCATCACTGAGCTAGATTCAAATTCCGAGTCAGTACCCCCGATTGCCGAGACGTTTGAAATAAGTCGTGAATAGAACTTACGAAAACACCGCCGTCGGCTGAAACACTGGCGTATGCATAGTAAACGTGGTTGATACAACTGTAGTTGAGCATTCCTGGTGTATCTCCCTGGTATATCCGGTAGTTGGGAAAGTATACCGCATTTGTGAACATGACATTGGACATGCTCGAAGCAATCCGCGACTTGCGCGACGAGCTCATGATGAGTGATTTGAGAGATCAGGCGAATTCGAAAGAAAAGGGACAAGGCAAGTGCAAAAAATGAGAGAAAAATAAATATGACCGTGAGTGTTGTTTAATAACCCGACCTGCAAGAGCCTAGATGAACTAACTGGTGTCAAAGTCTTGAAGGAAATAAGAGCTGATGTGTCGGCCAACAACGTTAGGCACCAGAGACTGCCGATGAGAGTCATGACTGACTGTGACAGAGAAGGATCAAGGCTATATAATACTCAACACCAGTCGCAGCCAGCTAATAGAGGGTCGGTCATCTAGGTGATGCCCGGAGAGCAGGGACTAGCATCCAAATTACGGAGGGTCCTGGATTCGGTAGAACCATGATACATGACATAATTGCGGGGAGGCATTGGAAGAAACATAAGAGCGTTGCTGGTTGTCAGAGCTGAGAAAGCTGTGACTTCTTGGGAGACCGTGAAATTGCTCTCGTTTGTTGTTAGCCCGACTTTTCGATGCTTTGACCACGCCAATTCGGGCCTTGTTAAGAAGGTGTAATCTGTGCCTCATGAAATGACGCCCAGTGATTGATGCTTGGCTTGGCAACCCAGCTTCGAATGGAGTCGGAGATCCGGGGCGAGAATACTCTTTTCCTCTTCGAGCGCAGTCCGTACAAGACCCTGAGTTGATGGGGCCATCCAGTAGATGTTTCCAACCACGAGATGAGCTTCCATCTTTGCTAGGGAATTGGCGATAATGAAGCATTGACGTTGCGGCCTCTCCGAACCATTAAATGGCCCTGCCATGATTTGCGAAGGTGAAACACGTTGGCATACAGGCCCGCAAATGAGACACGTCTCCAATACCTAAAAACAGCATAGCGAGGCGTTATCATGTTCTCAAGATGAGCCGCGATGCGTTCCGAGGTGTCATATGCCTCGGGCAAACAAAAGGCAATGCTGAGCAGGGCTTGGCTTCCAATCACTCGTTGCAGGATCAAGGCGAGCTCGTCGCTCTACTTGAAAAGCAGCATTGCCCAAGGGATGAAACAGTCTCAGCCAGAAAGCACGCACGCAGCATTGTTCTTGATGTCGCAGCGCCCATTTTGGCGACCGGGACAACCCAGGTACAGCATCTTTGGACGAGGGTTGTACAAGAAGCGCCGAGTCATAACACAACTTCCCGATAAGCGTGTTCAACAACCGTGCGGCTCCATGGATTCGCCCTGCCATCAAACTTCTGGAAGGTCGACGGACGTTTGGAACGCGCTACCACGGATGGTGAGATTGGTTCCATAATAAAAACCATCAGGGGACGACCATGAGATTTGGGCGCAATATTCAGTGGGCCAAACACTTTGACTTCCACTGTTAGCTTGTCCTTGTCTGATACAGTTGAGCCAGGGCCGGGTGCTTACCATCTCTAACAATTAATCATTCCGAGTGACAATTCCGAATGGTTTTAGTCTTGCCAATGCATCAATCCCCAGCTTCGAGGCTGAGGCAAGCGCAACAGCCTGAATCTGCCATCACATGGATGTGTATGAATAGGTACCGTTGCAAGTCAAATTGAGACAAGCCATTGACTAAGGTACCTACGGGCTAGCAAGCACAGTGACAGTCTGGGGATTTGGAGTTGATAGCCTACCAGAGTCCTTCCGGGATGGGGATGAATGTTAGCGCCGTTTCCAGAAGCCGTGCTCTAAAATTCAACGATGGTCGAATTTAACGACTTGTAGAGCCATAATAGCATAGACCCTGGAACTTCAGGTGCCCATAGGCTGCTGAATTCTATCGACCTGAGAAAAGTACCAGAAGGCATCCCGTCGACATGGCTGGTTGTCTGAATGTTCTTTGACTAGACTTGCTTGGGGCATATCTGTATTAACTAAATGGATCAGCTTCCGCTTCAACGATATGGCATAAGAGCTGTTAGGTTGACCTACCAATAAGCCATGGTATCGATTGCTGATGCTAGACACGGTGTTGAGTGGCATATGAACTCTGTCCCAATATAGTATCGGGTTATGCAAGCCTGACTGCTTGGCACCTGAAATAGAGCCAAGAAACGCTTATGTATGGACGTATCCTCGTTGAAATGCATTGGCGTATCTGTTGTGCCTTCTGACTAGTATTGTACGATACCCGAAAGGTAATACCTGGTGGTTAGTGTGGAAACATCAATGGCTGACGTAGATACTTGTTAGTGAAGAGCGAAAAAGCAAAGTGTTGGTTCGACATGTGAGACCAAGTGATCAGCAACACGGTGGAGAGCTGGGCGCGGACAAGGCTCCTTCGTACATGTGTAAGACAACCTTGCCCAGCAGTAAGCGACAAGAGACACAGTCTGTACACCCATGTCGGATCCTACTTGATCAACCAATGTTAGGTTTGAGATCTGTCAAACGATAGTGTTGACCATTGTTTGCATCTTCAATGAAGCCTAGATATCATGACCACAATCAACTTCCTTTTTCAAATAACCATTGATGGAATGTAATATGACCAACTGACTTGAATTTTGTTTCAGTTTTAAGTTCATTGAGGGGTCTCTTGGCCTTTCTTCGGCACTGCGCCCCCATAGGAAGCAAACAAACATAGTTGCCCCCCCTTCTTCCTGGACCAACAGTCGAATCGCATATTGTCGTTATGCGCCATCCGCATAGCTTATCACCAACAACTCGCACAAGCATGTAGGTTGTAGCGAAACATACCACATGAGGTCCATTTCACCAATGTTAGGAGGTGAAGTTCTGCCAGAAGGAGGGGTCACCATCACGGTAGCAAACGTGCAGATGACCTCCCGCATATATTGATAATACCGAAGCCAGAAATGTTCATCCCTTGTGTACTTGGCTGGTTTCACAGAGATGATTAATGTGGCGCAACCGTAGTAGAGCATCCCAACAGATGATAAACAGTGCCGAGTCCCTATTCTGTATAGTTGTGTTGTCTTCCTTTCAACTTCTTTCCACAAGTTCACAGCCAAGATGCCAGAGACTGATAGTCACTCTTTCTCGATCATTTCCGAGCCGGGTATTGAAACAATATACACCCCAACAGACCAAGACACGGATGAATATGAGCTCGTGCTTGACGATGCTCGTTCTGAATGCTTGCAACAAGACGATGATTCAAGCTGTTGCACGTCATTAGCAGCCAGCATATTCGACTATGAGCACTCTCATGGCCGACGTTATCACGCCTATTTGGCGGGCAGATATCCGCTGCCCAATGACGAAGGCGAGCAGTGTCGCGAGCTAGCTGAGCATTTCCTGATGCAGCAACTTCTGGTATGTCAAGATTATTGGGCAACAGCAATTAGAGTCAAAGCAACAGCTAACCATCTGGTTGATGCAGGATGGTAAACTCTTTCTGTCCGAAGTTGACAAAGACGCGAAGAAGATAATCGATCTCGGGACAGGAAACGGTGAGTGCCAAGTGCACTTTTGACTGTTTTGTACTTATAATTTGTAGGGGCATGGGTGATAGACGGTGAGCTAATATGAAAATATTCCAGCTGCCTTTCTAACAAGACCTAGTGGCCGATGAGTATGGCAAGACCAGCGTGATAGGAACCGATCTATCCCCCATTCAACCTAAATCAATGCCTTCGAATGCATCCATGTTTGTTGAAGACTGTGAGGACCCCTACTGGGCCAATGGTAAGGACTTTGACATGGTTCATCTCAGGGGAATGGTCGGATTTCTTCTTGACTTGGACACAATGGTTGTTAATGTCCACGAGTGAGTTGAATGCCTGATATGTGATGCCCAGCTAATAAAGGGAAGACACCTGAAGGAGGGTGGATGGATCGAGTTTCAAGATTTTGACTACACAGTTCGCTGCGATGATGGCACCATGCAGAAAGACGATCCACTGCGAGTTTTCTTCGATACCTGCGCTCAGGGGATACGAAAATACGGCTGTACCAACTTTGGCAAGAAAGACGTTCGGAAAAGTCTCACAGCCGCTGGCTTCACTCGAGTTCAGGCCGTGAGTGAGAAAGTGCCTATCTCATGCTGGCCACAGGATGAAGGAACGAAGGACTTGGGGAGGTTGATGGAAGCCAACATCATGGATCTGATTGGTTCGATGTCTGTCAAGCCGCTGAATGCCTTAGGAATACCAGAAGAGAAGCGAAAAGAGATGGTGTCTCAGGCTTATAAGAGCCTCAGGAATGATAAAGCTCATCGATACATGAACTGTCGTATCATTTATGGCCAGAAGAATGGGGACCAAGGCTCCGTGACTAGTCTTGGTTTTGATTCGTGATTTCTCTCGACGCTTGTGGTTGCTGAGGCGGAATGACTTTCATGTTCAGCATATAAGGATGGAAGACAAGATGGAGGTGCAGGAGGCACCTGGTTCCCGCCATGTCTTGCTAAAACACTTGCAATAGCGATGACAACAATTTACCATGGAAGTCAACGCTTCCCTCCCTTGATTTTCCCTATTTGAAGGGATCTTACACAGTTGCAATAATACAAGACTGTCTTATTGAACAAACAATATTTTAAAATGGGCGTGTGAGGACTGCGAAGCTGAAGTTCAAGCAAGCTTGTGTGGAGTGACGTTGGGTTAGCGGCGATCCTGGCCGCTGACAAACCTCGGTCGCCGCACTGTACCTGCAGCTCTGGAAAATGTTAGCGACCAAAGCTTTGGCCTAAATCTTGACCTTGACATCAACAGAGCATCTATTGCAGCGCGAACTTAGCAGCATCCACAACGACCTGACTCGGAATATTGAAAGAATATTACTAGAAATAAATTGACTGCTCCATCCTCTGTAGGCGATCGGCCTGCGCCATTCTCACACATCATGCCCGGCGCCGTCGAATCTCCTGCCTCCGCCATCCTCAACCACTCTGCCACGCCCTACAACTTCCGATTCTCGCCATTCCTTCGACAAACGTACCAGGTCGGCCTGTCTCCCGACCGGCCAATATGCAAAGCCTTCCAGTCGGGCCACTGCCCAAACGGCACACGATGTCCTGAACGTCACGTCTCTGATTCCAAGACGTCGCAGCCGAGCGGTGGTCTTAACTCGCTCGTGTGTAAACATTGGCTGCGCGGCCTGTGCAAGAAGGGCGAGCATTGCGAGTTCCTTCACGAGTACAACCTTCGAAAGATGCCCGAGTGTAATTTCTTCATGCGAAACGGGTATTGCTCGAATGGAGATGAATGCCTATACCTTCACATCGACCCCCAAAGTCGGCTGCCACCCTGCCCTCACTACGATATGGGGTTCTGTCCCCTCGGGCCCAACTGTTCAAAGAAGCACGTGCGTAGGAAGCTCTGTGTGTTTTACCTGGCAGGTTTCTGCCCCGATGGACCTGAATGCAAAGAAGGCGCCCACCCCAAGTGGTCAAAGGATCTGGAGAAGCCAACCCTCAAATCAGAGGAGAAGAAAGATGAAGACATTCGAATAGATTCTGCGCAGGATGAGGTGGACAGGTCACGCGATCAACAGAGAGATAGGGATCGGGATGATGGGGGCAGACATAGAGGAGGTCATGGCGGTCATGGTGGTCGAGGAAAATGGCGAGGAAGAGGCCGTTACCGCGGGAGAGGTCACTAAGCCACACATTTACTTGTTGTACTTTTACTCAGTTGATGATACCCACATGATTCCCATGTCAAAATTTCATGTAACTGTGAACCTCAAAATACTGGTCGAAAGTAAGGCAATTGGATTTGTATTTTTCCAATAACCGTAGTGTGAAAATCATTCAAGAGTTGGAGTCGTGACGGCGTCTATATGTAACAAAATCGAACGTTTTACATGTCCCATCATAATGCGTGTCATGCAGATCCAATTTACATCGGATATCCAGCATAAATTTCAGTCTTTATCGCTCAAGCGGTCTCAGATGCCTGGGGAGTCCACATAGCTCCCTCATTGTCAGCATGCCAGACGTTAGCCTCTGTTGGGACGGCGACAAATTCGCTTGATTCTCCTTCGCCCTTCTCGCTCTCATCATCCTCGTCACTGCTCTCTGAACCTTCATAGGAGCTTGTCTTCCATGTGGAGAGCTCGTCAACTCGGCGGATGCCCATCATCCAAGAGACGAGGCCTCGGGGGGCCCATCGTCCGACGAAGCCGTACACGCTGGCGCCGAGGCCAACTCGTACGGTATCAGCAGTGATGGAACCATCAATCACATCGAAAACAGAGTTGTGGAGGCGTCGAAGCGAGCTTCCCTTCAGTCCACGGATACGACCTCCGGAGATAGCAGAGCTAGTTTGTGCGACAAAGTTTCGAGCATACACGTGTCGAGCGCCCTCAGGCCAGACGAGAGGAGACTCGGGGTTTCCTGCGGTGACGAGACCTTGGTTGGGACCGCCACGAGTCGGGACGAAACTGGAGAAGTCGAACGTGCCGAGCTGCATGTGGGTCACCGGAATATCGAGGGGTCTAAGTTCGGCGGTGAGGACTTCCGTGAAAGCGGACAGGGCCGAGCAAACGGTAGCCTCAGGCGCATGAAATGGTGGGTTGATTGAGGAAATGATGGAGGGAGTAAAGACAAGAACCTTGGGAGGAATCCATTTTTCTCCGATGGGGTTCAAGCGGGATGTGAGTAGTGGTAGGAAAGCCTGGATTGTAAGGATGGGCTGGAGGAGGTGGGTATTGAAAAGGTCGGCAAAGCTGGATGGTGGGATTGTTGCGATAGGAGACGTCTGGTAGTGGAGGCTCGGGATCAGGATAACGGATTTCAGAGTGAGCTGGTTGGGCTTCATTCCAGGGCCAGGAGCTTGAGGTGACTGGAGGAAGTGGGCAAAATGTTCGATGGCAGAGCCAGCATTGGGAGGCTAGGGAAATGTCAGTATAATCACAGGACAGCCCATATGGCAAACTCACGTCAGTGGTATCAATGCTCAGAGGTCGAACATCGGGTCGCTTCATAGCCTGAACCATGGACTCGTCCTCAGCGGCGTTGCAAACGATGAAGACGATGAAACCCCGTCTCTCCATGTCCAAAGACAAAGACCTTGTCAAAGGAAGAGATGGAGATCCGGCGATAACGACGACATCAGTACGCCCGCCATTTCGTGCCCTTCTCGCTCGTCTTGTCTTTCTCATGGAGCGACTTTCATAGTATCCTTTATAAACAACGGTTCCGCAGGTCAAGACTATCATTCCAGTCAAAATTTTGTGCTCGGCAATCCAGTTTTGGAGCCTTTCGAAGCGCCCCAAAGAAACGACTGCCACCACTTCTTTCACCGCAGGCTTAGGCCTGACAGACTCTGGCACCCATTCTGAGGTGGACAGAGTCTCTCTGACAACTACAGCGGCGCGGTCGACATTCTTATCAATGAACTCGGAAGCAACGTCGGCGTATTGGCGAACTTGGCTCGAGAGCTACAGTACAATAAGTAAAATGTCTTGGGGGGAAAGAGCCGCATGTCTTACCGTGTCCAACAGCTGCTGCGGATCGACCGACATGGTGGTGGTTGGTGAAAGAGAAAAGATTGTTACGGGCTCTTCTCATATGACGGTGACCTTCATGCGAGTGGAGAACTAGGTACAAAAGCTTCTGATACCCAACCTCTTTTCCGCGCACGGGCCATCCGATCTCCGCGCCGGAGCACGGGGCTTAGTCCTCCGATCGTAACCTACCCGAGGTCGGGTATCTAGACGAAGGTAGATCATACTAGGATTGAAGGTTCTCGTGAGTGAACTTGGTGAACCATGGCCTACTTTACATGGAACAGACACTATATTCTTGTTGACTATGGAGTTTTTTTCTTACTATTTTGTTAGCCATGTAGCCAAGAAACGTCCTTATCAAGGCTCATATTCATGTGTCTCATGTTAGAATGCAGAATGCAACAGTATGGATGTTTGCCATGTCACCATTCCCTTTTCAATATGACCATAGGGTTTACATAATATCTGCGAAAAATTATCCCAAGACTCATTATGAGACGGCAGATAAGATATATCATAAATACATACGAAGGTTATATTGCTAGGCTAGTCTACTCTCCCCAGAAGACTTTACGAGAGAGCTCTGGCTCTTCAGGAATGATAACATTATTTTGACTTACGAAAGTTTGCTCCTCAGTGTTATTGAACAGGGTCGAGTAATGATACAGTTCCACATTTCGGATTGTGAACTCTCAGACCGGCTCAACAACTTGGTCTTTCAAGTCCAAGTATCTCGTCGATCTGCATGCCCAGTTGGCCTCGCTGAATGTCGACAGTGAATACAGGGGTCATGAGTGAGTTGATCTTGCCATAATTTTGTTAGGAAAAACTCTCTGGTGAGCGTTTATCCACGCAAGGACCAAGGTTGTGTGTCAATGCCTGCCCGAACTTACACAACCAGGATAAGACTAACATCACAGTACATTCCAATTACTTCTTACATCAACAAAGCATAGTTACCTCTCCCTGTCTTATGCCTAGTGGTGGTGCATTTCCAGTATCAAATGAGAGTACTGCAAGTTACTAACTAAGTGATAGGCTCCACAGGCTTCGGAGGTGCAACTCCTATCAACCGCATGTAGTTATGCAGTGTAACCGCACGAACTTCGAAACAACAGAAGAGCCAAAACAATAAACACAAGATTTGTTCTTCAGCTCAGACTCAGAGACGATATTTCGTCCTCAAGGATGCATCAATGCTCGAAAAAACGTCCTTTTCATCGACCGTCTTTCCTCTGTATTCCAACAGAGTTCCACTTATTGGTGCTAATTCCCCAGACTGAAGATAATAGAAGCGGAGTTGATGCGGGGATTTTGACCGGTTATCAGCGGGTCCTTCTATCAGGGAGCTCACCACAGAGTACATGTCTTATTGTTCGCTCTCGTGACCATTTTTCGTGCTTGTAACACTACTATACCACTGAACTCGTCTCTACTGACATGGAAATTCTCCTGGTATTTTGTATTTAGTTGGTTGAAAACTTGACCGCAACTGATTGATTGATATTCCTGAACGGACTGTGACAGTTATGGTGCTCTTAGACTACCTGCAACATCGTCGAGCTTGGTAGGGCCCCTTCAAGATTGCCAATCTCTTCATGTAACTCAAGAGTGCTTACTCGAATAACATGTCTTACTAATACTATTGAAGCCAGTTCAAGCAAGAAGAACGAACATCTCGCATCAAGAGACTGGCATCATACCATGCTCCTTTCACTGTCCTGGATCGAGAGATTGTGAACAAGCCAATTGAAGAACTAGTCCAAGCTGTCCAAAAAGACCCAAGTAAGGCTTCAGATATTCTTCATACATATGGTAAGGTTGCCCTCAGGGCACACGAAAGAACGAACTGTGTAACAGAAGTCCTGCTTTCTTCGGCTGAGCAATGGCTCACGGATGGGTCCCTTAACCTCAAAGGACCTCTAGCTGGTGTACCTGTCAGCCTGAAAGACACGGTTGAAGTGGGAGGATACGACAGCACTGTAGGTATGAGCACACATGCTGGGAAGCCCCTTGCACATGATGGAAATACTGTCAGAATACTCAAAGACGCTGGGGCTGTTCCGTATGTCAAGACCAACGTCCCCATCACACTCCTCAGTTTTGAGTCATCTAATGACATTTGGGGCGAGACAACGAATCCATACAACAAAAGATACACTGCCGGTGGCTCAACGGGAGGCGAAGGTGCCTTGCTGGCATTGGGAGGCCGAGTTGGAATTGGAAGTGATGTTGCTGGAAGTGTTCGCTGCCCGGCTCACTTCTCTGGCTGCTACGCACTTAAATGTTCAACAGGGAGATGGCTTAAGACAGGGGTGGTCACAAGTATGCCAGGGCAAGATGGTGTTCCTGCAGTGTACAGTCCCATGGCGCGTACACTCAACGACCTGACCTATTTCACTCGATCGATCATCCAGATGAAACCTTGGACTTATGACTATTCTTGTCACCCGTTACCTTGGAGATCCGATATTGAGAAAGAGTTCTCCGAGAAGAGGAACTTACGAGTCGGAATTCTTCGAACAGACGGTGTCGTGGATCCCAGTCCCGCTTGCCGAAGAGCATTGGAGATGACCGAATCTGCTCTACGAAACGCAGGCCATGAGATCGTGGAGATTGATCCTCCTTCTCCTTATGAAGCTCTATGTCTAGCCTCAATCCTTCTCTGCAGCGACGGCCTCAAGACTGTCAAATCCTTCTTTCGTTGGGGAGAGTGGAACGACCGAGGTGCTGCCCAAATGAGCCTCTATTTCAGCCTTCCTCGACCTGTGAAGTACTTGCATTACCTTTGGGTCAAGTATGTTCGAGGAGACGCTATATGGGCTGGACTCTTGCGGAACTGGCATCCTCAATCCGGATACGAGATCTGGCAGCTCAATGCCAAGCGCGAGCTTTATAAGAGGAAATGGTTTGAGTGGTGGGATAACTCTGGTGTTGACTGCTTGATCGCCCCTCCCAATGCTACTCCAGCTGTTCCTCATAGGGGCATGCATGATGCATGTAGCAGCTGTGGCTACACCTTCGTGTTCAACTTGGTAAGTTTATCCATAGCGGAAACTAACATAACAAAGCTGACCTGGGATAGCTCGACTATACCGCTGGCGTCTTGCCCGTGACACATGTCGACCAGACACGGGATCAATTGCCAGGAGACTTTAGCCTCAATAGTCTCAACGGCATTGCGCAGGGCGCATATAAACTGTACAATGCGAACGCCATGCATGGATTACCCGTAGGTGTTCAAGTAATTGGCCGCCGGTTAGAAGAGGAGAAGGTACTGGCAATCATGAAGAGAATCGAGGAGGCCATGGGTGACAATACTTTTCCTTTACTAGATGTAGATTAGAACCAAACCCGTCAGACACGCCCTTTTGCTATTCTCTTTCCTATCCAGACATCTGTTTATGTAGATAACACACCCAAATCAGTTCAAATGCTATGGTATCAGACAACATCAACAGGTTTGAATTTATCCCTCTTTTATGTTTCCTCTTCTTTCCACAAGCACATGCGTCTTTCTCACCTACGTCGTCCTGTCACAACAAAGTCAATTTTGCCAAACTCATCCACTACCGGCTCTTCCCCAGCAGAACAAGTGTACTGTTGGTTGGCCCCATGCTCAATATCAAAACCTTTGTTGCCCCATGCCTTCTCCATCTTCTGGCGGAATTGCGTCTTGGGCTTGCCAGCCTGAATACGCTTCTTTTCGAAGAAAACATAAGCCGCATAGAAGGCGATGTTGGTGTTGCCATCGCGGACCCCCTTTCGGCCCATGAAGTACCGCATATTGGCCGGGGATACGCTTTTTCCTTCGGGGAGGTTCTTATTGAGAGCGCGGATGAAAGCTGCTTGTGTCATTCCCTCCTTGGCTAACATAGGCCGAATCTTCTTGCGGATCTCGTCGCAGGTGTCGTAAATGGGAACTGTTCCGTCTGCCTCACCAGGAAGGGGGTCAACGTTGCTCACATCAAGAACTTCTTCAAGGGCCTTGGCGGAAGCAGCTGTCTTTGCTTTCATAGGTTTGTTGGCCTTGAGGGGGAGCCCCTGAAGCTCACGCTTTTTGAAGAAGATATGGGCTTTGGTGTACGTATCGGTGTTCTCGCCGTCCCATGTGCCAGTCCGGTTCATAAAGCTATTGTAGGATTTGCCACTGACTCCAATGGTTTTCTGAAACTCGCCAACTTTTTGAGCACCTGAGTCGATCCAGTTACGAATCTTACGACGAATGGCATTGCAAGTGTCTGAGTCATGAAAAGCTAGGCGTTCATCTTCGCTGTCTATATCCGACACATTGTCGGGGAAAAGATCCTCTTGGGTGTTGTCAGGACCAACATCAGCCTTGCGCTTCCTAGAGCTGGTGGTTGTCGTAGCTGGAGCTGGAGCCGGGATTGGCGGTGCTCCAGAAGGCATTCCTCTTGCCATAGATGAGGTATTCATAAGCAAAGGTGGACCGCCTGATGCTTGAGCCCCGGATGTGTGTGGAACAAATGGTGGTGGTGGGTTGTAGTAGGCAGGAGAAGTTGAGTTGTTGGGGATGGGACCAGGAACAGGAACAAGAGGAGGCGCGGGGTTGTTGGAAACAGGCAGAGGACCAGCCTTGTTATAGACAGGCTGATGGTTATACACAGGCAGGGCTGGGTTTGGAGCAGATGGGTGAGGTAGGTTGAGAGCTGGCATGCTTGGTAGGCTCCGAGGTGGGATATTAGGACACGGCTGGCTCATTTGTAGCATGGCCTGTCTAGGCGACCAAGACCAACCTGACATCTCTTCTGGCAGAAATTAAGTTGAGAATCTCGGAGGAAATTAAGGGAAGCTTAAGATGCCAGCCAAGGCAAGGTAGAGAAGGTAAAAGCGACAACTGCCGAACTATGACGTTTGTGTAGGTCCGCGCATTTTTACGCGTCGAGCTTGGGCTTCCAGCTGAACGATAAGGTAACAAGCGGCGCGTCAATTTCGAGTGGGGGACTACTAGGTACGTTAGCAGGCCTATGTCCCTGCGTTGGCACTGTCTTTTAGCGTCGCCACTGTACTCTTGCTCGTATCATGCTCGTTATTCCTGGTGATCTCACTGACATCCCATCCAGGCAGGCCAGGGAGACGTTAATTTAATTATGGTGTTCAAATAACCTACTCAAAAGGCAACCTAAGTTCATCACAAAAGCCCAAGTTATGCTAAAATTGTCTAAGTGCCTCCACCCCTTAGGATAGAGCTTGCCTTAACCTGAGAGTTCTTTGAACTCTCCTACCTACCCAGGTAGCCAGGGGAGCAGAAGAGTGGAGACTGATTTACATAAGGTAGGTAGGTAGGTAGGTAAGGTACTTTAGGTAGCAACTAACCCAGAGCTTCAACAAAGCTTCCAGTTTCCGTTTTTACAACATCAAATGAACCCCTCAACATGAAAGCATTGCCACTTCTACGGAACTCAATGACTGGGGCCAGAAAAGGTGATGTTCGACATCTTCGATGGTAACTAGAATGTCTTCTTTAAGAACATATCACGATTGGCCTTGGCGGCACTGGACAGTATCCAATCTTTTGACGTAGCATGCTGCTAGTCAACACAAAGGCCAACTAGTAAGTAACATTTTCGACAACTTTTTGACGTCCACGGCTTGGGTTAACGGATGAGTAGTATAGCTGAAACCCAGGTACTCGGAGGGGCAAAGAACACGACGATCCAGCTGTGAAATATCCTTGCCCCATCAAACTCCTTTCCTGTCATACTCTACGAACTGAGGCCGTTTCGGAAGAATCATGGACAGGGTCGAGACAATCCTCGAGTAAGGGGACGACCAAACGAGTGGTTTGGACACATCCCAAGAGACCCGTCATCTATCACATCAACGGCAATTCGGAGGTACATGATCTCGATAAGCCTTCTATCAGCCAAGTTGTTGGTGATTGGTTGACAGAAGTTCAAAACCTATTGGGTATAGTTGAACCGCTTACATCTCATGATATTCGTCGGGGCGCGGCCTTTGAGGCTAGCAGCCAACCAGGCTGCGATTCAAAAGTTGCCTTGGAGCGAGCTCGCGAAGTCCTGGGCCACTCATACCAGTCCCTACTTGACAGAACCACGGAAAAAATACGTCTGAATCGTGATGGACGACATGTGGAAGAAGAGGGTCTACAATCTAATCCAGCTCCCTACTATGGACATACTTCACATCACTGCGAATATTTACCAGTCTCGAAAGACAGGCAATCACGCAAGAGTGCATCGACCATGGCCTTGATACGAACTGAATGGTGATTGTGTGTTTGCTGCTCAAAGGCCAAAAACTGAAGACTTCAAGCAATGGATACCGGAAGAAAAGGCGAAGCTTGGTGATCACTTTATCAGGGACACGATGCCACTGGCGGACTCCGAGGACATTATACATGCTGCGACCGACGCCTTTGTCGACTAATCCTACAAGATCAACGTCTGCCGTTACGAACACACCCGAAATACCTCACCACGTTGTGCAAAACCAGACGGCAGCAAGGACGAACCAACTCGCTTCCTGTACAATTGCCAGACCAAGGGCCGCCATAAGGAATACAAAAACCTCAAATGGATCGAGAGACACCTTGTGCAAGGCTCAAATTTTTTTGTGGCACTTGCAAAGAAGAGTTCCATTCACGAGATGACCTCGTTTCTCATATTGACGAAACTGAAGAGTGTTCGTCGGAGGACACCCCTATTGAACACTTTTGCGTTGAGTGTAATAAGTTGTTCAACGACGCAAAGAAGTTGGACGACCACAACAAGAGACAGCATAGCTGGATCCCCAATGTTTGTGACTGGTCAGATTGCGAGAACCGGACAGTTTTCGAACCGAATCTTCATACAAGTCTCATCGAGTCAAGCATCAAACAACTGTAGATCACTGCTGGGTCAGCACAGACGTCTCTCAATTTTGTGATTCTAGATCGCTCAAGCAACATATCAGAAGACGTCGCCCAGAAGTCAGTGATGAAGAGATTAAAGACAAGATCTCCGCGCTGCCGGTTTGTAAATCGCGGATAGCTCCGAGGACGGCGAGTCTCCCCCCGAGAAACCCAGTCATCATATCCCAGCTCATCTATCACTTCGAGTTCATCAATCAGTCCCATTCGAACGGTCACTCTACGTTCGTCGGCTAAACTTCAACCACCTGTCGCTTTTCGCCCACAGGTTAAATCAGAACCAGCTGCAACTTCTTGTCTCAACTCATCTATCATTCGATCAGATATGATCAAATCGTGTTCTACATTTGGGGCGGAAAAATGGTGATTCTTATTATTTGATAGAGCCAGCACTTAGAGAGTTTACTAAGTTTAAATACAGATTATCCTAAGCTATCCTAAATTGCCCTAAACTGCCCTAAACTGCTCTAAACTGCTCTAAACTGCCCTAAACTATCTAAAGCTATACTAAATTGTCCTAACTTTGTCTAAGTGTTTATATCACTTAGGATCGAGGTCTTTATGTTGGAAGAACGTGCAGGTCAGCAGTTGCGAGTTTTGACAATGTGGAACATGGAATACCGCCATCAGCACACCAAGTCCAGATATACACAGCATGTCGAAACCACTGGAGGCGGCATGACCTTGATACTTGTGTAGGGGTGGGAGTCACCATGCTGCTATCGACGTATGGCAATGGCAGGGCGACTCCGGAGCAAAATGAACAGCCAGAACTGGAACCTTTTGATAAACAAAATTGTATACGGGAAGACCAAATCTCGACTGACTCGAATGTTCTTCCGGCCACAGTGTTGGGAAGGATCAAACTACGAACTACCTTCGAGGGAACTAGTACCTTAGGTAGGTACCTAAGGTACCCTCCGTGTTACTACGCCGCAGATCTGAGGAACCATTTGATGCCTCTGTAGACGATGGTCAGAATATAGTAGTTGATGACAGGTAGTAGGTTCTCCAAATCGATGCCACGAGAAGTTCCCCCAATGGCAATTAGACTAGAATGCTATGATCAGGGTCTCCGTATGGTAGTTTTACTAAGTTATCGGTACAATCAAACACAGCATTAGACTAAGAATAATTTCGTTGCCAATAGAAGTTTTCAATTTCATAGTTTTTGGTTTTAGTCCCTGGTTGTAATTCGGTCTCAAATGTCTGCCGGTATGAAGAATATTCCTCCAAGGAAGTGGGACAGAGCAGGCACTTATGGTAGAGTTACAATGTTGAATTCAGCGGCACTGGTTAGATGTCAACGGTGCAAGTTGAAGTTTGATAGTGCTAGAAAGTACCTATGGGTTAGGTTAGTACTTAGTTTAAAAACATGAACTCGGGAGGAACACCGATTTTGTATTTCTTTTGCTAACTACCGCCTAAGCCTCACCCGGGCTGTTATGTTACATTCAGGCATCACTTTCATTTTCAACTTTGATCCAATCCTTGAGAGGAGAAGAGAACCTTGTTGTCTTTTGCTTCTTGGACCCGCTTGCCTCATTACTGCCTTCCGGACGAGGTCGCTTCTTTTCCATACCCGCAACCGTCTTGGGTATACCATTGGGCTTCACTTTTATAGATTTGAAACCAGTGCCAGATTTGGCAACGGTAGCCTTGCAACTGGCACTAGCGCCCGGGGTCTTGGGAACAGTGTTGGATTTGGCATTTGTAACCTTGCTAGCAGCTTTGTTGCTGCTGCCGCCAGAGTTGGAGGCCTTGGAAACAGAGACAGGCTTAGCGATGGGAGCTTTGCTACCGCCATAACTGGCTTTGTAGTGTGCAACACCTTGGTTGCCTTGATTGGAGGTTGTTTTCAGTTTGTCGACTTGTTCCTGTGAAGCTAAACAATTTTGAAGTCCCTGCAGCTGCTTTTCAATGCTGGCGAAGGCCGATAACAAGTTGGAGATTCGTTCTTGAACGGCACCGAGCACTTCTGTCATCCCTTTGAGGCCACTGATGAGACTGTCGAAATCGCTTGAGGTGACTTGGCGGTCATCCTTATGTCCATGCATGATATCTAGTTCCGATATTATACCCATGCTTTGAGTATATCCAAGAATCGCAGAATTGCCGTGGCCGTAAGGATGCACGAATCGATCCATGATCATCTCAGAAGTGGTCGGAAGCATTTGACGCCAGTGCGTAAGCTTACCTCTGACCATACCAAAGCCGTTGTGCTCATAGGCGAGGTAGGCCCTCCACACCTTGTTTTCGACAGCCCGAATACGCTCAGATTTAGACTTGTTGGTGTGGCCCTTAACCTCATCTTTGTCGATGTCATCGTAGTACTGGTTGATGAGTTTTGCCAGCTCATGGTATTTTTCCAGAGCCGGATGATCTTCTTGGATTTGACATTTCTCTACGTCAAAATCCTCCCTGCGATTTCTGGGATTCTTCTTCCAGAATTCAGCTTGCAGCGCAAGCATAGCGTCGTTGCGACTTCATTGGTTGCCTGGTCTTTTCGCGGCGCGCCAGTAGCAATAGTCAAAACCGCCTGTCATGAGCCCTTCGACGTCAGAATCCGCATTCTGTTCTGTGACGGTGGCAGCTTCTTGTCCGCTCTATTTCTCTTGGCTGTAGCCAACTTGCTGAGCACTGTCATTGGAATTACCGTCGGATTCGGTGGTAATGCGGATGGTATTGTCCGCGTTGAGTCTTTCCTCGTTTTGCCTGGCCTTTAGCAGCAGCGAGCTGGTTGTATCGCCAGATAAAGCCGCAAATCCGTCGAGTGCACGTTTGGGAATCTTGTAGTAATCGGAAACAGTCATTGTCTCCGGTCTCAGCTTGTCCCAACGGAATCGGGCAGGGGGGTTGGAGCAGCTTGGTTCATCGTTTTTCCAGACGATTCAATTAGCAGCCCAGTGCCTTGTTGGGCACCAGAGAACTTTCCTGTGTGCTCACCCATTTTGCGCTAGATAGACAACCGTGATAGTCGAATTCGGTCAAGCTTTGGTGCCAGTTGTGGTGGTTGATAGCATCGGAAACATGCGAGGCTTTTTGATACAGCTGCGTGCCTGATTGTGTAGGTAGAATAAGTTACAAAGTTGGAATATAAAATCTGGAGAATCGGTGGTTGGAAGCCAATCTGTTGGTGGTTTGGATTTCAGGCCGAGTTGTATTCGAGAAGTCAAGTCGCAGGCAGGGAAGGCAGAGAGAAGTTAACCGATGGGAAATAGCTTGAGTAGAAGCGAAATCGGTGTAGAATTATGAGATAGTAGCGGCGTTCTCACATGCGCCAGCAATGGCAGATAAAACGCGCAGTGTTCAGCAGTGCACAAGGTGATGATGGTGCAGAATGGGTTCGACGGCGGCACGGCGAAGTCGACGGCGTAAACCTCGAAGCTTTCAGGGATGGATGATTGAGATTAAAAGGTCAAAGAATTAATTACATGAGTAGGTGTGGTATTTATACTGGGTTATTCTCATGCTCGGGAAAGAGTTCAGGAGGACTTTCGATACTCTCTATATTCGAGCATTATGTGGATGCTCATGCATAAAGCTAGTCGCAATGGTAACATTTATGCAACTCTAGCGGTATTCTTTACGGAATACTGGGATAAATGAAGTGAAATCTTGATGGAAGAATTAATAGTATTCCATAGGTCTACCGCAGTCAATGTCAAGACCAGTCATTGTTCAAAGTAGGTCGGCATTTAGCCAGACGCTGTCAGCAAAATATTCAACCATACAAGTTACTAACACTCAGCGACAGATAACCCAATAAAAATACATTCCGGTGATATATGAGTTTCATACTCCCAGGCTTTCAATTGAACCAGAAATTGCCATAGCTGGCAGAGTGTGAACTTGAACATCGTATATAACCAGAGAATTGGCAACATGGTAGAGAGGACGTTGAATGAGTTACATAAGCCAGTAAAGCTAGCCCCACCTTGAGTACCTAGAAAGTGTGCGCAACAGTAGTACCTTATGGATGTTACCTTGGGTAGGCTAAGTTGCTACGGCAGGCTGCCTTATAGGCCTTCTAAACCGTAGAAGTCTCATGCCTCAGAGAGCAATTCTGTAGGTTGGGGTACCAAAATAAACTGGTCTAAAGATGTGCTAAGATATACTAAGCTTACCTAAGTATTTTGTCGCTCAGGATAGGGACTTAGTTTTCTTGCCTCCCCTAGCCATGTAATTCCAATTTAGTTATAAGTTAGCTAGAGATTTAAGCTTGTCCCACCTTGGCATATGCCCTTGTAGACAGAACGCTTCGATACCAACCCTTGGCACGAAACCCATATATAGGGTGAGATCATGCAGATGGGCCAGCGCAATGGCATCGTTGGTCTCGAACCGTGAGCATTCTTGACGCAGATGTTGAGTTTTCAACTTCCAGTTTGATTTGATGTGTAATGGCTGCCCTAAAATATTTCCGTAGTAGCCCTAGTCGTGAATTTCCACGTAAGGATCCTCAATTTCATCATCTATGTGTATCACTCCTGAGCCCTTGTCAGACCTTTATCCGGAATTAAAGGGGGTGATGCGGGAACCTATGCAAGTGTTCCCGAGGTAGATATAAACATCCTATTCTTCCCATCGTCTCTCACTTGCAGTTGGTACTCGACTTTGCACTTACCCCTATTTCCGCCGGGCCGGCGATTACCTTGGTCTTGAGAGCATGCAAGTGAGGGATGGGCACGGAATCCACCATGTGATGAAGGTAAGAGGAGACTTGGGTGGAAGAGGAGTTGAGGTTGACAAGTTTGAAAAATTGGGAAAGTATGAATGAATCGCCTTTTACATTATCTAGAGACCTTGCCAAGGTCATCGCCAGCCCGAGACATTCCTTACTGCTGCCTCCAAATATTTTGACCCCACCGATATTGAGTTCTCTGCCCCTTATATATGCTTATATCTGCACGTCCAATTTTGTAACCAATTTCTCTTCACGACTCACAACATTGGCCATTGTACACAAGGGGAGGCAGAGATGCGTATTACAAGCACAATCCCAGAGCAGGAGTCCTGCAATTTTGGAGCTCCTCGGCAGATCGGCTTTGTTGAAAACGTGAGGAGTTTGTTGAACGATAACTTGTGGAAAATTCCATACGCCACTTTGACGCCATCAACTGGCGGGTAGCGTAAGAGTTCATCTCATTGGAATAGACATACTGTAGTTGGACTGGGCATAAGTCAGGGAGTTAATATTGCTCCCGCTGCTTGTATCTGCATGCCCGAAACTGGCACCCCAGAATCTGCTTCAATTGTGAATAATGATATATGATAAAGAGCCGAAGACTTTTGAATAAGCTCAATGGGATGAGAATCGCATCCTGACGAGAGCAGGAAAACGCTTCGTCCATTGACTGACAGGCGCCAAGCAAGAATTGTCCAGGAAAGGTTGGCGGCTGCTACTGGGTAACTATTTAGAAGAAATTCACTTATAGTCTTCAAAATGAAAAATCATTGCACGATTCTGTGAAGATAAAAAGCCTTGGTGTCCACATCCTGTATGGGAGGGAGCCGAACCACAACCTCGGTGGGTATTGTGCCGACTGCAGCTTCGGGACAACTAGAGCCGACAGCACAATCACAACCATCTATACCTTAGTCGACGAAACAACAAGAATAGTTGCAGCCTAAGCCTTAAAGTAATCTTACTAGAATTTGAGTAACATCTTCATAAGTTTTCATAAACTCTTAGACCAATATACCTAAAGCTTATAGAACAATGCTCATAGACTATTCCCGACCCCTTGAACATGCAAAAGAGAATGTAATGCAGCACTCAATTAAAGCCTCGACTCTTTTTCTTAAGTCATCTTGTCATTTAAACTGTTTTAGAACCGAAGGAAGGAATACTCTATGGGATATTGTTTGGGTATTTGCACAACTCAGAACACCAACTCCACACACCATGGGATGAGAACGATTTATCAATTTCTGGCATTTCTTCGTCAAAGCCGTAAAACTAAATATGGAATCATGTACAAATTGATCACGCAGTTACAACGCCGCCCATATATCCTCCGTAAATGCCCAGTCCGCTTTGCTTAGTACAGCTTAATGGCAACCGACTTGTTCTGTGTGTAGTTGGCCAACGCGGCCTCGCCCAATTCCCGACCGATTCCAGACTCCTTGTAGCCTCCGAATGGGAGCTGATGGTGCAACATGTTGTAGCAGTTGACCCAGACGGTACCAGCCTTCAATGCGTTGGAAACTCGGAGAGCTGTGTTGAGGTTCTTGGTGTGGACGGCGGCAGCAAGACCGTAGGCGGTGTCGTGGGCAAGGTCGATGACCTCCTTCTCGTCCTTGAACTTGGAAATGGCGCAGACAGGGCCAAAGATCTCCTCCTGCATGATCTTCATGTCGGGGCGAACATTAGAGAATATAGTGGGCTTGATGAAGTAACCCTTGTTGCCGAGGCGCTCACCACCGGTCTCAATGGTAGCACCCTCGTCCTTACCAGCCTTGATGTAACCCATGATGCGGTCGTACTGGAGCTGAGAGACCTGGGGGCCCTGGAAGGTCTCCTCGTTGAAAGGGTCACCGACCTTGTTCTCCTCAGCTCGCTTCTTGAAAGCAGTGAGGAACTTGTCGTAGATGCCTTCCTGGACAAAGATTCGGGTACCAGCACAGCAGCACTGGCCGTGGTTGTAGTAGATACCGAAGTTGACCCAGTTGATGGCCTCCTCAATATCAGCATCGTCAAAGACGATGTTGGGAGACTTGCCACCAAGCTCAAGAGTGACCTTCTTGAGGTTAGAGGAAGCAGCAGACTTCATGATCTGTCGGCCAATGACGGTGGAACCAGTGAATGCGATCTTGTCAACATCCATGTGGGCAGAGAGAGCAGCACCGGCAGTCTTGCCGAAGCCAGAAACAAGGTTGAAAACACCAGCAGGGAATCCAGCCTGCTCGATGAACTGGGTGAAGACCAGGGCAGAGAGAGGAGTCTGCTCAGCAGTCTTCATGACAACAGTGTTACCAGTGGCCAGTGCAGGGCCAATCTTCCATGCCAGCATGAGAAGAGGGAAGTTCCAGGGGATAATCTGACCGCAGACACCAATCTGGGTTATATGTTAGTACTGAAACCTCAGTGTCATTCAAGTCAGGGGTATCTTACAGGCTCAGATCGGGTGTAGTGGAACATGTCAGGGGCAATATCAATGGTCTTTCCCTCGATCTTGTCGGCCCAGCCACCATAGTATCGCAGGCAGCCAACAACGGCGCCGACATCACCACGGGCGTTGGTGATGGACTTTCCGTTGTCGAGAGACTCAACAGCAGCAAGGAGATCGAGGTTCTTCTCAGCAAGGTCGGCAAGCTTGAGAAGGTAGTTGCCTCGAGCTTGAGGTGAGGTGCTCTTCCATTCACCTTCGAAAGCCTTGCGGGCAGCAGTAACAGCCAAGTCGATATCCTTCTCAGTACCTTCACAGACGGAGGTGATGACCTCCTCGGTGGAGGGGTTGATAACCTCGAACTTCTGCTTGTCGACACCCTCGGTCCACTTGCCGTCGATGAAGCTAAAACGTATTAGTTTTCAAGTCAACAGAGTTCGATACCATAACCACTTACAGGCCGATGGGCTGCTGGTAGGTACCAGTAACAGGGGTGGACAGCTCAACAGTGAGGGGAGCCATTGTGTATGATATATGAGATGCTGTAGAGGAGAGGGAGGGTACTGGGTATCAAATGAGGATGCCGATAAAAGAGAAGAGTGAAGAGGAGATGATGAGATGATCTGGAAAAGAGACTGGAAATGTTGACGACGGGAAGGGAGTATTTATTCTTGAGAATGACGCGGGGTTTTTTTGTGGAAGAATGGAAGTAGGGGACTAAGGGGGGGCGCCCATCGGGGTGCGATGTGCCGTATGTGTGAACCTCGGTGGAGTGGAGGAGGGGTGAAGTTCAAGTGACGCCAACTTTCCCCGCAACAGCCTCGCCTCTTACGCCTGAATGAACATGGATGCCCTAGTACGTACTGTTTCTTGCTACCTGAAAAAGGAAATGCTATGGATTGCACTGGTTACCGCTCACACTGATACCCCCGGCGGACGGACGGCACCCCATAGCTTTGCGGAGCATTGTCGTTGCGGTGGTGGACGAGGTATGGTTAGCATGGTTAGTAGTCGAAACGTCACGTAAGTTGTCCTGTTAACATCGACCGCAGCATTAGCCCAATCACATTACAGCAAAACCCGAAGGACAGGACATGCTCCGAAGTGGTTTCGGAACGGCTCAAGGGCAGAGCTCTCCTCTAAGCCGATACGAAGCAATCCCAGACCACATCACATTCATGTCAGGCAACGGTTTGACTGAACCGCGGGGCAGAGCAGGGATGTTTAAGCAGTACTACGAAGAAAGGAGCAGTTACAAAACTATCAGCGAACGTTGCAGTATGTACTGCTTCAACGTGCCCGGCGCCTTTGATCACTGGACCGATGAACTGTCCCTTGATAGACTGCCAACTGCTTCAACGGATCTTGCTACTGGTTCTGTCATGGCCTGTAACCCTTCTGCTTCCACAGCTCTCTGGACTCCCCGCTAAAGTGGATGGATCTGACGGTTTCTGCAAATCACAACAGCCGGCAGAAACAAGGTCCAGACATGCCGCCACCACATGCTCCAAGCTCTCTCCCCACATCCGAGCCACCAGTGGCCAATGGTGGGGTTGCAGGGGACTCTATGGGCCTTCGAGGAGGGGATCTGCGCCAAAGAGGACAAGCTTAAGAACACGAAATTCAACGTGAAGAGAATTGTCAAAGCTCGGTATAGTAGATAAGGATATCTAAAAGTATGCCAGAGCTTTATTCATGAGGCAAATCGATAGCTTGTGTTGCCACTGGATGACATGAATAGTCTCAAAATCGCTCGTATAAAGCTTCAGGCCCTGAACTGGGCGTCTCTCAAACCCGTTGAGAGCCCTGACAAATCAATATGGGTTATCAATGATGCATGCACAACCCCCCGGAGCCGACACCAGGTACAAGTACACGCACTTACAGTTGAAAGGTGGTAATGTGCCGCAATAAGACAGGGTCTCTCACTGGGAACATCAAACTTTGATCCGCACATCAGTCTCACAGAGCTTGGACGGTTTCATCGTTGGGCGACAACTAACCATTCGGTGTGATTTGCTAATAATGCCGTATGCAGTAAAAAGACTATTGCTAAAATAACCCATAATTCATCTTACTGGACAAACTTGATAAAAATAAGATAAGCTTCATTGCAAACTCAACGGGAATATACATCGAACCGCAACTCGGATCCTTGTCAACCCCAGCGTCAGGTTGCGTTTATTTAGCAATACTCCTGGTTCGGACTTGAGGCAATCCTTCTATGTATTGGCGCTTGCCGATAGACGTACGTTTTTTGCATATTCTTTCAGTCCATCTAAGGCCGCGGAGTTGCACAGGGTATCAATTATCCCTCAGCTAAGTTTATTCAGCTTGTATGGCCAAGCGCTGTTTACATGACAAACCCATTTCCGTAGTCCTTGGGAAGATCATTCGACTGTTCTTCAACATGGGCGTCGCTTTCACTGAGTATCAAAAACACACTTACCTTCTACGCATTCCTTTATGATTGTTGTTCGTTCGAGAGGGTTCACAAGAAAGCCGTCCCCTCCACAGCGTAAGCGAGCTGCGACATCGTATAAGACGTTAAAGCTGTTTGTTTGAACATACATACTGGCATACATGTTTAATCTCCTAGTCAGTTCATTAATACTGGCTACCCTAATGTCGATTACACTCCAGGGGCCACACCCCACCTTGACCTTGCGGGATCTAGATATCCACGGGGTCCATTGATGTCCAATCTTCGTTTCCTCGATGGCTGTGTTGCCAGCAATGGCACTAACACTACCTGGTCTCTTGCTGGAGGGCCGTGCTCAGATCTTCACATCTACAGTGCCATTCAATGTGGTTCCCTCCCTAAACAAGACACCTCTGTGACCTCACCTACCCCTTCGGTGTATCTTGTGCGAGCCTCTTCAAACTCCACAGAGGAAACGCAGAATATATTTAATTTTTTTCTCTAAAACTATGGACTCTCGCTGCTCGTTGCTGGGGGACCGAAGGAGGGTCCTGCGAAACGCTCGGCGTAAAGGGGAGCGAGCATTAAACTGACCCCGCACTAAGGTTCTGAGAAAGAAAGAGCTGACCCTCGTTCTTCTCTATGGTTTTGGCAAGGTCATGAGTGGCTCTCCAATTCCTGGGGCAGCCGTTCATCCTAGTCCCGAGTACACATTCCCAATTCTGTCTAGCTTTTCTCCCCATGTACCACCCCCCGTGACGTTCCCTAAGACCGACGAGACGTTGAAAAGCCTCGTGCAGTGCTTTTTGGCTCGCGGACCCGCAGGTTTGCTGGTGGTCATGAGCAATTGCGGCTCCGCTGCGTCTCCGTCTCGCCGGCAAAGGCGGGGACGGCCCCACACACCCACCCCGCCTCCGATTCAACCTCTCCCCAGGCTCAAATTCTAAGCGCTCTGAACCTTTTCCCCTTACGGCCAACTTTGAACATGGCCACATACATGGGAAAGATGCGCCTCGTTTTTCATGGTTTGCGGCTCATGGCGACTTTCCCAGGCACCGACCATATACCAACACTTTTGGATCAGTAGCCTTGCGCTTAAGGAGTGGTTATCTCATTTTCTCAGAGGCTAGCCACCTCTAAAGGTGATCCGATCCATCATATCAACAGCATTCCTCTAATATGATAGCTTTTCTCGAGAGCCGCAAACTTACATAACCTTTCAGCCCTGCTCATCGCCTCCGCAAAACTGGTCCAACGGCAGTCTGGATGCACGCAACATGATAGATCATATGCTCCCCACAAACGAGAGTCGCAATTGGAGATGACAGGACGACACTGGAGACCCCAAGGCAGTGATACATACCTTGTTGAAGCCCATCCGCCATCTTCAAAACTGCGGCATCGACGGATCCGCGACTTCATGCTTGCTTTTTACCCCGCCAGATCACTTGTCTTCTCCGTACATACCGTAGGTACGACTACCCCACAAACGGGGCCGCAGGCCGCAGTCTTCTCCTCGTCCCCGACTTTAGGGACTTGTTGGGTCGGCGACGGCTCCGTTCTTTCCCTGGGGTGGGATTAGACGTGTCAAGCTAGATGTCTGCAGGTAGATCTGACCCCAGACTTGTGCTTACCATGGACATTATAATGGCAGGTAAATGTGGAGGAATGATAGGCTACCATGCCGTGGGTTGGGTTTGACAGGCATCTCCTATCGCCCGGCCCAATGGTAGTGGGACTTAGACTAGACTAGTATTCCTCTCAACATCTCATACATTGAATCTATGGGCTGATGTTGCTGGGGCCGTTGATGAGTCGACCGGTTGCCGGTAGTGTTCGGGAGTTGCAAGACCCCGCATGCCCCAGATTCTCCAGATATGAAGGCATTAAGTTCTGTTGCTACCCCTAAAAGTCCTGGCCTACGTACGCTTTCTTTTTCCCAGATGCGTCTGAGTTGAGAGTCATAATAGCTCCGTTGCTTAGATGGCAATTGGCGAATTACTTGCTTCATTTCCAGGACCACTGCCGTACAGTATTCAAAACATGGGGATCCTCACTACCTTCCTTCTTTTCCAGGACTCCCAAGATTGCCAGCTTAAAAGAAGAGGCTGTTTTTGATGCGCCGACTCTTATACTATGAGAAACCTAGTATGACTTACCTGGGCTCCATCCACGAGCAGCTGCTGTGCTTGAGGTAACTGGCAGCACTATGCTAGATGAATTAGATTTCTGAATACTCATCTTAAAAACCACTAGCTGTCGAGATGCCCTCAAACAAATAGAACGAGCAAAATACGTGAGAGAACAAAAGCTACTGTCTCCCAGTTTATCTGGCTTATAGCCTGCCCTCTATTTCTTCTTGGGCGTCCTGACCTCAAATTTTATGTAGAATACCTGCTCAGATCGATCACCAAGTGGTGCGGTCTGTTAAGCCTTTCTTCCAAAGTATATTGTCGCTTGGGGAAAGACTTTTTGGAACTGTTTTTGCCATGGGAGTGAGGCACCTGTTTGATTGCTTGTGGCCACGGGATGCTGCAGTGCCAACATTTAATGTACCTAGGTAAGTAGGTACTGATTCACAGCGCAGCCTTAGGCGCTGGCTCCTCTTCGTAATACCAGGCAGGAACCTTTCCTTCCCATACTCAGCCTGATCGCCTAATATTCACATCCTCTTCTTCGCGACTCAGCACACCAAGGTTTCCACCGTGCAACTTTCCGGCTTCTTATCTTTGTTTGTTTCACTTCACCATGGCAGTATTGGACGAGGTTCCTCTTGTCACTGCACGTGTTCGAGTAGCCGGAGAGCTCGCGACAGAATACGACCATCTTGATAATCAAGAATCCGTGATCAACCTTGACAAGGAAGGGACCAAGATCCCTACAAGAAACTGCTACATCGAATCCAAGTCAGGTGCTGAGTTTGCCGTCGAAGTCACGGTCTCTGACAAGTACCGACTCCCTCATTCCCACGACACGCTCATCGCTGAGGTCTCCATTGACGGCCAGGTGATGGAATCTTGTTACATAAGGACACCTTTTTCTCCTGGCATGCCATCTACCATCGTCATCTCAAGCGCTGAGTTCTTAGCAGAGAAAGAGAGAGTGGTTGCCAGAAAATTTGTCTTTGCTCCTATTACCAAAACTTGTAAGCCTGCCTACTAGGTAGGTATCATTCCATCTCCACTAACAACGCATCAGCCGATCGCATCAGTACTGATCGTCTCAACAATGATATCAAACAAGCAGAAACCTTGGGAACAATCCGTCTGCTTCTTATCACAGGTCGGTTCGAAGGGCCATGTTTCAAGAAACCTCTCAGCTGGCACGGCGGACGAGATGTGGAGTTGGCTGAAAAGGCACTGAAAGGCAGAGCAATAAGCCATGCAACCCTGTACGTTATTGAACACTTACCTTTTGGATAAAAGATCTAATGAAGGTGGCAAGGCTGGCTGAAACAGACAAGAAACCGCATCTGAATAGATCAACGATTGGGCACAGGCGCCTACTGGGAGAAATCTTCTTTCGTTACCGATCCTACCGTATGCTCTTGCACCGATGCATACATCTCCTTCTTCGACGCCATTTTCTAACTTTCAATGCAGAAGCGCTCCAACATGAGATGATTATTCCACGCACTCCGTCACCTAAGCTCTCAGCTACAGCTGGACTTGATGAAGATTCCCTTTCTCACCTCTCCGAGAGTGACATTCGCCGTCTTGCTCTGGAAAGACTACATGACACTCAGGTAAGGCAACTATTCGAACTTCGGCAATTGCGCACACCTAAGACCTGGCTAGCCAGGCCATCTGCTGTCACTTTTTCGGGCTTACTTTACTAACCTAATCCAGGCCAAGGATGAGGTTTCTCAGGTCAAACGGGAGGCAGCGGAAAACCCCCGTACGCCTCGACAATGGAAGTTTGTGAGACTGGAAGATGGGAAAGAGGCTGTCGACCTGACAGATGATTGATCTCAGAATGACAAATCTCTGCCTCGAATTGCGAGCGTTTATGTATTTAGGGCCCTTACTGTTCTGGAATCCTGTCGTAAAGAAAGGAGGTCCTAAAATATCCACCCATGGGTATTGGCGCAGGACAGGAAAAAAAAAATAAGCCGTCTTGCCATGTCAGAAAGACATTTTAGGCATGTTCATCATCTTTTGATTCGAGTACATACTCTGCTCTCTCCTATTGTCCCGTGCAACGTCAGACGCATTTGTCTTGATCTTTGCCATTGAGCTATCGTTTTTGGTTGGTTAGTGGAGCTCTGATGGCCGAGGCTTAGTGCAGTCCAAGCTTGTACCTGCAGCGTAAGCCGTGATTGGCTGCTATAGCTTGCTGCTAAGACGCTAAAGTGAGCCTCCTCCATCTCCTTTCGCGGAATACCCCATGACGTTACAGTTTAACTCCTCCCTCGATGACCAGCTCTTCACTTTTCATCAACATTGTATCGTCGCCGTCCTTGGGTCCTCCACCGCCTCGAACTCGAACATGCACACGTATAGATATGCTGCATTTGCCGTCTCATAGCCGCCTCCACGTACGCGCTCGTCGCTGAGCGGCCTCCTTACCCGCAATGGCTCCTGAAGCTCCCAGCAACATCCGTGTCTTCATACGCTGGCATGACCAGACTGTCTTCGCCGGCGAGGAAGTCAAATGTACGATTACTTTTAAGAACGCGGCACCAATACCAGGCCAGCCGAAACCACAGCCGCAACAATCGGAACGAAGTCGACTGGCCTCGCCTTTGCATGGTCGCCCCAAGTTAAACCAAGGATTGACGCCACCGCCGTCAGCATCTTCCGGCAGAGGGCATCGTCGTTCTGCCCTTTCTTTAAGCGTTCCTGCATCGCAATCACATAGCCGTACTGGCTCAGTCCAATGGCCTTCATCAGCAGGCTCGAGTGATGGTCGCTCAAGCCACTCTCATAAGCGTTCTGTTTCCATTGTCTCGATAGGATCCAATAACACCGTGGAAGACCACACACAACGAAGCGATTTGCCGTCGCGACCTCAAAGACCGCACCGAGGCCATGGGCGAGCCTCAAGTTTACAGATCATTCCTCGAGCGCAGGGCCAGCTCCCAACCGGGCCTCATTCCGGTTCGTCGCTTACACAGTACTATTTGAACTTGGAGCTAATTCTTCTCAGCATCCTTTTCTCCTCGTCTCTCGAGCTCTCCTTTGTTTCACGCATCATATCCTCCACCTGATCGATTCGGTCGCATATCTCGACAGCCAACAACTCCTCACACGCCTATTACAGCCGGCCAACGAAGATCATCGCCGCAACAAATGCCGGAAAATCCAATGCCGGAATTTCGCTTCCCTGCCGCTCCCTCACCTGCTCGAGAAGTACGCCCAAGTTTATCTAGACGATCAACAAACGAAAACATGCTCAGCCCTAGGAACGCTGTGGGCGATTCCAGCGGACTGTCAATGCGCCTCAAGGACGGCGTTCCGACGATCAATGAGCAGCCTGCACCCGCGGCCCGCATTCTAGCAAGCAGCGGCGTCCTCGGAGGCACACCGCGGAGTAGTGGAGAGTTTTATTCTGTCAGCAATAACTCGTCAGAAACCCTGGTATCGGAATACGTGACACAGCAGCCAACTAATCGTGGACACGCACGCCCACTTAGGAGAAGCCTTGGTATGCCAGCGCCACAGTCGAGAGCGCCTGAATCTTTGATGATGGGTTATGCTCAATTACACGGCTCTTTCTCGTTAGACGGGTCCCTTGTCAGTCTCAGCCAATTTGACCAAGTCAAAAAGAAGGCTATAGTTGGCCAAGGTGGTGGCGTCGTTGGTCTCGAGTCCAAGCGCGACAGCGGTCTTCTGGGGGGATTTGGATGGGGTCGCATCAGCAGCTCCCTGGGCGATTTCTTAGGGGGAGGGGAGCTCAGCACAATCAAGGAGATGCGAGGGGTTGCAAACTCGAAATCTGTGCCTCTCTTGACTACACCACAGTCCATTTTATTTGTTGATCTGCAGCTTGCACCAGGAGAGAGTCGAGTTTTCGAGTACTCTTTTCGACTGCCCAAAGGGCTTCCACCGTCCCATCGCGGAAAGGCCGTCAAAATCACATATAGCTTGGTTATTGGCACGCAGAGGGCTGGAGGAACAAAGGAGCAGCAAGTGAAGTCTGTTGAAGTTCCTTTCCGCGTATTGGGAAGTGTTAACAGCCACGGTGAGATATTGGGACATGACCTGATGAACCCTTACATCCTATTGCGGGACCAGGCCCAAGTGAAAAGTCCCTCGAGCAGTGATAAGGGATCAAAAACCAACGGCAATGGAGCCAAAGGACAACAAACTGCCCTGAATGACTTTTTATTTTACGTGGAAGACCTGGTCCACCGACCACGAGATGAGAGTGGCAGTATTCTTCTTTCTCCGGCCGCTGGTAACTCTAGGCGACCATCGGCATTCGAGGAAGCCAGCAACGCACACGATGCTATTCATATGGCAATCATGAGAAGCAATATGACCTCTGGCGGGCAACAGAGCCCGAACCGATTCGAAATTGCACGAAATGGGCAAAGGGTTGGTGTAGTGATGCTCACGAGGCCTGCCTACCGACTAGGGGAAGTTGTGACAATGGCCATCGACTTTACAGACGCTGATATTCCGTGTTACGCCGTGCATACTACATTGGAAACATCAGAGAAAGTGGACCCGTCGTTGGCAATAAGATCAGAGTCGAGCATCCACCGAGTGACCCGGAAAGTTTATTCGTCTTCATCTGAAGCAACATTGTACTCACGACGAGTCACCTTCAAGCCAACGATTCCCATCACTGCAACTCCTGAGTTCGTTACCAGTGGTGTCAGCTTGGAATGGAAGATTCGTATCGAGTTTGTGGTGCCTTCCACGGGAAGTGATTCCCCCGCTGAACACGAAAGACCAGCATACCACCCATTACTGGAGCAGATTTCACAAGATGAAAAGGGAGGGACGGTCCTGGTGGCAGTAGAAAATCTAATATGTGAGAGTTTTGAGATCGCCGTACCTCTACGTGTTTACGGCGCAGTTGGAACAGGACTAGAGCGGCTTGAGCGGGACGAGGCTTCTGAAGAAGGCCTTGCTGTATGATGAGAGTTGGACTAACCATATGTTTGGTGCTGGGTGTTGGATATTTACTACTATGGGATCTGAAACAGCTCGGTTTATAAGACAAGGAGCTTGTTGCAAATAGAATATTGGAGTTTGTATGACAGATCAAAAAGAGCGGGAGCACTGGTAATTGAAGAAATTAACTTGTTCTGGTAAGCATGAGCCATTAGCGTCAGGGATTTTGCGAAATGGATGTCCCCAAGGGTTGTTTGTGAGCCTTGAAGCTGTGTTGCCAAATAATAGACCAACTGTGATGAAGACGCGTTCGAGTCTTAAGGCGGTTGTCAAAACGGAACTGTGCACAGATGGATTCCCTCGTTTAAGAGCTAGGGCTCATGGATTGACTAGCTTCCCAATGGCCAATGCTAGGACTCTAAACCGAGATAAGAATGAGTGAGACAGATCAGAATTAAATGGCACAAACATCATAAGCTCAGAATAGCTGAAGGCAAGACTAAAGATACAGGGCTGGTAGAACGGGACGGGGCTGGGTATATCCTCATTTCGCCAAGGACCGGGATTAGACAAGCGGTTGACGACTATAGACGAATAAGTAAGGCTGCTTCCCAGGGAAGAAAATTTCTTAGTGGAATTTGCTTCTTTGGTTTATTTTGGTGTAGATACAGATGTGGCTCTCTGGTGTGTTGTTGTTGTTATTGATAATGGATCAGCTGGTCGCTAATAGTGGCTGCTGGCTCGACAACGAGATGGGGTATTGCGAGAACACAGAGAGCGAGAGAGGGATCATCATACGGCTCAAACTGATTTTTCTTGTCAATTTGAAGGAAAGGGTCTTTGCATAGTAGCTGAGAAATCACGATTATCGCGTAAACATAAGACATAAGAGCTGGGAACGTATCCAGGGGTTTAACATCATTGTCACCAACAAAGACTCTAGGTTCAATATTTACCACCGTCCTGGCCTGAAGTGATTGTGAGGTGACAGCCACTAACGGGAAGGCTAGACGGCAAGGATCAAGCCGCCAAGAATCAGCTTGCTCAGACCATTGCCGATACCAAAGAACAGCCCGTGAGATAAACGTCAGGGACTTGGCTCTCATCAAAGCAACAAGGCCCCTGGACAACGAACAGACAAGGGTCCATGTAAACAACCCAGCAGAACAACTGTTAGGCGCCCACCGAGGACATGGAGTTTGGACTTGGTCTTTGATAGGTATGATTAGACTATGATATTGACGGGAAGGGAATGGCCTGGGGGTTGGGTTGAATGAGAGTCATCAGCATTCCATCCCACAAGCTGGTGCGAACCTTCTTTCTCTTTCCTTTCCTCCTCACCAACCGCTTTCGTTGGGAGATCCAATGTTGCTATTATTTTCAATCTTCTTTGTCGCTCACTAACCAACTTTGCCAGTCATTGTAAGTTGCTAACTCGCTCTAAAGAGGTCGCTATCCCGACCTCTCCGCTACAGCAACTGACGCCTCATCCGCAGCCTTACATATTTCCATCTCTTGCTTTCTGAATCTCGCTGCCATTAGCCCCCGCAGGCCCGCAGCAGCTTCCCGACTTACACCGCCCGCCATCCACTTTTGCAAACATCATCCTGCTTCTGTTGCTCTTTTGTTCGTGGGCAATGGGAATTGGTTGTTCATTCTTTAGTTCTACTGTTGCTCTTATATCATAAAGGAAAAATTTTCGGTGTTCTCGTCGCTCTTTCAAGCCTTCGGTGCTTGCGCTTCTGATACTAGCACCACTTTCTGATACTTCACCATTACACCATCTAAATCCACACTAGACAATCTTCTCGACGACAAACCCACCAAAATAACATCATCAAGTGTCAATGGAGGAAACATGGCTGCGACACCTTCCAACGGTCGTTTGAAACTCACTCCTTCCAACTCTCCCTTTCTGGCTCGCCCTTCTAGATCCTCTAGGTCGCCTATGCGTGGTCGCGCACACGATGCCTCGAAGCTCTCCCTCCAGCGTGTCATTGGCACAACATGTTCCTCTCCAACAGGGTTCGATACTCTCCCGTCTGTCTTTGCATACATAGCTGGAGGTGCTGTTGTGGTGGTGGATGTTAATGGCGATAATCACACTCAACGTTTCTACCGAGCCCGACCGACCGCCGTCCCACTCTATTCCGTAGCAACCTTCCAAAACACACCCACGACTCCCTCGGGAACACCAAAGGCGAACGACAGTCGGGGACGTGTAGGCCCGCGGTTCCCTAACTCACCGCACACTTCGTCCGATTGGAACGAGTCTCCTAGCAATACCTGGACGAGTCGCGAGCGGATCAAGGCTGCAACATGCCTTGCGTTAAGCCGCGATGGAAAATATTTAGCTGTTGGCGAGACTGGATACTCCCCACGAGTTCTGGTTTTTAGCTTACATGATACTTCTTCTGACAGCCCTCTTATATCGATCAGCGAACATGCTTTTGGGGTCAATTGTGTTGCGTGGTCTGCAGACACCCAATATCTTGCGTCTCTAGGAGCCGCCAACGACGGATTTCTCTATATCTGGAAGGTCGACCCTCGAACAGGCGCGGCTAGACTTTATAAACAAAACCGATGCACATCATATGTGAAAGACATGGTATGGATGGGCAATTCTCTCATCACATTTGGCGTCCGCCATGTCAAGATGTGGAAACCTGATGATGGCCCGACTATTTCGCCTACGAAGCAGAAGTTCTTCAGTGAACAGCCGGCCTCTACTCCACCCTCTCAAAGAACCCTACCAGGGCGTAACATCCTGCTAGGACCTCTCTTGGAGGATACTTTTACTTGCGCTGCTGTCGTTAAAAACTCTAGCCTCATCATTTGCTCGGAAACGGGTGGTGTATGTATCATGGCGGAGGACGACAGACAGATGAAATTGCAGAAGGTCCTTGGTTTGGACTTCTCCATCTCGACTATTGCTGTCAAGGACAATATTGCCTACGTTGGTGGTAGACATGGCCATTTTGCCGTACTTGACATTGAAGCTGTTTTGGACGCTCAACCGCCGTCCGCGTGTATAAAAGAGACTACCTTCTGCCCTACAGGACAAGTTGCCCTGGGTTTTCTGGCAAACAAGCTTGTCACCATTGACTCGCAACAGTCCATTGACATCTGGAGCTCAGACCATGTGCCTGGCAAGAACACCAAGGCAGTGGCCAGCATTCCTATCCCTGGTCATGGACAGTCTGTTACAGGCATACAGGTCCTGGAGCGACCAAATGATCTGAACGCTTCGTTTTTGACATGGACAGTTTCTGGGAATGTTTCCTTCTGGACATTGGAAGGTCAAGTCAAAGCCTCAATTGATGTACCAATTGGAATGACTGAACCAGAAAACGAACTGGACCCGGTCAATCAACTGACCTGCGCCCGTGCAACGAATGATGCTAAACTTCTTATTTCCGCCGATAGAATGGGCGTGTTACGAATGACGGACATCGCCACAAAAGAAGCCGTTTTAGACATCAAGGCACATACAGCCGATTGTCGATCCGTCAGTGTCTATGACAGGGATGGTAAATTTCTCATGGCGTCTTGTGGACGAGACAGAACTGCACAGCTCTTCCACCGGACTGCAGTCGGCTCCATTGAGCATTTTCAGACATTGGAATTCGCTGCGAAGGTCGTACAGGTTATGATTCCGTCCGAAGACAAGGTGCTAACCTGTTCATTTGACCGAACATTACAAATTTACGATATCATCACAAAAGAGGGCGACCCCGATTCAGTTGCCGCTATCCCTTCCAGAGTAATTTCTCTCCGAGCCTCGCCTAGCTCGATGGTTTTGGGTATGGGCCAAAGAACTGTCTTTGTCTCTTTACTAGATCGGTCTATTTGCCAATATGAACTCAACACGGGGCGTAAGATCTCTTGCTTCAAATGTCAAGACGAGACAAAAGGCGAGTCGGCTGTTCTTGACTCGCTCTGTTTTGGGCAATGGCCCCCCAAAGACCAAGACTTCCTCCTCGGAACATCCAACACAGACAAGTCCATTCGACTATACGATGCCCAGACAGGGAGCTTCTTGGACCGAGAATGGGGTCACACCGAAGCGATCAACGGTGTTTGCCTTATCGAAAATGATGATGGAAGCCGCAAGGTTGTGAGTGTTGCATCAGATGGAACAATGATGATATGGGGTCTGGATTTAAATGATTCTCTGCCTGGTTCCACGAGTAGAGAGCCGTCGCCCGCCAAGGACTCTGTATCAGGACGACCGCCACTTCGCAGGGTCTTGTCGAAGGCTGAGCTAGCTGAATTCCAACGACCTTCGCCAACATCTGGTCGGAGATCCCCACCCCGAACACTACAGCGGAGGACTTCGCGATTCAACCTGGCTGCTAGCGTCAGAACACCTACACAAGGGCTCCCAACAAGTCCTAGTAGCACATTGGCAGAAGATACGCCATCAAGACGACCTTCCGCTGACCCGCGGAATAGTCCCCCAGTGTCTCCAAAGGGAAAGGTCACCAGACGACCTTCTCTTCCAACTCTAGGCACAAGTGCACGCAAAAAGACATCCTCATCAAACTTGCGAGGCTTTGGCTCGTTAAATATGGCGACAGAACAAACCTGCCGTCAACTTAGATCATACAGGAAGAAGCTTGCTTCCTCAGAGCCGATTAGCCAAGAAAATCTGACAGAGCTAGATCAGGAGTTGCGACTGACGGCAGCAGCTCTCGGTGACCGGGCTATTCGGAGCAGAGCCATGAACGAGACGGTCCTCAGTGGTCTTCTGGATCAATACTCAGAGAGACTAGTCACATTACTGGACGAAAAGCTGCGTCTCAGCTACCAGCCAAGATCTCCAACTGAAAAGGATGGAGACAGTCGAGACGGAGATAGCCCAGATGAGGAGGCCAGGCGCAGTGTTAATGGATCCTCAAGTTCGCTTTCTCCTTAAGGTTTTGTCCTTGCCCGTTCATGAAGGACTACTTTCTTTTTTTCTTGCTATACTTAATTCAAGAGGGCAACGGCGTTAAATGGTGGTGGATTTTATGGGATGGGCAGCGGGGGAATAAGGCAAGCATCTAGTGTATCTTGCTGCCAAGTTCCAATATGATACCATGGGTCTGGAGTTTTACTGTTACTTTGTCAGGGATATAATAATCCTTTATCATAGCCAAAATCAGCACTTCTTGCCAACGCAATGGACGTGATCAGGCGCCCAAATACTCTTCTCGCATTAACCAACGAATTCAGGTGAAACTTTCGTAAAGTTGATATATTGCGTGACCAGAAACCATATCTCTCGTTTTACATGATCGCTTGCCGCGCCTGTTACGTGTTGGCGTTCAGGGGTATCACGTGCTGAGCCAGGCTTTAGCGTCAATGTAGCTTGGACGAACTCAGCCCAATTTTTCTTCCCTGCATCATCGAAATCAACCATCAATCAACATTATCGGCGATTTAAATCACGTGATATTCTAACAGACGGATCGCCCAGACGAGCAAAAAATTACTACACCATTGGTTCGACGATCGAGCGCGTTTCGCAACAAGAAGCCCAAGAAGCCCAACGCACCCGATGAAAGGACTAGAGGTCGCCATAGACGGTTCTGGAGTCAGTGATTAAGGTTGCCTGTACGTGTTTGATTGATAGAACCCCGACCATGACGTAGCCGTACCTGTGTCGCGACAGACGCCTAACTAGAGTACCATAGACCGTGGCGCCAGTCCATCTTCTTGCTCGACGTGAAGGCCCCTTGGATAGCTGGCGAGGTGGACCGCGGGGCATGAATCAACCAGCCTTCCACACGCCCCTCGAGTCGCTGCTATTATTCCAGTCGTTGGTAGCCCAAGGATTCGACAATGGGGTCTTCGCGCGTATCTCTGAGCAACTCATCAACAACGCGCTCATCAAGGAGGGATCTACTTATGATCCCGCACGATTAAGACCTGATGCGCTTCAACATCTGTTTCTGCGACTCTTGGGGGATGAACTGAGGGGTGAACATGAGAAGGCTGCGACCGACGATCCGACAACATCACCCAACTCGCGAAAACGAAAGCTCGGGAGCCCACCTTTGCCAACACTTAAGGAGATTTACGAACATGTTGACAGAATCCCTCTGCTTATGGATCGCCTATATGAGCGATATAAGGATAATACCGTCGCGCAAATTCGAGAGGATGAGCGGAGCTTCGAGACGTCCCAGAAGGAAATTCAAGCAATGGAGCGATTCGAACGAGAACGACGCGCTAGAGTCGCGAGCCAGAATGGGACACCCGTACTTGCTGCTCGTGATCAGAAGTCTTCCGTTGCGCCTAATGGGTCAACATCCTCACCTGCTATGGCAACAAGCTCGGCGGCACCCGTTCGAAGAGGTCCAACACAACAGACGCCTGTGATCCCGCCCAAACCGCTTGTCCCTCACAACACACAAACAACAGTTGCACCGCCTAGCCACATGCCCACTACAACGGCATCGATCCGACCTTCAACCTCACCAACTCCGCCGAATTCTAGCGGGTCGGTGCTTCAGCCTCCAGCAGGTGTCCCTCAGACAACACCACGACCATTACAGGCGCCACAACCTCTTAAGCAGAGTCCTACTCCTAGACCAGAGAACGGGGCCAAGCTGAAGGATGGCAATGCGGCTCCAGGAGCTGCTCTGAAGTGGGAGAAACCTTATCAACCACCACAGACAGCTACACCCCCTCCTCGACAGGTTCAATCACCCGTTGCCCAAGGACCAACAGCTCTCCCGCCAGCGCAGCAACAACAGCATCTACAACAACATCCCCAACAACAACACCCACAGCAGGTACCATCACAACAGCATTGGTACCCTCAACAAACTGCCCAATTCTCTCCCAAACCTGGTGCTCAACCATTATCTCATCCTCAAACGCCCCAGCAGGCTCGGCCACATTCTGTTGCTCCACAACCTCCCCAGACACAGTCTCAAGCTCAAACTCATCATCAACAACGCCCTCACCCTCCCCAGGTTATTCAGCCACCACCACCACCAACGCCGCCAGCTCCCCACACTCCTCGGGCTCAGCACGCTACGCCGACACAACATACTCAACAAATCCAAAGAATCCAAACGCCTACACACGCACAGCATGCTCAGGCTCAACAATCTTCGCAAACTCAACCTGTCACCCATGCTCAGCCTCAGTCTTTGCCACAACAGCATCAGCAGAAGCCACGGCCAAATTCAACAAAACCAGGCCTGGCACCGCCTCAGCATGCTGGTCAGCTAGCCCCTCCCTTACAGCCGGCACCTCCACGGCCAGTTGCAGAGTCGCCCGGAGGCCAAGCACCCCATGCCCGTCCGTCTTCCACAACGCCCGTGCCACATCCTCGCTCTATCCAGCCCCCCCAAGGGCAGACTCAGCAGGTCCGACAGATTGCCGCAGGCTCCCCAGCTCCTCTTACAGCAAGTGCAAGCTCCATTGCCCCTCCTCAGCAACGCTGGCCGCTTGGATATCAACCTCAACCTCCTCAGCATGGCTCACCCGTCAGCTCTCCTGTGCCATTGGCATCTAAAGCTGATAAGGCTCAATCATCGCAGTATGCTAATCAACCTCCACGACCTGGCGTTTTGGGCCACATCATTCGCCAGGCTCTAAATACCCCGGTCAAGAAGCTTGGGGTGCCATCGGCACCGCACACGCCCATCTCAGCAACACCCACTCACGTTACTCACGGGTTTGGAACAAAATGGGCTCCACATTCCACTCCGTCTACTCCCGGTCCTAGTCATATGAGCGTGGCACCTCAAAGTCCAGCCTTTGAGCCAGTCAGTCCTCCTCAAAAGCCCGCAACGTTACCGAGCTCTGCTGGGTCAACACCAAGGCCTTTAAGAAAGCAAGCACCCAAAGCAGCTTCGAAACTCGAACAGACCGTCTCTAAGTCTGCGCGCGGCCGGTCTGCCAGAGCCGGGCAGAAGGCTCGTGCAGTTAGTTCCACACCTTCTCTCACTCGATCCAGGCGAAGCCAGTCTATCCTCTCTCACACTGATGAGCCTGCGACTCAAACAAGTGAATCAGCACCCAAGATTAAGGATGAAGATGCTACACCTCGGCCCACCGAAGACACAGGCGATACTACCGCTGATGAGAGCGTCCCTGGTCGGCCTCAGATCATGACTCCTGGTAGTGTCTCTTCGCGCCTCCACAAAAGAAAAAGACAAGTTACACCGGTTAACCCGCCACCCGAGACAACTCAAGTCCTTTGGACGCGAGGTTTCACTAAAGTTTCGTCATCTGCTCTGGATCAGATTTCTAGCCATCGCGATGCGAACATGTTTGCCACCAGGCTTCGTGAGAAGGACGCGCCAAATTATCGCCAGATTGTGCTGCAGCCTCAAGATATAACATCCATCCGGTCTGCTATCAAGCATGGGAATAAGGCGGCTGTCCAGGCTGCAGCCAGTCTTCCCGGCGGTGATCCTGGTACTGCGCACGTGTGGCTACCTATATCTGACGAGCTTGTTCCTCCAAAAGGCATTATCAACAGCGCCCAGCTTGAGCGCGAACTTGTCCACATGTTCTGCAACGCCATCATGTACAATGCTGACCCCGATCGCGGTCCTGGGTCTGGTTTTATGAAACGCTCTCAGGACGAGGAGGAAGAAGAAGTAGTGGGCTACCGCCTCGACGAGAATGGCGTTGTAAAAAATACCCGCAGCATGTTTGTTGAGGTTGAGAAGCTCTTAGGTGATCTACGAAGTGCAGAAAAGGAGCGTAGCGCGCCTCCGCCTTCGGCTGTCCGTCCAGCTAGCGTCGCTACCCCCGCTGAGGAAACGGGCGACGACGAAGATGAGGGTGAACGTGAGACTGTAACAGCCAAAAGGCGTCGCATTGGAGCCCGGGGCTGATCGTCTTGATCTGCACCAATTTGAAAGATCACTATGTCTTCCTTGTGAATTTCGGCTTCATAAACTGCAAAGGGAAGCAGCATGTAATTTTTATTATTATTATTGTGTACAGCGTCTAGAATAGCTAGCCCCTTGATAATCACCAACCGATCCAGACTCATGTCACTTTGACTGAGGCCTCTTTCATGCGTAATTCATACCCTTATCATGGGTCGGTGACATGCCCGATCACACTGCGGTAAACTCCCTGCGCCTTTGCCAATATTCAAGTGTCATCATGCCATCATCAGGTCGAAAGTGCCGGAATTATTCGAGCTTCGGAGCCCCTTGTGATGTGCTTGACCGATTACTATGTGCACCCTTCTTGGAACTTGCATCATCATCGGCAGGTCTCTTGCGAGGCCAGTCGGGGCATATATCAATGTTGTCCCTCGGAAACCACCACTCTAGAAACAGGAAAAAGAGGTAATCCACAACACAACAAAGACAGAAGAGCTTTCCAGCCCAGATACCACAACCATAGTAGCGCTTTAGACGATCTATAAGAGCAAAATTGCGTATACGGCTACCGTAGCCTGATGTATCAACACCGTAGAATTCGTCCTCGGGGATGGTGCCCGAAATGCCGTCGTAGACGCGCTCCGTGCGCAGAGCGACATTTTGCCATGAGTACATCTTTTTGACTTGCTCGTGAAATTTCTCGGTACGAATCTTTCCGGCACGCATCGCACTGATGGCTTTGCTTGTGGCGAGGACAATATCGTCTTCTTCTGGTTTGGCGAATGTCGTCATATGCGAGGGGAGGACTTCTGGGATGCCTCCAACCTGTGTACACACGACATAAAGCCCGCAGCTGGCGGCTTCAACAATGACAGTTCCGAAAGCCTCGGTAAGAGATGGGTGGAGGTAAATGTGGCCTCGAACCATGACATCTCTAACTTCTTCGTGACGGATGGGACCGAGCATCTCGACACGATCCTGGAGCACGTTTGTTTCGATCATTTGTTCAAGGTCGATGGCTTTAGGGCCGGAGCCTGCAATGATAAAGCGGGTGTTTGGATGATTTTCCAACACACGTGGAATAGAGGCAATGAGGAGGTCAGTGCCTTTATTGTAGAACAAGCGCGAAATAACGACGATTGTGATGGTATCGCGAGGTCCGATACGCTGAGGTGGAGGATAGACAGGTCCTTCTGAGCCAAAAATCGTGGCTTGGGGAGACGGTGACGCTGGGACGTCCTTGGGACGAAAATTTTCTGCAACAACAGCGTTTGGTATCACAGAGACCATGACTGGATCGAGTGATGCGCGAAGGACCGTGTTTTCCTTACTAAGACTCGTCATTAAATGCTACTATAGTTCGTTCAATGGATTGCTATCTTACCATGTATGGCTGACACAAATGCTATGATCAACATCACTCAAAGTAAACTTGAGGAGCTTGTTTGTGAGAATTGTTCCAGCGTCGGCAAAGCCAAAGAGTGAATGATCTGTAAAAACAGTACGTAACCCCATGGTACGAGCATGCAAGATAGCTTCATGGCATAGACTGCTGAGGCTGCCATGGCCATGCACAATCTCGATGCGCTCACGAATGCAAATATTTCTGAAAATGGGGAAGAACGAAAAGACCGTTGGAAATGTTGCCGAACGATAGATGACGAGGAAAGGAACGTGATAGACCTTGACGCCGTTTGTGAGGTACCGCACGCCCTTCCGGTCGTCGTAGGCATGAGTTATGATGATGACTTTGTGGCCACGGTCGACAAGCTTCGTAGCGAGTTGGTAAATGTGAGATTCGATGCCTCCTGGTTGCGGGAAGAAGAAGTCGCTAACCATGGCGATATTGTACGTGCGGCGTGTCATGATGGCGGTTGAGGATGAAAAGGGGGATGCAGCATGACTGGAACCTTGATTGTGTGTACCGAGGTCAGCACTTGCTGAGGCTTATAACATTTGTGTTCAATTGAAGACGTTTGTTAGTATTGGTTATTGTGGATGAGATGTCTGTCGTATTCTCATCTTGTACTCCAAGCAACTACATACAGAGTAAGTTCAATGCTTGAGCGAGCTGAGCAGGGTGCGAGCATACCAGTGGAGTCGCTAGGTCGCTACCGACTTTAGGGTATTACAAAGGAAAGAGTAGTGCCTCTACTAATTGCGTAATATCAACGGTATTTTCAAGATATTTCATATATCATATATCATATTGGTAATGAAAAGAAGATATCAATTAAAGAAGGTAAACTTTTAAACAAGATGTTCCAAACACTGAAGCCACCTCTGCACCAGCTTGGGTTGTTCTGAGAGGAACATAAGACTAACCTGTTTCGCTCAAGCGTTTCCTCCACTGCGCCCCAATAAGCGGATCAATTTATGATTTTAGCGGTGTAAGACGGCAGAACCTCAATAAGTCCAAGAACTACCCAAAATTTTGGGAATTGAAAGCACTTCAGGCCCCTCCATCGCGATTGATTCTACACAGCATTTTCGAGAAAATGTACCCCAGATATGTCCCTCACTCGAAGGGTGGAAGCAACTCGAATGCTTCTCCTCCTCACTCGTCATCAAAAACTACAAACAGCACTGCTCCTACTCCTGCAACGAATGCCTTTAGTTTTTCGCGATACGTCCCTCCGAGCGCAAAGCCCATACCTCAATCCATGCACATAGAGACTCCTCAAGTTCAATACTTTGATGACACACCACCGAAAAATACCAAGCGCAAATTAGATACCTCAGATGAGAGCAAAGGAACACCAGGTCCTGATAGCAAGAAGCCCAAGACAGAAGAGCCAACTACACAAAAGGATGGAGAAGATGCGCCGAAAAAGAAGAAGAAGGTCAGAAGAGGCAAGCGAAGAACTGGAGCTACCAATGATGAACGCGAGGATGACGACATCAAGCCCGCGCAAGAGGCTCCCGAGGTCAAACCCAAGGAAGCAGACGCAACGCCCGAAGAGAGCCAGACTTTGGACGAAGATTCTGCAAAGGACAAGGAAAAGCCGAAACGAGATGTGAAGGAAAAGAAAGAGAAGAGAAAGAGGAAGTCAAAGAATGAAGAGCAAGAATCAGAAGTTCCTCACAGACCTGCTCCCGAGGATGAAGATCGCAACGAGGATGTATCCATGACCGACGCGGCAGAACCCATCGAAGAGGTCGAGAATATCCCTGAACCTACCGAACCAGCAGCAAACGAGGAAGATAAAAGGCAAAAGCGCAGGGAAAAGAAAAAGAAGGAAAAGGAAACTGAGCCAGCAGAGGAACAAGAAGATGAACTGCAGACAAACCAGCGCCACAAGACGGTCATGAGCAAGCTAGAGAAGTCTCTTAAGCTTGCCAGTGAGCTGCCCGCGGACGAACGGGATGAAGAGGATCAGGGCGAACTACACGGCCTCGAACCTTTGCCTCAACCAGAGCCGATTAGCTCTCTGACGACCTCAAAGCCGAACTACAGGATTCTACCCTCTTGGCTCGAGGATCCTATCCGTGTTTCTCAAGACACACGCACACCCTTCGCTGAACTGGATATCATACCCAAGGCTTGTCGAGTATTAGAGGAGAAGGGGTTCCGAGATGCCTTCGCTGTGCAGACTGCCGCAATCCCTCTCCTGCTGCCAACAAGCAAGCAACGCGGAGACGTGCTTATATCTGCCGCGACCGGTTCCGGTAAGACACTGGCTTATGCCCTGCCTGTTGCACGAGATATCAGTCAAGGATGTCTCACGAGGCTGCGTGCGCTAGTAGTGCTACCAACACGTGAACTGGTTAAGCAAGCTCAAGAGACCTTTGAACTATGCGCTAGGGCATTCGATGGTGGTGATCGAAAAAGAGTGCGAGTGGGCATCTCCATTGGTAGCCAGTCGCTTGAGGTCGAGCAGAAAGCCTTCATGGATCAGGAGCTTCGATATGACCCTGATACATACAAGAAGCTAAAAGAGGAGACACAACGTCGAAACCAGCTGAAGTGGGGCCTTTCGGCGTCAGAAAATCTCCAAGATCTTGACATGGAGGACACAGACCCTCGATTAAGCCACATGAACGGGTATGTGGTTGATTACCTTTCCAAAATAGATGTTCTGATATGCACTCCTGGACGACTGGTTGAGCATATGGAACAAACAAGGGGCTTCAACCTGGATTACGTTCGATGGCTGGTAGTTGATGAGGCGGATAAGCTACTTGCTCAGAGCTTCCAAGGCTGGCTTGACCTCGTTATGGAAAAGTTCCGGATCAATAAGTTTACCGCACGAGACTTCCATGACATGGACTTTTCTGGTGTTCGTAAGGTCATTCTGAGTGCCACGCTCACAAGAGATCTGAGTCTTCTCAACCAATTGGGTCTGCAAAGACCACGACTGATTGTTCTGGAGAGCGATGGCGATATCCAGATTGCTGAGCATTCTCTGCCCGTATCGTTGAAAGAGCATGCAATTAGAGTGCACGACACAAATCTCAAACCCCTCTACTTACTTGATCTACTCCGCAGTCAGGACATGCTTATGGCAAGCCCGAACAAAGACGAAGAGGAACCCAAAGCCGAAGAAGCTGAAGATTCGGCTACTAGTTCTGACTCAAGCTCCAGTTCTGACTCCGACTCCGACTCCGATGCTACTTCTGACACCAGCTCGGACACATCTTCTGACTCGGATTCTGACACAGAGACCAATACCAAACTCAAGGTCTCGGGACGCACACTTAAGTCTCACATCCCTGTTTCTCTTATCTTCACAAAGTCCAACGAATCTGCACTTCGTTTGTCACGACTACTCGCCCTGCTGGATCCCTCCTTGGCAGACCACATTGGCACGCTCACGTCAACCACACCAACACACATCCGTCGCAAGACTCTCCGGGCCTTCTCTACTGCCTCGTCTCCCATTCGCCTCCTCATAGCCTCCGACCTTGTCGCTCGTGGTATCGATCTTCCCAACCTTGACCACGTAATCAACTACGACCTACCGCCTAGTGTGGCCGGCTATGTTCACCGAGTTGGTCGAACAGCTCGAGCTGGAAGGTCAGGATGTGCATGGACACTCGTTGGCGATGATGAGAGTGGTTGGTTCTGGGGCAAGATTGCCAAGGGCGCTGGAGTCAAGAGAGCTCAAAAGGTTGAGCGAACAAGGATTGAGGAAATCGATGAAAAGAGAGTGGAAGAGTATGAGGCTGCTTTGGAGAAGCTGGGTAAGGAAGCAGGAAGGTAACCGATCATATACTATAGACACCACTAGATGCCAGCACTGCGGGTTGCCTTACGGCTTATATGTCAGAATATGGATATATCTGAGATATCTAATTTTCGATACCCACCAAGACTTATATCTTGTGATGATCCCGTTCCTATTCGATTTGACTGGTGATCTATTGCTGACTGCCTAACTCAAGGGCTGATTGTGAGCTACATGGGCCTTGATGACAGATAGGCAGGCTATCAAAGGATATATATTACGACGCTACACACCCCTAATCACAGTCGGCAACAAGCCAGAAGCCAGGCGTCTACCCATTTAACTCGTGCCCTTCATTGACGCTTCATATTTTGGCCCTCGAATTCGGTTGTACTTTCATGCCGTAAACTTAATCCTCGGTCCAGTTGTTCCGTTCGATAACGGCCGATGGCACGACTCTGGAACCCGATTCATTCTCATGTACACTCCCGTAACCCGGTGATGATCTCTCTGGACGCTCAGGGGCAGTCTCTTCTTCCTCGATGACATCCCTCTCCCTGTCGATCAGTAAAGGGCGGCGGCCATCGCGATGTTGTTCTGATTGTCCACGGTCATGGTTTCGCCAGTTACTCAACCAGCTGGAATCTTTTTTGGTTAGGAGGAGTCCGAGTATCTTGACTTGATATCAGTATCTGAATCCTTACGGAGCTGGAATTTCGGTTTCAGCATACCTGGATTAGCCCGACGACGAGGACGACAGAGAGGTCCAAGAATGACAGTTTCTGTAAGGCTCCTGACCAAGGCTCACGACAGGGACTTCTTCTTCCATATGTTTCAGCACAGTTGCTGGGCGCTGTATTTGGAAAAGGATAGGCTCGGTCTCGGATTGAGTTCAGACCACAGCAGTCAAACGCATCCTGAATATATCGTATACTTCGTGCATCATGAGCACGAAACATACCCATCCACTTCTTATCGAGCATGCATCCCATCATCTCCGACGGCACTGCGCGCTCTAGAAGTAGTGTTGCCAGGATAGTGGTGATAAGAGCTTGAAGGACCTGGACAATCAAAGGAGCAAGCTTAGCTACGCCGCTAGAAGACGACTTAGTAGCACGGCGAATACTAGGATAGAAAGCTGTGTTAAGAAACCCTAGAACCGGGGGAACCACTGTAAGAATTGACAGAGTTGGCGAGATCGCGAGTGAGAGATTTGAACTGCGGACGTGGACAATTCTATACAAGAGTCAGACTTCACCTGCTAACGTGACCAAACTGAGACTTACATTGCCGTTACGAGTAGCACAAGGCTAAGCTAAGAAAGTTGGTCAGTCATAGATTATTAAAGCTCCGGTGTACTCGATAGTTGCCTTACTATCAAATATAGAACTGTGAGGAGAATCATGTTGTTGTTCCTCGTACTCGAGCAGCTAAATCCAAGGGGAAGAATGGCTATGAGTATTAAGTTGAAAAGAAGAATTTACAGGATGATGTTCTTGAAACTGTGTCTGATCAATGAAGAAGGCCTTCCCCGCCTATATGCGGGAGGCCTACCGGCGGAGACTGTTCCAGAGATGATTGATGTATCTCTTGTCTTACCCCCCAAACCTTACTATACTGTGTCATGAATTCTATTCTTATGCAAGTCAGGTGTATGCACAGACGGTGATTGATTGCCTTGTCTTTTGCCGATACTGAGGGATGCTTCACCTGCATCTGAAGAGTCTAATGTTGCACAAAGGAATATTTTTCAACACAACTAGCTCCGTAGTACATACAACATTGCGAAAATGATAAATTTACATCCTCCTTACACTCTCACATATGAGATAGGGTTCAGATATCCGTTTTCCACTGATGTTGGCATGACTGCCATAGCGAATGTGAAATTTCGCGAGGTCGGGCACCTTGCGAAAGAAAGCGCCAATACCATATAAGAGAGACTAAGGAGACGTAAGATGAGAGTGAGTGATTGGTTTCTTGTCATAAAGGAACATAGAAAGGACATAAACAGGATATGAAAAACATGAAAGAAGGTCCGGACTGACGGAGACAGCTCATGATATAAGTCCAGGTGTTAGTAATACCCGCCATTATGTGGGAGGCCAAAATCAATGCTACTTGGCATCACGGCTGCCTTGTAGTCGACTTGTTGGTATGCTGCATCGTCTCCCAGAGACGTAGCCGAGCTGTCACTGGCTTGATATGCGTCTGAGGAATCCGTGGACTCATTCATATCCAACATTGCCGAGTTATTCAGCATAGCCCCGTTGTCTATGGCTTGAAAATCGAAAGGTTCCTCTCCCAAGTCTTCTGGGGCAAATGAATAATAGTCCAAGCAGGAGTAAAGCCCAAAATCGTCAGCTGCTGTGGACGTCTCCTCTGGACTGAGTCCCGGGAAAGGAAGCTTATCTGCAATTATGCGTGGCAGCTCTTGCAGACGTTCCATGACAGTCACCTTCATTTGAGGTTCCCAGTCGTTAAATGCATCTTCTACTGCCATGGCTACTTGGTGTTGAATTGCTGGTTTTGCCTTGATCCAGTAGTCACGCCATTCCTCAGGGTTTTCGACCTTGACGGCTTGCGCCCGAGTGGTTAAGAGTGAAGGATCATAATCTTGGAATATGACTCAGTCTTTGTCTATTTTAGGGTGTGTTTGGAATAGATCCTGTAACTTACAAGGTGAAGGAATGTCAGGAGAATCAGGCTTGACATCAAATAGAGCACAATACCACTCCCTCCACTTCTCAACAGGGTTCATCCTCACTCTTGTTTTCAGTTTCTTTGCTTGTTCCTCGTCGTAGCCATCCAGGAGGTTTCGTTGAAGGCTGCTTGTCTCCTTTACTGGGCACGGCCTCGTCATCCGTTGATGCTTCTTCAGATCTTTCTCATCGTCAAACCGGCGAAGGCATCGATTGCATTGATGCGGAGACAGACTATGTCTTCGCTCGAGATGTTCCCTAGATGTAACTGTCAGTAAATTGCCTTGATAAGGGGTAAGTTTGACTCACTTTACTCGGCCGATTTCAAACCACCCCGGACCACAACATGTTCTCTCAGTGCCGAATCTCTTGGGGTCCCTTTGATGGTAAGGACAAGCAAACCGAGGGCGAGAGTCGTCCTTTGTGGTTTTTGTCCTCTTGTTGTCCTTCTTTCTACGGAACTTGTCGTCTCCTTCTTCCTCATTCTCACTTTCGTCTCTGCCACTTTGACCTTTGGATCTCTTCTGGCCAGCTGACTGGGGTATGTGTTTTCCTGCCTGGAAAGCACGCGAAGTATGTGATCCGGAAGTATGCTCACACTCTTCCTCGAGTGCTTCCAGTCTTCTTTCAACACATTCCGAGGTTGCAGCCATCAAATTATCAACGATATTCTGTTTACGCCGTCTCAGTTCTTTGTTGATGCAGTAGTCCAGGTAGGCCGCCGACGGGTTCGTGGGCTCGACGTCGGATTGATTGGGATCGGCGGCTTGCACTTCAACACTGTGAGGGAAGGGCACGTTGAGAAGCTTTTCACACTTTTCTATGGCCTCGCGACGGATTCTTGCAGCGGGTGAATTGTCTTGACCGCTTCTTAGGTCGTGTTAGTGGCCTCATCATGAAGATGGACTTTGATATGACGATGACTTACTGAGCGCCAGGCGAACCTCGACGGCCCTGACCGCTCTCCTGGTCGTTGCTGGCCCGGGGCTTATTTGATCCACCACTTGAAAGGTTCTGGAAGCACAGTCAGTACATGCCCAACTATTTGAGGCGAGAGTGTGTGATACTTGTTGAGAGTGGTGGCTCTGAGTGGGTTCGGGTGATGCGGAAGACCTCTTGTTTCTAGTTACAAAGACTTGTTCTTCCGAATCTTGCTGAGGCATATCCGATCGCTGGTAAACCAGACGACGGGGTTGAATCAATGAGGAGAAGTTGAATTGATGGCAGAGTTTTGTGAACCGTTTCTTTCCAGCAAGGTATCGGTTTGCGAAGGCGCAGCGTCTATGTTGCAAGGAGAATTGACTTGCTTTGTCCACCACAGAGGGCATTATCAAAAGTTGGCTGATCGATTCATTTGCATATTTAGTTCTAGCTCAGTTGATGTGTGGACTTGGTTGTTGCAAATAAATAGAGTTCAAAAGGGGTTTGAGTGAAATTCTGCCTGATGTCGGAGACAATGTCTCAAAACAATCTTCATTGAACCAAAACCTGGCGGACGCAAAGACGGGGAGTGTGAGGGTTAAATAGTTGGTGAGAGCCTCACGATAGTCCTTTTACATTCAATCTCCCGCAATTGCGAACTCCGCAAAGCCGGGTGTGGCTTCTCCGAGTGAGATCACACACTGACAGGACTCATCTGAGGGCTGAAATTATATTGGATGACAACCATCCAAAAGCTTCGTGAATGGCCAGGAGGAGTGATCTCGCGGGCACCAGTGGGCTATCGAGTACGTTGACTTTCAAGCAGGTAAGTCTAGTATGTATGTCATGTTACATGCATGACTTACTTGTCAACACATCAAACCGATTCTACGAATCGAAAGCCTCAATTTGGCGTCAGTTGTAAACAAGACGATGCCGTTTTGGGTTTCTTCAGCGCCTATCAATATGCTGCCGCAGGTGAGGCGACAGCATAATGGTTCGCAAACTTCCACAAAGCAATCCGAGTGGTTGTTCACGACGCGACCCCCGCGCTGAAATGCGGCAATCAAGTGAATTCTGCAGATAAAGCATGTCAGATGCACAGCAGTTTGGTCTATCCGGGACGCCGAATCTCGGATGCCTCGTACGGAGGAAATTCGAGTACCACGTATGGGCTCGGCAAGCTGAATATCTAATCGAGTTGATTTACAGTGACAAGGTGTAGGGGTATTCGAGAAGAAAACGCCCTGTATCTTTTGCCACTTTTGTAACGAGTACGGATCCGTAGCCGATGCTGAAAATTCAGATACATGCAACAGCATCTTAAAAGACGTTTCATTTATTGAGATCACACTGGTGATTTGTAGTCATTCTCCCAAATATATACATACAGCATTATCACAGACTTATCAAGAGCCCTTTTCTACTCTCTCGAAACTTTCTTATACCCTTCCTAACGACACCTGCGTTCCTTGAAAGAGGGTCAAGATATCTCGAACTCCCATTACCAGTTTACACAAAAGGAATCACATTATTCCATTGATGCATAGGAGACGTAGCGCTGCACTGCAAGACACCTCAAACCTCTCTAGCTGTATAACCTGAAAGGAATTGTCTCCAAGTCATATTCGTAGATCTGACCGTTTGGATTCTAATTAACAGGGGGCTGGATCTGCAGAAGATCTTCTATTGATTCAAAAGAGCATCCTCTTCGTTGCGGAAGGTGGTCAGTGATAGGCGCTTCTAACGATATCGAAACCAGATATTTGTGGATGACATGCCGCAAAATAATAGAAAATATAGCCAGAAGACAGGAAGAAACCCGAGAATAGGATCATTGTGCTAATATGTCTTTGAAAGCCTTGAGGCGGTCTATCGATTACCCTCAACATCTCTCGTCATCTTCTCTATTTCTAGCTGTGTGTAATCGATCATGGCAACGATACGTCCTGCTTTCGTACCATTTGAAATCCCTTCATCCATAGTTTATGCATCACATCATGATAGTAACCACTCTTGTGCTTGCCAGATTCACACCAAGTCAAAGGAGCATCGGAGTTTCCAACTAACATTCATCCATACAATGCCATCGCCCGCGTTTCGACACTTCATAGAGATGGACTCTTTCTAAACTCGCCGCATCCATATCACTGAGACTTGCCACTCTTATCTTGCTTCCGTGCCACAATGCCATCCACGCGCTTAAAGGCAGGGAACCCCTCAAAGAAGCAGTTGCTGAGCCAAAGCCACCACTGTCCAGAGAATCTCTCAACGCCGTGCCTCTGAAGCTTCCTGTCAAAGAAGAAGCATTCAACAAGATGGATACCGATGACGGGCCAAAAGATGGCGTTGACAAGCCAGTGGAAGAAGGTCGCGCCTCCAGGGAACCCTTCGTTCAACAGCTCCCAGATGCGAGTGCCGGGCTGTACCCACGGCAGTGTCCCAGCGCAGAAGAAGTAGAAAAGAACTGATCCTGTGACAAAAATGCCGAAACCCTCTGGGGGTGTGTAGGCTGTGATAATGACGTCGCTAAGACCCAGTCCTTCACGGGCTGTGTTGGCCATTTCGATGATGCGGTCCTTGACCTCGGCCCAGCTGGAGAGAGGAGGCGAGAAAGGGACAAAGTGCTCTCTTCCATCATTTGACTTGATAGTCATACCGTTGAGATCAGTATCCTTGAGCACGGGTGAGGATGCAGCTGAGGCAGAGAGATGGGCATAATGACGGAGATAATAGGAGATTTCTCGGGTGTGATCCTTGTTCATGTGCGACACGATGCGGTTCTTGCGAGCATCATCGGCAGAGGCCATTTTGTTTTATTTTTGTCGATGTCAGATGTTATAAATTCCTCTGTTGGGTCACTGTGGTCTTCGTTCAGATGCAGCTTCGCTGAGTGTTTGAAGCAGATAGGAGCGTTGAGTCGGAGTCGGTGCGTGTGAAGTTGAAAGTGGAGCCCAACTATTTGCCAAAACTCGGTTTCCGAGGCCATAAAGAGACAAGGATAGTTACATGTGAATTAATTGAAAAAAAACAGAACGTCCATAATTGTGAAGAAAGTACAATCATCGAAATATGATCCAAGTATCTGATAGACACATCGAACTTTGTGGCATTGCCGTTCTTATTTGTGTTATAATTGGCCGTCATCGCGTAAGTTATATTTTCTCTGCCGCGAGCTCTCACTGTTTGTTGGAGTATGAAACTGCAATCTGATCGAAATTTGTTTGATGAAGAATTACTATTCATTATTGATTTTTGAGTTCATTAATCGTTAGGCAGCCTCTATATTCTCTCTTGCTGATCCCTTCTCCGCGTCCCATCCACTGTCGTGCACATGCCTAATCGTCCTCGTTCGGACCTGGATACCAATCATGCCCGTCAATTGGGAGATCATAGAAAACCTCTGGCCTCCTTGAATCTCTGTTCTGACGTTTCCGTAAGTTTTGTCTCCCAGCTGTAAGTTCGACTCGACTAGTTTCTTCGGCCGTCCCCTTGCCAAGATCCCGAACAACCCCCTCTGACATAGACTCGGCCTCGGCATCTTCGTATCGGCTGACGGTGTTTCCGGCATATTGGTCTCTTCTGTTATCTGTGGCAGGTGGTTGGTATCTTCCACATCCCTCGGAGGCACCGGATCTGTAAAGGACTGCCATATAGGCAGGCATGCCCATATAATCAAGATCGAAATTTCAACGTCCATCCAAACGATTCGTTCGTGGTATCTCCAAACTGGTTGCGCCGTCTTGAAGAAATAGATCAGAAGGTGCAGTCGAAAACTGGATACAGCCAGACCGAATGCTCCCAACGCAACTGCGATAGCGCTTTGCAACCAAGATGTTGTGTCATTTACAATTCGACTAAAGATCAGGTGAGAAAGCATAGCAAGGAGCACCAGGTTTAGGAACATGTCGATCGAGGAAGCCGCATATGCAAGTGATTCCTGAGCCAAGCAACCTCCTGTTTCCTCATCTCTTCCATTTGGTTCCCAACCTTCCCAGGCGAATGCAATTGGTGAACATCGGAATACTCTCAATAGGGCCAGAGCAATCGAAGAGAGGATGGTGAGTAAAAGGGTCGCGGCTGTGATCACTATGTATCTGCCAGAAAACGATGTGCGCAGGCATACGAGAAGGATCGCGACTCTAAGTAGACACGAGCAGGCAAGCTCAAAGATGTCGGCCATGAAAACAAGCTAGGTAGTTCAATGTTAACATCCTGGGATTCAAAACTGCATCTTGCAAACAAACCTTTAATCCGTCTGTAATGTATTCTGGAACCGCATTCCATAAGATTGTATCTCCTGTCACAGAGTGGGCTGAGGAGGTTGGTAAGCACAAGCGTATATTCATTCAGCGATGCGACTTACCAAAGTGAATCAGAGTTGCAAAGACAGTGTATAACAACTAAAAGCTGGTTAGGTTTGATGATCTATGATACCGGGTACCAACTTACTCCACAAACTACCATTACATAGTCATCCAGAGAAAGACTCTCGTACGTAACCCAGCTCGAATACAGCCTAAGCCAAGGAGAGATCCATGCTGGTATCTCTGCAACTAACAGAACATAGTGATTATGCCGGTTGTCTTTTGGCTTGCTGTCACAGGCATTTGCATAGATCTTTGCAATATCTAGAGCTTGTTAGTTCTATCCCATTTGTGTTTCAGAATGATTGGCGCACCGAATCTTTCGAAATCGCGGCATTTGTCTGCGAAGCAGTCATCTAGCTCCTGCTTGACATTCCCGTTGTTGCACATATCAACGGCTTCGAAATCCGAGTTATCATACTTTTCAAGACATGAGATCTTCAAGTCATTGTTAGTACGAGCGCAAAACTGCATCCAAACCTCAGACTCACAGTACAACGGGGTAGACTCTTGAAGAGTTCAGGTCTGTCAGCGCCAAGCACTCCAGCAGCGAGTGCTAACGAGCAGATCGCCCAAGATGTGAGCTTCATACCCGTCCAGTAGCATTAGGGCTGGTGATGTTGAAGAAGTGAACACAAACAGAGGAATGACAGGATGCTCAAATATTGCAAGACATGGGTTACCCTAACTATCATATATATAAACCCCCAGATCTACGTAGGCAAGGGGCTTCATCCGAGTTAGGTAGGCATGAAGACCGCATCCAGCTGTTACAAGACTAGTACTAGCCCTGTACGTTCTTACATCCCAGTTTTTATATGAAGCCCCCTGTGCATACAACATGGATAAGGCGCATCTAGCATTGAGGATCGTCTCAAAATAGCGGAAATGATCTTACACGGGCCGCTGGGGGGATTAGCTGCAATGCTATTTACATCGGTTCCTTGATCTGTGACTTTATCGAGATTTAATTCGGATATTCCGGTCTGATTGTTGAGCTCACCTCCTCGCTCCCGTAAGAAAGTGAAACTTGTGGTAAATGCATTGACACCTCCTTAGCCCGTACCCTATCGGACTAATGCACGACATAGCAAACACGCGGCTTCGATAGCTCTTAAATCAACCAACGGTTTTAAAGCCTCTTTCAAGATCGTGCAGCGCCGTTTGGCAGCTTTTGGCAAAACAAATTGGAGCAAAAACTGGGGCAGCGTTGTACCGCAATTGCTGTGTGCTTCAGGTGAAACGACAGCTCCAGAATAGTGCAGTACGGACCGTGTGATCCTTTGTGGCCTTCTGGCCAGAGATCCAATGGATGAGTATCCTAGACATTGCAGTGTTGCAAATATGGTTTCGCGAAGACTCTTCTGAAAAGCTTCGGTTTGGGTGTGACAACCTTTTGCCAACTGTTACGCCAAGAGTATGTCCTTCAATCCGAATTGTCAAGTAAAAGGTGTTTCCAGAACGAACCTGACCTTCTGTTGACCGCCATATGCGAGTCAGTCTTCAGTTTCAGGTTGGAGGGCCATTTCACCCCGCGTTAGTTAGGTAGTTAGCATTGGATCCAATGTGAGTGCCTCGTCATTGAAGAGGTCCCTGCAGCTGCACTCCGCTTATTAATGAATGATTGAGTCTCGAGTGCTCATGTAGACGTTTCAGTCATTCGATTTCTACCAATCTCAACTGTGAGTGTTCGTTATATCGAATTTCTATTCCGATGATTAGAGGATCCGGTTGTTGTCGGGCCACTTTCCTGTGATATTATTTGACAATCTGCTCATTCTTGCGACAAATAGTACGTCAAAGATGGATGACAATAGGTTGACCGGCGTCATCTCAAATTATAAATCCAGCTGATAGTAGATCCATCTTGACGCAGTGACTCTTCAGAACTCTGAGGAGCCTGAACGAGATAGGCAATACATACAAATCGAAATAATCAGATACTGAGGCGCGTAATCGTCTATTGCATCAATTCACATGGGAATTGTATCAATTAGCTGTCCAACATGTCTCTCAATTTCCTGAATGGTCATGGTAGCATTAGATAGACGGTCACCTGACCTCACAGACGACACCTGGAAGACCCATGCTTTCGTATCTCCGCTCGGCACAAGCAAAAACTCTTCTACCAATATTATCTGATCTGATTGATAAAGGTGTCTTTTTTCACTTGCTGGTGGAGCGATTCCTCCTCCTCCTCCTTCGTAACTCCGAACCGCATCCGCATCGGCATTCGCACAACACTGGATAAGCTCCGGTCATCGATTATGGCTTCCTCAGACCGAAGTGAGACCCCGGACTCGGACGGTGACCGAAAGCCTGGGTCCCGAGATGACTCGGGCCAGCCGCCCGCCCGCAAACGGCAGCGTGTCCGCCTCAGTTGTCTGGAGTGCCGACGCCGAAAGCTGTCGTGCGACCGAGGCTTCCCGTGCGAGCGTTGCATCAAGAGCGGCACTCCCGACCGCTGCAGCTATGAATCTCGTAACGGCGAGGTCGTGAATGCTTCCTCGGGAGTTCCGCCGCCTTTCGCCCAGCTAGACTCTCGCCGCTTCATTGATCCCGCTACGGGTTTGTCCCCACGAGATCCCGAATTCGTACGCCAAGATCACGATCGAATTCGCCGATTGGAGCTTGAGCTAGTTCAACTTAAGAATCAAATCTCTCGGTCTGGTGTGTCTTTCGATGGGAGCACCCTGGCTGGCACGACGACCTCCCCCCAGACGAAAGATGATGCCAACGGGAATGCGAATGTCGAGGACCCTTCTGTCCGCGAAGTCCACGAGTCCATCGAGGCCACTAACATGTCGGGTGAGAAAGGAGAGCTTCGTTTCTTTCGTGGCAGGGGCTTTCGCACGCGATACTTTGGCCCGCACAATGCCAGTATGGCCTTTGTCGAGCTTACAGGTCTGTGCCCTTTCATGAAGGAGACGGCCGATGAGTGGCTTCGTCCAGTTATTCTCCATGACCGTAAAGACCGAAAGAGACGACGCGAGGACCGTGAAAAGATATTCGAGGACTCGGATCCAGAACTGGAGGCTTTACTGCCAACTAAGGAGGAGACCGATGCACTTATCGATGTTTATCTCGACCAGTTCGAGCAGGTGCACCGCATTGTTCACATTCCTACGTTCAAGAAGGAATACGCCGAGTATTGGGCACCCGGGTCTACCAAACGTTATGCCGCTTTCACGGCTCTTATCCTTGCAATGATGGCTGTTGCAAGCTGCGTTCATACTCACGAAAGCCTCAAGTTCATCGGCATGATGTCGAATGCTCGTCACTGGGCAGAACGATGGATCAAGGCATGTGACGAGTGGTCATCAAAACAAAGCCAGAAGCACCGACGCTTGATCCACTATCAAGTAGCATGCCTTTTGTATCTTGGGAAGCGAGTCAACACTATCAAGAAGAAGCGTTTCTGGACAGGCTCTGGTGCACTCATCCAGGACGGAATTGCTGTCGGCTTACATCGTGAGCCAAGCCACATGGCAGCAAAGATCACCGTTTTTCACCAGGAAATGCGTCGACGAATTTGGGCAACAGTTCAAGAATTCGACATGCAGGCCTCCTTTGACCATTGCCTGCCAACTCTGGTTAGCCAGCTTCACTACGACACCAACGCCCCTCGCAATTTAGACGATGATGATTTTGATGAGAGTACCACTGTACTCCCACCATCAAAACCTGTCAAAGAGTATACATTCTCTTCCTTCCAGCATCTGGCTCGTCAGAGCCTGCTTTTACGTCTGGAGCTTAGTCGTCTTCTTACTGGTCCATCGTCTGAAATAGACTATGACCAAGTAATTCGATACACCAACGATTTGACACAGGAGATTGATGCCCTCCCGTCATGGGATATGAACCTAGAAAATGTGAAGGGAAAGAAGAACCCTTTAATCGCATACACGTTGCTGCATGTTCAGTTGAGGCAGTACATCATCCCCTTGCATCAGCCATATCTCAAGCTTCGGAAGCAAAACTCAAAGTACCAGTACTCTGAAATCATATACTATAATGCAGCACGAGACATCGTCTTATTACACGACAAACTGTACGAACAAGGCGTTCGAAGTCTGAACTTTCTCAGAGAAGATGCGCTGACCACAGCCATCAACCTCTGTAGCGTCACAATGTTGCAGCCCAGAGGTTCCACCAACATGATCATGATAAACTCGCACCACACACTCAAGTTGATTGAGAAGTGCATTGCAATGAAGGAGGATCGTCTATTACGATGTGGCAACAATGAGCCATGGGGATATTCTATCATGTGTGCGGCGCTGGGGTTGCTTGAGGCCCACCTGGGAACCAAGGAGCCTGAAGTCGCCAAGTCGACATCAGCAGAACGCTTTGTCAACTTGCACTACCGTCTCCTTGCTAACCAGGAGCCTCCAGTTTCTGGGGAGCACCTTGCAGCTGCCATGAACGGCGTGCCGCCGGGCAACATGGGAGCTGGGCCCACGCCTAATATACCGCTGCATGACCGGCCAAAGGTAATGAAGCTTGACTTCCATGGCAGGGCGTTTCCTAATATTGGTATCCAGTCGGTGACACCGTTCTCGTTTACGCCGACAATGCCTACGGCTCCGATCGACCCAAGTCAGGCCCCATGGATGATGGGAGGCGATCCCACTCAGCCTTTCAACCTGGATCCGAGTCTGGAGTTGTTGGGTATAAATCTCAACGAGATCTGGGGCGAGTCCTGGGAATTGGGCTGAACAGAAAGAAAGTCCATGTTGGCTAATACGTAATAATAATAACTGGCGTGGATTCTTGGGCCTCGCAAGCGACGGACTGGGGGGAATATTGGGTTAGCATCTATTTGCTTCTCGAATTGTCTCATCTTTAAGATACCAGGTCTCCTACTATGTCACGACAACACAAGCGCTCATGAACAGGTCTTGGCGTCACGTTGTCTGCCATTTTTTGTGCCTTGAAGCAAGCTCCTCTCATTATATCTATCTTGTGGGTTTGAATACTGAATTCCTCATGACTGACGAAATTGGCTTCAGAATAATGTGCTAATGAAATGCAAAATCACTTTGACAGCGATATTCAGTTGACGTGCCGAATTTTAGGGAAGAGATACTTGCTGAGCCCTCGCAGATTTCACGGGTTTCAACATTCGATCTACTTCAAATATTGACTCGTATTACTTTTGTTTAAAAGTATAATATATGCTTACGGACGAGACTTCTTCAGATAAATACTTTTGCCAAGTGATGGGTGTGCAAGGTGCTTGTTGATTGTTGATTGTGTTAGTTTGGGTCTTCTGGCGATTGGCTGGCTAGCCAGAACACCAAAGTATTGATCTATGGACATGATGCAAGGGAAACCCTTCGAAGGCTGGCCGACGACGATATATCCAATGAAATCTAAGCGCATACCCTATAAAGATGATAAAAACCAACAACCTTTTGACTGCGAGCCCATAAACCTCATGGTGTGAATGCTAGTCACCTGAATATTAAAATTATCGGCTGGTCTCCAGGGTAGGCACCTCAATAAGTCCGAACTTTAGTGTCGGGCATAAAGCTTCGGTAACCAGACTTGGCTGACTATCGTTTGTCTCTTCGGACCTAAGAAACCTCGGGGATAGTGTTCGGCATTTGATGCTCCTCACTCATATACACAGACATTACACACATATCCGCTATTACTATTGCATAACCCGACATCGAATGTCGACCGCGATGCCGCAAAGAGAATCCTCGGATGTATCTTCTGCTGGAAGTCCCCCAGCTCCCAAACGCCGTCGAAGGCGACCCGCTCGGTCTTGTGAGCAATGCCGGCGCCGCAAGATTCGGTGTAGTCTGGGCCAACCTTGTAACGGCTGTGTTCGGGCTCGGGCACCGATGCAATGTTCTTATCGTGACGGGAGCCCTGTTGTAGTGACTCGGAGTTCTGAAGTCTGCGCCTCGGTGCCGGCTGAACGGGCTGAAAGACAGGGAGCTGTTACAGCAACACAGCGAAATCCAGAAGCACATCACCGCAGCCCAGTAAACCGACCACCACAGCCCGAAAACAGTGATAGGACTGTGTCAAATTCACATAGCTGTCTTTCAAAAACTATTCCAGCCCCTCAAACATCCACCTCAGCCCAGTCATCAACCTCAATCCCCCCCTTTACACCCAGGCTGCGTCATGTACCTGAAAAGACGAAGCTATTTGGCCAAACGCATTGGCTTCACACTGCAGAGAAGGTAAATCTCAAATATCTCTACTCGAGCTCTCATACTGATCTTCACTGCCTTAGTTTCCTGTTTCAGGTAATTTCCATCCCGTCGAGATTGAGCCATCATGGGAGGATGCCAAATCCGACTTCTACGACGCTTTGAAAGAAGCTCGCATCCTACGTTTTGGTCTCAAGAAACAGAACTTTCCAACACTAGATCAGCCCATCCAGGACCTTCGTGAGACCTTGCCCTCCAAGGTGGTTTGCGATGAACTCATTGCTTGTTATCTCCGCACATTCGAACCCTTGTATCGCATCGTCCATATCCCCTCCTTTCAGAGGGAGTACGACCGGATATGGGCAGGCGAGGAAACACAATCTGTACCGGCTATATCTCTCGTCAGACTGACCTTGATTCTTGCCCTTGGGACGACCTTTGCCAATTTTGACACGGAGGAAGAGATGAACCAGTTGTGGCGACTTGCGCAGACATGGGTTCAGAATGCCCAGTGGTGGCTCACAGGTCCAAATGAAAAGACCACTTACAATCTCGATGGTCTGCAGATATTCTGTCTGCTGATCATCGCCCGTCAATCGACCTTCAATTGTCGCGGAGCAACGTCATGGCTGTCCTCGGGCTCGCTACTGCGCGCCGCCATCACCATGGGCCTTCACCGCGATCCGAAGCTATTTGTTGGCTTGACACTCTTCCAAAGGGAGTTTCGAGCTCGACTATGGGCCACTGTGCTGGAGTTGGCTGTCCAGTCATGTCTAGATCTCGGCTTGCCACTGCAGCTTTCAGAACAAGACTTTGATGCTTACATCCCATCCAACTACGATGACTCGGATCTAGAGTCAACTTCTCCAGGGGCACCAAAACCAATGGACAAATTTACAGACTCGTACCTGCAAATAATGCTGGCCAAATCTCTACCTTTGAGAGTTGAAGTCATAGGCCTACTGAACGACTTTCGACAAGAGAAAACATATGAAAAAGCACTAGCTTTAGGATCACAGCTGCGCACGGCGTGCCGAGATGTCGCCGCCTTCTTCCATTCAACACAACATAATCCGATGAACATAAGAAAGGGATCAAGCATTGAGGCGAATGAGTTCCATCGCAAACTTCTCGACATACATCTTCGCCGGTTCGTCATGTTTCTTCACCGCGACTTCATGCTCCAAGCAAGGACCGATCCCCGGTTCTACCTTTCTCGCAAGGTGTGTGTTGAGTCTGCCCTGGTCATCGCTTCTGGGAGTAAAGGCGCCGACTTCAGCTTGCCGATGCAGGTATGGGATGACTTGTCTCGCTTGTCTTTCGTTGGACGTGGTCTTTTCAAGTGTGCATTGAGTTTTGATGCTATGCTCATCTTGGCCCTCGAGATCATTACTGAACTTCAGGATGAGTCGACACCAACACACGAACCTGATATTCTCAGCGAGATGGCAAAAGCCACCCGTGCTCCCATGATCAAGACCCTCGAAGAGATATATGTGCAACTTCGCTGCATGATCGTACGGGGCAACCTCAGCCTTAAGAGACTTCTCTTCTCGAATGCTCACTTGGCACATATTCGAGCATTGGAAGCGGGCCATCCTGTGAAGCCAGCGGTACATGAGACTGTAACATCGACGCTCCGCGACTGTGTGGCAATGCTCAGAGACATCCAAGCAGTTACAACACCCCATGAATCAGCAATAACCTCGGATAGCTTGAGTAGCGACTTTCTTGGCACGGATATTTTCTCAAATGTGAGTGATGCTTCGTATAGGGGAGTAATTCTTTCTAACAATATGAGCTAGAGCAATCTTATCGAGTGGGACATATCCGACCTTCTCGGTTTCCCAACTGTTAGTAAAGACGGCCAATCTCAGTGGCCAGTTATGGACTAATATCAAAATCGACACATCACATACTAAACTCGTGTAAATTGTCAGGGAATAACACTTGTGAGATGTCATTTTCGTTACTCGTCATAATACCCATCATCATAAGTGCCCTGCATCGCCTGCGTGCTCACCCATTCTTCACTTGCTAAGCCCCTCATAAATCTCATCTCAAGTTCTTGGGGATCCTTGTGCCAATCACAAGCAAAGTCGCAGTCTGGCGTGCTGGATTCTCCGAAGTATTTGCATATGGCAGCATGTCGACACTTATCAGTGTCTTCGCAGTATTGAGCCAACGCCTGCAAACTCTTGAGTCTGGCGATCTGATTCGTCTCAGCTTTGGCATCGGATCTGATCAATCTCGTGACGCGCTCCAGGTCTTCTCGGCTGTAGTAAAGAAAGCAATAGCTTGCATTGCCATCTCGACCAGCACGGCCAGCTTCTTGGTAGTAGCCTTCGAAAGACTTGGGAATACGCCAGTGAACAACAAAACGCACGTTATTCTTGTCAATACCCATGCCGAAGGCGGTCGTGGCAACAATGATATCGTACCCAGACTCGTTATTTATCCACCGGGCGAGTGTTTCTTCTTTGACTTCCTTGGTGAGCCTGGCATGAAAAGGCATGGCCCCAATGCCTTCTGAACGAAGGGAGGCTGCCAGGGACTCGCATTCATCCCGAGATATAGTGTATATAATCCCAGGGACACTTTCGACTCTTTCATTCACCTGTTCGAGTTCTGCCTTTCTCTCACCATGTTTACGACGGTCGTAAACAGCGTTAATCCATCGTAGAAAATCCTGTAGGCGGTTATCTTCTTCGTCCTTGGTGTACCGAATTTCAAGATGCAAGTTTTGACGTTGAGGGTTCATCAAAAACTCTCTTGTTCTTTCTGGAGTTTGATCGAGTTTCAAAATAGACAGTACGTCTTGGCGAACCTGCGGGTTTGCCGTAGCAGTGAGACACATTATTGGTACATCTGGGAAAGTGTCTCGAAACCAAGATAGACGTTTGAAGTCTTTTCGAAAGTCATGGCCCCATTCTGACACACAATGAGCTTCGTCAATGGCGATACGTGCAAACTCCTTTTGCTTGTAGACTAGCTGCAGCCGTTCGCGAAACCGTGAGCCAGAACATAACTCGGGCGTGACATACAATAGCCTGGTCCTTGGATGCCCGCTCTCCAGATCGCGCTCAATGCGACGCCGATCATCATAAGGAGTTATGCTGCTGTAAAAGTTGGCTTCGATACCGGAGGCTTTTAGGGCTTCAACTTGGTTGATCTGATGATGTTAGATTTCGTAACAATGGTGGGCTCGAGTTTCTTGCCATTAAACTCAAGAGAGGGGAAACAACTATGGTAACTAAACTCATAATTAGAGGAAGGAAGATGTATAGTGACCGAAAACTCACTGCCTTGGTCGATGACTGCTGGTAGCTGAAAGCAAAGACTCTTACCAAAGGACGTGGCTGCTTGGACGTAAACGTCAAAGCCGTCGAGAGCAGCTTCGATGATTTCACGCTGGTGAGGCCTGGTAAATGTCAACGGACAAAGCAAAACGAAAAGAGGAAAGCGGATAATTCGTATACCTGAAATCTTCCTTGTGAAATTGGCGACGAAGAGTAAAGCCAATGTCTGTGCATGAGCTTGTTCTTTTCAAAGGCGGCATGGCGGCGTTCACGATTTTCGAAGAAAGTAAATGATTGTTACTGTATTACTCTACAACTGCGTGTCGAGTGAATCAATTCATGGTAGATCGAAGCAAGGGTGAACCGCTTTCCCGGCGCTTGTTGATAATGATTGGCCCTTTTTTTTACTGTTATCGTTTTAGTCTATCTCAATGCAAGCTCTCTAACTTACAGAGTTACAATCTGTTGGAGCTTGTTTGGTGAGGATCTGTTTCTGCTTTTGGCAGTCAAATCGGCTGTGGTCCACCGGATCAGCACTATCAACAGCCTTGCAACGCTATTGCTTTTGCGAACGAAGGAAGTGACTGGCAGGGGTTCTGGAGCACCTCATGCCCGAGCAAAATGCACAAATGTACTGTTGGGTTACCTAGTGGAAAATAGAAGAATTGATATCTGTCTACCTTATACCGGAGGTAGAGGTAGGAGTGAGGGTCACGTGGCGTGCTTTTTGTATTGGGACGAGGACAGTATCACAACACATATCCATCCATTACCTTACAACTTAGCGGGCGGCTGTTGAGACAAACTTCTAGGGCCATCAGACAAACTCAATTGCTACAGTTTCCTGACAGCACGAACGCTTAGTAGGTGGTATGGCGTTGTATATGACGTGGAGAAAAAGGCTTCTGCTATTCACTGGCTCTTCTCGGGCGCATTCAGTGAATCTGTAATTACTGTGTACCTTGCATTACTCGCTGTTGGCTGGGGCAGGGGCCTCATCCTCCGAGACAGCACAGCCAGACATCTTCAAAGTCCACCCTCCAACGAAAGCAACCCCTGCTAGGGCCTCTGTCCTAAAGGACGAAAATACTGAGGTAAGTTTAGTGTATCTTAATATACCTTTAGACTAGTTAATTTTGGCGCCATTTTTGTAACGTCAGAAGCTTTATTACCCCCCGAGGCCCTGATAGATGTCCATCAACGATGGTGTTGGCTTTGCTGTTTCATAGGTCATCAATACCTTACCCCTCGTTTACCATGGATGCTAGCAGTTAGGTAGTGCTTCCTCGTCTTGTTTTGCTTCGTGTCAAAGAACACAGTTACTCCGTACCGTCGGTAGGCTTCAGGGAGGAAGGGATGCGACCTAGTGCGTCTCTCTTTTGCAACAATTCTTCTATTCTTGACAAACAGGATTCCTGATTCTTGCTATTATGTATTTGTAAGTAATGAGAGAAACATGGATTATGAGCTCCAGGGATTAAAATCTGGAGTTCTCACACCGAGGTTGGACTCGCTTGTTCAAAACTCGTACTGTGTGGCTGGCTCCCCAGCCACTCGGTGCCTGAATAGGCATGCAATAACGTGCCTAGGTAGTATTTGGCGGCGAGGAAGAAAAAGAAGGGTTTCTGGGGGCGAGGTCTCGTCTTTTGAATAACAATAAGTTATAATTCAAAAAGAAAAAAATTCAAAAAAAAAAAAAAAAAAAAAATTCAAAAAAAATCAAAAAAATCTGTAGCCTGATGTTGATTAGACTGAGTCAAAGTTGCCCTGACTTACCAGAATGTGAATCGTTGAAGATTAAATTCAATTGCTCACAAGTCATTCATAGAAGATGATAAATTATTCTACCATAGTACTGTTCCTGGTCTCTTCTTCCTCACACTTTAGACTTCAGCCTCCAGACCAGCCGCCCCGCACTGTGTTTCACTTTACGATGGGTCCAACTGTCCGTTGGCGCTGAGGCGGCCCCACCATTGAACCGTGAAGTGCTGACCAAAACACTTTCATGGGTTGTTACCCCTATCTGATGCGCTATCCCCTATCCAAGCATGAGACAAGGGACTGCCAGGGGCGATTGGGGGAAGCTGGTACCCCCGAGAAAATACACAATCGAACTGCAACTTATTAACTGATATGAATCAGTAGCCAGAGCAGACTTCTATGTTTCTGTGTCCTTAACCAACATAGACGAAGGTACCTGACCTTCCAATCTACTGTATTTGAGTGGCGCGTTAAGAAGGGACAGACAATCAGTCAGTACCTAGGTATCTTAGTAGGTACCTGTCAAAGGTACAGCGGGCCTTCACCCCCATTACATCGGCTGCAGCATGTGCCTGAGCACCCTCCATTCATCAAGCTCTCTTTCACTTTCGACCTTCTGTTTGTTTGACTCTGTTTTGAGTTTTTGATATCCAGAACCAGTCCACATTCAAACTACCAAGGGCTAGGGGAGATCCAACGGGGGTCATCCCGGTTACTAGGTATTTTCACCACCCTTACCTTGCCTTACCTCACATCCTGCCATGGTGTTGCAAAACTTACTTACCAAAGACGGAATCTCAGCCCGACCTCATCGCCTCCCGAGTCTGCATCAGCTCATTACGGCCCTTCCCGCAGCATTCCTCTTCTTCAACCCTTCTCTCCAAATCCTGTCTTTGGAGTATCTCCATCCAACGGGTTCTCGTCGATCGCTGCCATCGGCAAGTCTCACTTGAGTCTCGACGACGCAGTACGCTCGATTTTAATTCCAACACTTATCTCGATACAAACAGGCCCGAAACCTGAACAACGCGCTGCCTTTTGGCCCCGATCGAATATATAAACATGACCTTATCGATCTCGTCGTCGATACAGCCTTGATTGGCCTAAACGTTAGAGATACCGATCGCAGGCTTGACTTTCACTGAGACAGACAGGCCTCGGTTTGCGCCTACGCTTTGGTCAAAAGACGAACGCAGACACGGCAACAGAGGCCTTCTGAAACGGTTCATCCTTCAAGCATCGACATATCGTCATAAAATTCCAACGGCTCCCCCCTCGATCGATTTCTCCACCGGCGCGCCTCCCCACGTTTCTTACTTGAGCCGCGCATTCCTCATATTGACTGTCCGCCATGGAACGGCCAGATCGACTCGCCGGCTCGTCCGTCGGTTCTGCATCGCAGGCTTCAGTCCCAAGAAGCTTACCCGAAAACCATATATCTGGACGGCGTCCAGTCCCAAACTCAGCGGCCACGTCTAACGGACCGCCTCCTCCTCCTCCTATTCCTTCCTTGCGAAGCGTTCCCTCCAGTTCCTCTCTTTCTGCCGCGGGCATGTCGGCAGCTCAGGTTATTAGTCTCGCGCGTGAGGCAATGCAAAATGCCATCGAAAGCGAGAGCCAAGCTGCTGAAGCAGGCGCCGTCAGCACAGGGCTCAGAACCGGAGTCACAATTGACCTCAGTCGCAAAGGGATCCAAAAATTACCAGATGAAGTTGTGGATATTGTCAAGGGTGATCTGGAGCGGTCCGTTTCCATGGGACCATCTTCAGCAACGCGGTCGGATACTGATACCTATACGGTCTCCAGACTAGCACTGTCTCATAACCAACTGACAACATTACCCGCTCGCTTTTCTGAATGCACATCATTGCGATATCTCAACATCCGGGGCAATCAGATCAAGGAGTTTCCTATGCCTGTATGTCTCCCTCCTTAGCGTCGAAATATTTTCTAACAGCCCGGCTAGTTGTGCGATTTGAAATCATTGGAGATCCTTGACCTTGGCCGAAATCAACTTCGAAGTCTTCCTACAGATATTGTGCGACTTTCGTCATTGAAAGTTTTGTCTATTCCAAAGAACCAAATACGGGAGTTGCCACTATGTATTGCCGATATGGGGTCCTTGCAAGTGATCAAGTTTGAGGGCAATCCCATTAACTTTCCGCCACGAGATGCAATACAAGTGCAAGCCGCAAGCCCCCCACATGAGGGCATTCAGAAAGACAACGAAGTTACGGAGGTGGCGGTAACGCTACAAATCAAAAGGTTTCTTAAGCAGCATGCTGTCAACGGCCGATCCGAATCTGATAACACAGGTGACGAATCTAGCGAGGGCGCGGATACCCCTCGCTTCCCATTGAAAAGGGTTACAAGTGGGAGATTCCCTGTCAAAGTAAGTGGTGCGGATTTGCCTGATATTCGTTCTCCCAATCTTGGATCACGGGCGCCTCCGATACCATCGAGATCACACTATCGTGGACTTTCCCAACAAAACAGCGCTTTTCGACGACCCGGTGTCATGCCATTGACGATTGGCAATGTCAATGAACGTGTTCGTAGCAACTCAGAAAGCCTACTGAGGGCGGAGCGATCAGAGAGTCGCAACAGGCGCATGGGAATTGTCTCGAGAAAACCCTCTGACCTTGGTACACTTGATGAGATGCAAGTGAATAATCGATTTAGTCATTATCGTGGCCTGAGTCATGGATCTGCCATGCAAGGTAACCAAGCAACGACGAAGAGCCCTGCGACCCCAACGGAACCATACTTGGCACGTCCAATCTACGTGAGACGTCTTTCTGTCCTCCCTGAGCGGAGGCGAGAATCAAAAGTTTATGATCCAGTCATTGAAGCTGCTAAGGGCATCCTCTACTCGGTCTTTCAGATCCATCCTATGATCCAGATGCTCATGAGCTTGACGAGTGATGGGTCTGCTAAGCGATCTAGCCTTGAGATCGTGTTCTACAACACCAACTCCCATGTTGAGGAATTGGAGCAGGAAATCCAGAAACACGAGAACGCCTTGGTCGACCTCGACGACCGTTCCCAAAGAGAGAACGAAAACGTCCATCGAGCCTGTCAAACTCTGGTTAGCGCATATGGCCACGTTTGTACACTTTTAGCCGATAACATCGATACTTTCGTGAACAACGGAGATGCTCGATATATTCGAACGCTTCTGATGTTGCTCTATAATAGTATCATGGAACTACGTGTGACACTGTCGTCTGTTAGCGCAGAGGATGGGCGTCGGCAAGCAGCCTCCAAGGGGGACCAGATGGGTGAGCGTACTCTCAGGGCGCATGCACGTGAACCTTCCATTACCCCCACTGTTGGTAGGTCAACAGGAGCTCGCAACCGCAACGGCACTCTGGTACACCATCCGATCAATTTGCGTGTTGCTACAGATGTACCCGTGCCTACACCCCTTTCTGCGGCTTACCTCAATGGCAATGGTCGAACCGCCACCATTGCATCGGCCACTCCTCGATCAGGAGAATCTTTCTCCTCGATAGGTAGCCGCGGGATTTCTTCCGAGTTCACAGAAGAAGATCGACAGTTTGAGAAGATATTCCTATCCTTGCAAAGGTCGACTGATCTCGTTATGGGGACACTTCCCAGTTTCCAAGCCCAGCTAACAGGTGGTTTGAGGAACGCCATGTATCAGAGGACCCCAGAAAGTGTAATTCAGCACTGGAAAGCCTTGATAACCATGTGTGGACATGTCATTCAACAGACGGAGATTCTCAAGAACAGACTGTCACTTATCAAGCTCAAGGAGCCTGGAGTTCGAACACAAGCGAGCTTCTGGAGTCTCTGTAACAACTTCAGTCACTCTTGGGCGGACATGATCTATCAGATCAAGTACGGCCCCAACAGTGTTCCACTGCCTCCTGATACCAGGGCACGATTGCGACCGATTCAGCAGAGTATTAAGGAAACAAGCAACATCATCTCCAAGTCCCCTTGGCACTATCTTTTCAACCATCCCTCAGGCACGCCGAACGGGCAGATACACTACCCCCCTCGCGGTATGTCACCGACTCAAGTCCCGATCACGCCACAGAGTGCTGCTTTGGGCCCCGCCATGCAGGCGACAGTTCCCACCACGCCGCAAAGTGGTTCATTCGCAGCGGCATTCCACGGGAATGTCTTTGACCGAGCCGATGCTCTTATGGCCAACCCTGGTATCTCTATGGGGCGCAATGGAGGGTTTGGAAAGGGTCATATGGGATTCAGTTCACTGTCTTCACTATCTTCCATGTCCTCAGACGAGGGAATCCTTCCTTCTCATGGGCCACTTGGACCAGTACCACTCCGCCTGAACGGAGGCAAAGTTGCCTTTTAGATCACAGTGCCGAGTCCTTCCTTGGATCTCGAACTCAACACTTGCTGTTCGGTGCAGTCGTTGCTGTTGTTTGCATAAGGCAAGGGGGTCATTTGGTTATCTTTAGAACTTATTGAGGCTTTTTGAACCGGCGTATTGAGGGAAAAAGTTCGCCGGAAGCCATTCCTTTACCGCATAGCCTTGGCGTTTGGGGTTGCAGTTGCATTTATTTGCCCAAAATCAGGTCGGTTGAATTATATTTGCATTTGATTTTCCACGTTGAGAGGGTTCGCAGCTTGTGTATGGGCATGATGTTAAACATTGTCTTTTTTGGAGGAGCAAAAGTTGGGAAGAGATGCCCGTCATGATGACCAACAAAGGTCTCCGAAGATAAATACGTAAATGATTCCGAGGTACTATCAAGGACTGAATGATATGGGTCAAAGCAGAGAGATGTTACATTGTACACTAGCACATAACGAATCTAATGCTCCTGATATTCATCGCAGAGATAACGAAACTTTGGTGTAATCCAACAGCCACGGCTACTGGCTAATTACCTACTCAAAATGTCAGAGGAACTGTCTGATTTTTATTAATGCTCGCTTAATCGTTACAACTAAAGAGATGTTAGTCCGCCTCGTGTTCTTAACAAGTAGTCTATCCTGGTGCCACACCTGAGAGTCAGATCCCATGATCTTGGCCATCAGCCGCAACGAGACCAGGTGTAACTCGACCCCACCAACATGCAGTGTAAGTATGAGCAACGTGAAACGGCGAAGCTACATCTCTTATTTCGTCTTTAAACCAATTACTGTAAAGTGCATCAATATTCCACTGGCATCTAGCGCACTATGTCAACAGCAGCTGCTTCTTCGGCTACTTATCATCAGCCCAGCACTTCAGCCGCAGCCACAGCCACAGGCTCTTCATCTTCTTCCTCTTCTTCATTATCTCCTCGCCCGCCGACATCTCCTCCTCCCACGATCGCATCTCCGTCAGTCGCCCATGCCCATGCTCACGCACAAATCCCCTCCGCAGCGCAGCAGACTTCGCCGCCTCCTCCGCAACTACAGCCCACGCTTCCGTCGGCCGAGACACAGCGCCACGTAGCGGAAGCACGTCGCGCTGTCGTCGCAACGCTAGAGAACATGATGGACTCTGAGCTGCAATGGCGCGCATCTACGTTGCATTCCAACGCTGCGGCGCTGAGCAAGCAGGCGCAGGATGTGCAGCGGGCGACTGAAGGACTGCGTCGTGAAAACGTTAAGCTTGCGCGGGAGGCAGACGCTGCGTCGCGGAGGCTAAAGGAGCTCGGTAACGTGCAGAACTGGGCTGAGGTGCTGGAGCGCGACTTTCTCGTCCTGGAGGAGACTGTCAGACTCGCAAATACCGATCGTAGCTGTAGCTGCAGCGAATGTGGAAGCTATACTGGGAGTGAGAGTGACGGCGGTGATGTGGACGAGGACCAGCGGGCCATGAAGCTTGGCCAAGAAGAGAGGGGCACGGATGTTGAAGGGCGTAAAACGCTCGGTGTTGAGATGGATATCGATACGGAGAACCATGCGCCGGGTACGTTTTCCGATGCTAGTAGGAGCTTGACGGAGGCAGACTCCAGCGTGGGAAAGGGGGCTAAGGGATCAGATACGGCTTCTATGTCAACGATTTCACGATGAGAAGATCACCGAGCGAGTGATGAGTCACGACCATTCTGAGTACATTATGGGACCAGGGAACTGGCATCCGCGGTATATGATTTTATGATAACCATTCATTATTGAACAATGCTATAGCATGATAGTCTAATACTGAGTATCCACCAGATCTACTCCGATCCGAACCGCCTTTTGTTACCTATGGTGTAGCCCATGATAGCCTCTATATTGATGCGTCTCCTGATCTATGCCTGCCGAAATAGCTGTTTGTAAATTTACTCCTTCTCAGAGAAGACCGGGGAAGATGACGTATCTCTTCTTCTTGTACCTGTCGCCGAACTCTTTGCGATAGGCGCGCTCCTTACCCTTGGCCCAACTAATCATCTGTGCAGCACCAATAGAGATAAAGAAAGCGACGGTCCAGTCACGGCTGACAAGGATAACTCCGATCCATGCAAGCACCTCATATAAATAGTTTGGGCAAGTGACAATGCCGAAACCATAACCAACGGGGATCTTACGCTCAGTGCCACCAGTAGAACGCAGACTCGAAAGATATTGGTGAACAAGGGCATTCATGAGCTCGCCAAAGCAATAGAGAGCAACACCAATGGCATCAATGGCAGGAATGTCGGCCTTGGCTGCAAGGGAGTTGGGGTGGTAAATGGAGTAGGCACAGAGAACACCAGAGACAGCCCAGTAGAAGAAGCTGTTCTTGAAGATGTTCTTCCAGGGCATTGTGTTGGCAGAGAACTTGTGGACAAAGAGTGTCTCATACTCGCGCTTGAAGAAGTGTAGCATGATCATAGCAAAGGTGATCCATTGGGTTTGAGACATCTCGCCGTCTCCATTACGGTAGATGTACGGGCGGGCAGCGACAGCGAGGGCGTGGAAGATGATGGGTCCGAAGTACTCGACGACGAAGACGGTTCTCCAAGCGATTTGATAGCCTATGACAAGCGTTAGAGCGTGCTCCCCCAAAAACTTTTATCAGCTTCGACGCACCCATATCCTTCACGAGAACCTCGCCAGTGGAAACCACGGCGGGCTCATCGACGAGGCGAGCCTTGCGGTTCTTGAGGGTCTTTTTCGTGGTAGGATCATAGATTCCGATGCGATTAAAGTCTCCGAGCTTGGTTTCCTTTGCAATCAAGACCTTGAGTCCTTCAACAGTGGTATCAGGGTCGACCTCAATCGACTGTGGAAGGTTCTTGATCGGTTGCCTTGGAGCTAGAGAATGTTAACTTAGTTCCAAGATGAATGAGGCTGAGTGTAGATAGTAAAATACATACAGCGATTGGTGAGCTTGATAGATCGAAGAGAAGCCATCGTATCTGTATCGTTAACTCAAAGTTGAACAACTTGGCAAAAAAAGGAGGGGAACAAGATCCTATCAAAGGAAGCAATGGTGTTGAGAACAAACAGGAAATAATTATTGGACGAGATTAGATAGAAAGGTACGTACCGTCTCTCAGTCGGGGACCTCGGCCTGATTTTGGTGGGGTGTCATGGACGCTCCTTCCCGCTGTTGAACCCCCTGGGGCTAAACTTTGTTGAGAAGAGGGCTCTGGCTTGGTACCTCAGAGGAGCCCATGCATGAGGTTGTCAGCTTGTGATAATTGAGACAGCTGATTGGCTGAGATCACTTTGATTTTGAGCTTTAAATAATGACTACCTACCTTACTAAGTCAACATATACAGTTGAGTTTTATATACCATCAAGGGGAGGCAAGAAAACTTAGGATCTTTATTCCAAGTGACGAAAAGACTTAGGTAAGCTTAGTATACTTTAGTAGATCTTTAGACCAGTTAATTTTGGCACCCTGTTTTTATGTCAGAAGTTTTATTACCCCCCGAGGACCATTCATATCAAGCCATGTTATGAATAGAGTCAGAGACACAAACAGAACACCCAGGAGTATCTATTATTGCTATCACGCTGGCAAGGTCGATCAAGTGATGATTGTTCATCTTCTTGTTATTCTTGCAAATAACAGGAAAAGAAGAAGAGAGGGGGAAAAGTACAGTTTCCCTCTACTATAGCTACAAGGTATTGAATATATCGTAGTTACCAAACAGATCTTCTATCATAAAGCCAAGCTCGCCCTCACCCACACAGCTCAGTATTATTGTTGTAAGCAATATTGAGTGTCATGGAGTCTCATGAGTAGCATTTTTCGTGAAATACACTGCCAGCAGGATCAGCCCCACGAGCCTCACCACCACCTCATCCATAATCTTGAATACCTTAAGTGAAAAACATATTCACTCCTTCTTTCTTCCTTTCTTCCTTCTTTTTCCCCAACTTGCATAGCCCAAGCCAAATTATCCCAAATTGGCATCTCTCGGCCACCGCGATTTGTTTGCTAGTAGCTATCCGGCAGCTGGCGATCAGCTGCCGGGTCATTCACGTCTTAACCTCACGCATGCCCTCTTGGCGCTTGAGCATTTCGTTATTCCACCCTTCACTAGGAGTATTTTTTCCTCCCTTATATTCAGAGTCTGCCCGAAACAGTTTCCCTTTACCCCAAACTACTATCACCGTGTCTTGTCGAAGAAGAGGCATCTTGTCCCTTCTATGAAGAGTCTCCGATACACCCTACTGTTTGCTCAAAGTCTGGGCACTATATCATATTTCATAGGTAAGCATACTCAGAGGAAAACATGGACAGCTTTAACTGACCTAAGCCCTTCTCTCAGACCTATAGCTTACGGTTACCTGATAACAAGCGAATGACTCGAAACAAGTCGACAAACCTGCTTGTCATAACCCATCTTTTGACTCTGTTGTCAAGCTGAATTATTGATCAACACATTCGATTTGTTAAATATTCATCGCTTTACGAAGCCTACACATATGCATCGCCAGGCACTATCATGAATCCCTGTGCGCCAACATTTATCCCGGTTGAACCTTCGGGAGATGAGTTCTCTTCTGATGAAGATGGGTCTTCTACTCCGTCTTCCATGGAAGCACGACATCCAGATCAAGATGTGCGCTCACCTCGAGCACGACCCCGAGGTAGAACAATTCCTTCCATTACCATCGACCCCGAAGGATATGAATCCATGTTCCCTGCTCTTCGAACTGTGAACAAGGTTGATCCTCTCAAGATTCGGAGTCCGAAAATGAAAAGGAAACAGCGAAGCAGGTGCCAGATGTCCAGAGGCAAAGACGACCGGGTCCAGTCTTCAAACTCGGTCAACGATGAACAGTTGAGCATAGGGCATCAGTTCTCACAGTCCTCTGATGATGAGGAAGAGGGTAGTAATGAGCCTCCCCTGGAATATCTGAAACCGACAGTTTACACTCCGAGGAAGTCACTTGAATTCCTCAAACCCGACGTTTATACACCTCCGGCCTCATCTCACAACTCTTTCAGTCGCCCTAGGACCAGGGCAAGCATGCGGCCGACTGACGCCAGAGCGAGAACCAGGTCTCCTAGGCGGGCATGGAGGCCCCCAACTCCCCATCCAGACAGTAGACCGCGAGGCTCCAGATTACGACGTGCACCTACGCCAAACCAGAGAATTATGTCATCGGTTGGGTATCCAGTTCCTCTGGTTTTCCCAAATCCCACTTACAGCCACTTTCCATCAGAACCTCCCCATCCAATGATGCATCATCCGATCAACTATGCGCCACGTATGGGGCCATCTCTGGTGCCGCCTATGATGCCATACTCGCCTCTACCATGGCCTATTGCCCCGGTCCCGTGGTCGGCCCATTTGGCTCAACCAGAGATGATGATGGACTATCCGGCGTACTATGATAGCCATTATGAACAAATGGATTGGCCTTCATTTGAGGGAGAGAGTGGGATGTATTATGCGCCGCAGCCACCACCAACCCTGCCGCCACAGCATTTCATTTATTATCAGCCAGAGTCACATATGCGACCACAAATGCAGCCCCATATTCAATACCGAATGCATTTGCAGTCTCCAGAAAGGTCTGGATTGTATCTAACTTCCCAGGGCAGTGATTCACAGAGTGACTCGAGGAGTCAGCACACGGAAAGCCAGCATGAGAAAAAAGCCAGTACCTCTAGTTCCGCCAAGGAAAGCAACTCTAGCTCCGGCGCAGCTACTAATGTGTCCGATACTACAACCCCTTTGAGAATTCAAGTCGATATGATCAAGGATCAAAGCGGAGGGGCACAGCCGGGGTCAAAGCACAACAAGTATCCTGATATTTAGATGACTTCAGTGCCTGTTGGTAAAGACCGTCAACTCCTCAGTGCTGTTTGCAGTGACGACTCGACGCAAGAAGAAGTCAAGAAAGAGCTTCGCAAGGCGGCTGACTATAGTAAGACCAAAGGGTTCATCCCAACTCGGCAGGCACAAAATTCACAAGATTCTCCTCGCGTTGTGAGAGGTGCGAAGATCAACCTCAAGCGAGAGACTGCACCCCAAGAGGAGAACAAAGCTCGAGAGACGCATAAACTGGTCGATCCGCTCCAAAATGCACCCAGAGGCCCATCTTCCGCGCGCCAACTTCCTCGGACGTTCAGTTCTACCGTGAAACAGACTTTAAATTTGAATGGGTCTGAGTCGGGTTCATGGTCTCAATCCAAAAGATGGACAAGCTTTGCTACCAAGGAACGGCAGGCGTTTCAGAAGACGATGGCCAATTTGCGTTACATGAGCGCCGACCAGTCTCCATTTGTTCCTCAGAGCCCAGTAGAGCTGACAGCTTTCAAGGCAAATCTGGCAGAATCAAAGACAAGGAAGCTCGATCAAGAGGTTAAGCAACGCCTGGCAAGGACGAATGCGAGCGTTGATGAAGGCGTGGAGACTCAAGTCAAACCTGTGATGAAGCTCCTCCGTGGGAAGAAATTTAATGATTGTCTTTCCCCTGTGTTCGCAGCTAGCAATTGCTTCAACACATCACGGAACCAGCCGCCGTATGACGCTGGATGGCCAACCCTCACCGAACTCAAAGAAGAGGGAGATAAACGCTCCAGTCGACAGGGCCGGTGCCTGCCTCTCCCAAGGCTGGATCTCGTTTCTCGCAGATTATCTTCGGAAATATCTGAGGCTTGCAGCTCTGATGGGGCAGTCCGTAACGACAAGAGAACTGTTCAAGTTGGATCCCGTTATCTTTGTCCTGTGACACCAGAAGAGCCTTCTATTACCCCGCCGATCGAGCTGCAATCAGAAGAAGCCCCTCTCATTCTCGCTACACTTCTTCAATCCATAAATGCAGCCGAAGATGATGCGAAAAGGACGGAAGAGGACAACGAGAAGACGATTGGACAGGAGCATGAGGAGAAGGCCGAGGAGAAAGTAGCAAGTGATTGAAAAGAGGGAAGATTCAAAGTAGAAACCGGCAGGAAAAGCTGGAAGGGCTACCCATGGCATAGGCTTAACATCATTTTTATTCGTAAATGATTGGATGTGCCAGCGCCGACGATACGCTTGGAGGCGCTTTGGACAGACTTTGAGATTTTGAGACAGGCAGTTCTAGGAAGATCTTCAGGATCCTTGCCATCATATTCGAGGGAATTCGGAGGCTAGAACTGCAACAGATAGATATTAAATCAAATGTGAATATGAAACAAAGGGAACGCTGGCAAGATGATAGTATAAGGTGCTCAGTGAACACTCAGGACACTTTTCCAGGCCATGCTGATTTTCATGATGTGAGTTGGGTGTTATACTATTGGTCGCTGGTTTGCAGGGGGGGTGTATCGGGCCCCATACTAGGACTTCTCCACTCTCTTGGGTGGAATATCTATCTTCCGGCCAAGGAACGATGCACCTGTGCACACATAGAATTATTATAGAGTCACGTGATGCTCTTGCCGAATCAGTTTTGGCAAGCCCTAACCTGCCGCACTTGCCAAACCCTCCACCCACCCACCCTTGAATCCTCGTTCAGCCAAAAAGTTCTTCACGACCATCCGCCAATTCGATTGCCTGGTGAGCGCCAACATCATCAGGTAAGTTGTTAGACGACAAGAACGAAGAGACGAGTTCAATACGCTGCGCTGCTCGATGATTCCCCATCTCGAAGAACCCGCTGATTGAGTTTCTCGCTCTTCTCTGTTCTCTCTGTCTCCGTCAAACAAGGACACTGGCTAACCACTTCGTCTTTTCTTCTCTCTTACAGAAACCGCAATCATGGGTATCTCGCGTGACTCTCGACACAAGCGCTCCGCCTCCGGTGCCAAGCGTGCCTACTACCGTGCGTAATAATTCCGAAAGCCCGTATGATCCTTTTGGACATACGTTCTGACCTTTGACAACAGGGAAGAAGCGCGCTTTCGAGGCTGGTCGCCAGGGTGCCAACACCCGTATTGGCCCCAAGCGCATTCACACCGTCCGAACCCGAGGTGGTAACCACAAGTACCGTGCCCTCCGTCTCGACTCCGGCAACTTTGCCTGGGGCTCCGAGGGTCTGACCCGCAAGACCCGTGTCATTGCCGTCGCCTACCACCCTTCCAACAACGAGCTTGTCCGAACAAACACCCTCACCAAGAGCGCCGTTGTCCAGGTTGATGCCGCTCCCTTCCGACAGTGGTACGAGGCCCACTACGGCCAGGCCATCGGCCGAAGACGTCAGAAGGCTCAGGCTGCCAAGGAGGGCAAGACTGAGGAGGAGGTGAAGAAGTCTAACGCTGTTGAGAAGAAGCAGGCCGCCCGTCTGTCTTCCCGCGGCAAGGTCGAGAGCGCCATCGAGAAGCAGTTCGAGGCTGGTCGACTCTACGCCGTTGTTTCCAGCCGACCCGGTCAGTCTGGCCGCGTTGATGGTTACATTCTGGAGGGTGAGGAGCTGGCTTTCTACCAGCGTAAGCTCCACAAGTAAACTTGTCAAAAAAAAGCCACATAAAGAACGAAATGTCGGCCCCTGGTATGGTGTTCAAGGATTTCTCGCTGTCTTGATGGTTAGGACAAGATGAGCTTAACATAACGCATCGGAATGGGTCCTTAGGGAATGAAAATTTTTCTTGCGCTGAATTTACTTCATGATCAAGGTTTCTGCACTTGCACAACGTGACTTGATGTTCTATTGGGAGGGCTTGAATGCCGAATCTAAAAAGTGTTTCATTCATTCTATATGGGGTATGTGTAGACGGGATAAGTCAACTACTATGCCCTCGCAGACCACAAAAGGCTGAGTGTACTTTAGCATATTGCACCACTGTCAATGCTGTACAACAGTTCTCATCGTGAACAGTAGCAAAATACGGGAATCGATGCCGCTATTGTCTTATTCCCAGTATACTGTCATTACAAATGCCTAATCCGACATTTTCAGCAAGCTAGCCAACAGGGCCAACTGCAGTAAGCTAAAAGTGGAATCGGGTAAACAAGAATACTTTATACATGAAGTATGGTTCAGGACCAAATAACCAGAACAAGTTTACGGGAGTTTTTTCGATTTTCTCATGCAAACTGACGCTTCAAGTCAGTCCACTTACGATTCAAGGTCTCGTGCTGAGAGTTGATCTAGAATGATGCGTCAGTAAATCAACTTCAAAGAAACAAGAGTGAGCAATGGGAAGAACTCACCTCTGCATAGCGCAGCTTTGTCTGGACCAACTCTTCTTCCAACTCGGACAACTCCTTTTCGAGTCTTTGATTCTCCTCATGAACATGCATATTGCGTTTCATCAGATCGTCCCGCTCAAGTTTCCATGTCTCCTCTATTTCCATGGGTTGCTTCTCAATGACGATCTTCAACTCCCGAACTTGACCCCTCATGCTGTCATTCTCGTCTCTGAGTTCCTGGTTTTCGACCTTTGTGTGCACAAGCTCTGTTGCCAGATCTGCTTGCTCACGATCGCATACTTCAACCCTCTCCTCCAGTTTCCGGACTTGAATGGAGAGATTATGATTCGCTGTGCGGAGCTCCAAGAGTTCGTTCTCACGATCCTTCTCGGCCTTGGTTTTCTCTTCCCATTCTGTGCTATAAGATTTGAGCATTTCTGGAGTAATTTTAACTTCGCAGGCATCTTTTACGAGTTGGTCTGCACGATAGACTTCCTTATCAATGCTAGAGCTCGAGCTTCCAAAGAAACCATTTTCAAGAAGACTGCCATGGCTAGGATCCTTATCAATATAGACGTCGAACAGTTTGTCCTTAAGGTATGTGGTGAGTTGCTGCATGTCAGATAATCCCAGGAGAATGCTGGCATTCTTCTGCATTAGAACAATTCCGAAGCGTAGAATTGCTGACAAGCCCTCGGAGAAGATAAGGTCGTAGATGCGGAGGACTAGTTGAAGAGGGAACCGGTAGGCAAAAAGCGTCAAAAACCATTGCGTGGCATAGAGATGAGGAGATATTCCCCGCCGGTGAAGATGGCAGTACAATGCTGGCTCGAAGTCTTCCAAAAGCCGCTCGAACTGATAAAGATGCATATGCAATCCCGGCATATCCTGGATAAACAAATCTCGCAGCTTGTAGTGATTCATTAGTCGAACAAGGAGACAGAAAGCTTCCTGCTCAGGCATCTAGAGAGCGTTGTGAGCATGTCGCAAAAGTCGTGCGAGAGTAGACTTACGTTGAATAGTAGTGGCATGATGAGAAAGTTCATACCCTGAGCGTAGCCAACACCTTCGTCAAAAAGGGCATATGCCTTGCAGACACCAAACAGGCCCTCTTGAAGCCCAGCAGCAGCCGCATACTTAGAATAGCTGGTTCGGGCACCAAGATCCCGGCGTATTGTCTTTTCCAGTTTCTGTAGTGTCGCCGCGTCCTCCTTGTCCTTCCGCTTCCGCTCAGCCGCTGCGGCAGCTTGAGCTTTCAAAACAGCCTCAGCACTCTTCTCGTTTGGAGATGGCGTGCCGTTTGTACCTGAGTGGTCCGAATTGATGGAAGAGGCTGATGATGTGACGGCGTCCCCGCTATGAACGCTGAGGTTTCCGTTGCTCAGCGAACTAGCAGTCGTACTATTACTGTGACGGTCTTTGCTCTTGTCTGTACCGCGAGCCACCAGATCTTTGTATACTAATTCCAAGTCGTCATTCTTGCTATCAGCCAACACCTGCCAGACAACGCCACGGATTGCACTAGGGATGCCGGTTGCAATAGCTTTGTTCAGTTCCTCGGCGCTAGTTCGAGCAACAGCAGCTGGCCCCTCATATACAACAGATTGCCACAAGTCCCAATCGACTTTTTCTTCTGAAATGGCCGAAGGTCCTGCGTTGACTCCCGCGACTGTGCCGGGGGCCAGCCCAGGAATAGGCTGAGGAACGGGCGACGACGGGGGCTTCTCTTGGGGTTGGCCTTCATCACCTGGCAAAGTAAGGCCAAGAGCTCCGTCATATTTACTACTGTCACCTTCGGCCATTGCGCGAGCAGCCTCTTCTTGTTGTCGCAGTTGTTTGAATCTGTCCTTCAGGGTGACCCGTTGGGCAGGGTCACCGGGTAGTGAGTCTCCATCCTTTTCCTCCTCTAGTCGACTCAACATCATTTCAGGATTGCTTGATAGTGTTGCAATCGAACCAGCTGTGTTCCTTCGGCCAGCAGGGGGAGGTGGAAGCGGAGGTTCTCTCTCTTTGCTGGAGCTTCGAGAAAGCCAAGAGAAAGGGCTTGTCAGCTTTCGACTGGGTGGTGGCGGAGGCTGAGGCACTGGTGGGGTGGGCGCAAGTGTAGCTGCTGGTGGCACAGGGCTTTTCGAAGTATCAGCGGCGGGCGACCAAGGCATAGACGGAAGAGAGATGCTGTTCAGAGATATCGTCTTGCTGTTTGGTTTCGGTGGAAGATCTTTTGGCACTACAAAGATCAGTATTATGCGCAGTGATAAAGGCAACGAGAATGTGCATACCTGGAGATGGGGGCGTATCGTCGTCAAGACTGACGTTATCCAGATTTGAAGTATTGGAAATTCGTGTAGAAGCTATTGACAGTTTGCGTCGTGATTGCTCTCCTTTGACGCTGCCTGCCTCGGATCCAGTGACCTTATGCTGAGTGACCTTTGTGTCTAGAGTATCCTCGTGGGGATGCGACTCTTCAGACCGCCGATCGGTTGGCTCCTCCACTTCGCTGTCACGGCGTTTGGCCTGTGAAATGTTTCGTTTGGTAAGGGACCTTGCAGGGGACTGCGTTACAGCATCTTCGAATTTATCATCAGCGTCAGATGCCTAAAGAAATTAATTAGCATTGAAGCGAAATAAGGGAGGGCATCTGTCGTGTGACTGGCACCGCAGTAGTCGAGGGAGGAATGTGGGATAAACCTACCGACATAGTGTCGTCAGACTCCGTGCCAGACGAGAGTCTTTTAACATTGGTGTCGTTTTGCGACAGCTGCTCTTGTTGATTATCCTCTGGCTTGTCATTTGTCTCTTCTGGTTTTTCTTCGTGCTTGTCTTCGTGCTTCACTTCGGTGTTGTCTTCAGCCTTATCTTCATGATTCTCTGCTATGCTGTCTTCGTCCTTTTTGTGTATGTCTAAACCTTCTTGTTTGTCCTCCATTGTGGGTGTTGTTTCTTTTTCGTCGTGTGCCTCTGGCCCATCTTGCTTCTCGGGCATTTGATGGGTCTTGTGCTGCTGCTGCTCATGCTTTTCAGGCTCGGTATCGATGTGATGTTGGGCTACCGGCGAGGCGACATCTTGCGGTTGCGACATGGTTGAGGAGGAGGGTGTTGAATGGTTTGAAGGTAACGGCGTGTTCTTCTCGTCGAGGATAAAGGAACGGTTAGGTGGCCTCGACCCATGTATCAAAGCCAGATAAAGAAGCAATCAATGCAGATTGTATCAGGGAAATTGGGAACGAGAGACTAGGTACTGCGTCCGGCGGCAGAATGAATGGAAGAATGCCAGAAGCCAGCTGTTGACAGAAATCCGATCCAAGGGGGGGTGTTGTGGCGTTGGTGTTCTTGTCTGCCCCCTTACTACGTTGACAGTGGAACTGGAACTAGAATTGGAAGCTCGCAAGGGTTGTGACAGTGAGGCGCCGACGGAGTTCGCCAAAAATAAATCGGGGCGGCCCTGTAGCAGGAGTACGGGCGAGGCTGGCTGGCTGGCACTGAGAGGTTGATGAATGGGCAGCCCAGTGGACCCTGGGACATGGACTCAGTTAAAAGGTGTAGTTGAGCTCCCCCGCCCTGCCCACCAAAGGGGGGACCAGCAGAGCTTGAGAATGGAGCTATTTTAGGAGACGCCCTGATTATCGATTCAGCTAGAAGAAAACGTCAGACAACAAAGTCTGGAATGTAGATTATCCCTTCATTATGTGGCCGTTTTGATTATAATGTTCCATGGCTGGCTTTGTTTGGAATTCAAAATCGCTTCATTTCGACTTGAGGCTTATACCTTGGGTAGTTATCCTGTAGTTACGCTGCACTGGTCTTCCAAGTTGTGTAGAATGCGGCTTTGTCTTGTCTGTGCAAGAATCTCTGCTTGAACTCATGGAGAGGGCCTTTGGTCTAAGTTTTCTGCACACGGCCAACTCAATCTTAGACATATAACATGATTGCCGGTGCGAGTTTGAGTCTATCGAACTACATAGGTCCTGTGGCAATTTAGTGGTAAGGGTTTTGTGAGATGACTTGGAATTTTATTGCAGCTTGGATGGTCAAACAATATCTCATTTGGCTGTCAGACGGGGGTGAACAAAATCATGCCTCTAGATTAAGTATAATTTTGGTCTGTAGACATCCAATCTGAGCCTACCTATCCTTCAAGCTCCGGTCTTTCTTTAAAAACAGCATCCACGATCTCATCCTCACACCTTGCCAGCGTTTCCCACCATCCAATATCTTGCATGTCATAGCATAGCGAGTCGTAATATGGTAACTTCAGCTGAACGCCACATTTATCGCTCTCGGTATTGGATGTCACAACCCCTCCCTTAATACAGATATCCTTTTATTTTTATTTTTACTTTACGCTCCAATGGCGTCAGAGTCTAGTCTAGTTGCCTAACTGTGGTTACGTTCCATTCTCGATTTCACGTTGATGTCATAAGCGCATTGGCTTATGCATAGTCGAAATAGGCACTCGGGATATAACAAGACGGGTCAAGTGTTAGACTAAGCCAAAAGCTTGGGGGACCCTTGCTGGAGCAAGGTCTTCCTATGGTAGGTATATGACTGACTAATATCAAGCCGATTCTATGTTTCACGAGTCCTTTTCTGGCTTAGAATTACGTGGGTCTTGTAGTATCCAATGGTGACCTGAGAGTGCCTGTTTCACGGGCAAATTCCCAAACTAGCTCTTAGACGGTATACTAAATTTTGAATCCAGCTGTTGGAGGGTTGTCATTACAGATGTATAGATGCCAGTCTGGAGAATACAGCATTACCTTGAGGATTTGGTAGAGTTCCTTTCGCTGAGACTGGGCAATTGTTTCATCGGA